ACCTGGGGATACTGGAGAACTTTCACTGTTGTTTTAGACATCTAACATAAGGGACCACATAAAAATACCAAAATAAAAATATTTGGTAAAGTTCATCAAACCAGAAGCATCTATCACAAAAATGTAACAGTTATATATCTATAATTTTATCTATTTTGCATAACTGACATTCATTCAGTTCCCTTAAACTTCCTTTATAAACCCATTTTTGGAAAATATGAATTTTTTGGAAGGAACATGGAAATCCTGTAAAACAATAAACCAAATAAACATCACAGTAGGATGTTGAAATCTTAGGGAAGGTTCCTATGTCCTTCAAATTCTTGTAGGATAACCAAACCCAACTCACATCCTTCCTTCTTCATAGCTGAATTTGCATATACAAGGGGCGATCAATTAGTCATTGAGACTTTTTATAGGTGATTCCAACAGACTAGTCTCTTTACCTTTTCACCAGTGACCAGTGATCCCTTGTATGCTGTGTCTGGATTAAATGGACCTTTTCCTGTTTATATGTACTTAATGAGTACTCCAAACATTTTTAAAACTAACAAAATAATTCCTTGGATAACCAAAAAGACCCATAAAGGCACAAGTTGTTCCTTTAATTTTAATCCTTTTGAAAAGAACAATAGACTAAAAATAAATGCATGTATTAAAATGTCTATAAAATTAAGTTAATTTCTTGATATGCTCCCTTAGATTGTTCAAAGTGATGCAACTGTACCTCATGGGTATCAATGGAGCTCATTCGATTCCCAAAATACATTTTCTAATCAGTGCAAAAAATGTATGTTCCTTTCCTGATTGACTTCCTAGACTGAAGATAAAACACTGATTTTGTGTGATGATTGCTTTTTGCAAAATCCTTCCTTTATAAAGCTATCCTTTATAATAGGATGGTTGATTACATTTGGTCACCTCTCATCACTTTACATCTTGGATTTCCAAGGTATGAAGTTTTTTTGGAAAATCAAACTGGTAAGTGAGTATGATTATATTATGCCTCTATTGAAACAATTAAATCACTAAAAATTCGAAGTACAACTCTACCACAGATCTATAATACAAAAACATCTAAATACACAAGCATCTGTAAAAGTAAGTAAAAGTCCAAACTATTTCTCCAATTCAAGGTCATTATTGTTTTTTCTGTGTAAAAGGGTTAGGCTTTCTGATATCTATCCCAATGGTCCATTCTGCAATGTCTGTCTATTTCCGCATTGCCTGATTACCCATTGTAAATGAGCTTAAGCATGGACACGACAGATAACATTTGAAAACAGGCTAAGATTACTGTGAAGATGGATAATAAATAACACAGGTAATGATATAGGAGGTCACAGATAAAATGGGTTTGATGAATTCATATATTGATGCCACAGATCATAATGCTGGTAAAGTGTTATAGTCTTGTAAATTTATGGGTATCTAATGTAATAACATTTCATCAACTGTGGCTTACAGACATAGATTAGTATACGAGCAGACAATGAATATTTCATCTAATAATCTAAGAATCAGTCTGCGAATTCTTATTACTGATTCTAATTAATGACCATGAGTTTAAGACATAATAGAAGTGAATCATTTACCGATTAAACTAATTCCCTTATGATAAATGTGATGAGGGAAGGGGTGATGGTGCCATCCCCCCTTTCAGGACAATATCGATTTTTATTTCTATGCTACTAATCAAATATCATCTTATCATCCATAAATCATTTCATGAATTTTCAGTCCTTTTTCAAATCATAACATAACGAAAAATATTTGTCAAATTTCTGAAATTTTGAATTGTCAACATAAATCAAATAAATAATAAATGTATCAAAAATATTTCAACCCAACATACCTTTTCTCAACTTTGGTCACATTTAAGTTTTGGTCCCTTTTTACGACAACAGGTTTGTCCTTTCCCTTCTTCTTAAAACTATCTTTAATCCTTCCTATTAAAGTACTCATATTGCTTTAAGATATTTATATATCCAATTTGTTTCTGTGTGTTAACTCCTGTAAACCCCTGATCAACTCTGCTAAGTTTGCCGTGCTGTGTTTTATCTGACGAGTTTCTATTAAATCTATATGCATCTAGATCCTGGAGGGAATATAAGAGGTATAGACTATTGTAAATCAGTTGATTTTTACAGCTGTTCATTTAAAGGATGTGTGCATAAAATGTTACATTTTAAGAATTTCCTATTCAATCCTGGGTTTAACCTATGAAAGCTCAGTAAAGAAATCATACAATAGATTTATGAGAAAAAATGACTGTATTATTTATGTATAGACGTTACTAACTTCCTTTGCAATAACAGCTATTCTATGAATGCTGCTAAACTGTTTAACTACAGTTAAAAATGTCCCACGAATCAAATGTTATAACGATTCCAGTTATTATCGCACCCCCCCCCCCCCCCCCCCCCCGACTGAAAACCGAAATATTTTTGGCAATCGCACTCCCTCCTGACTGATATATTGAAATATCAACATTTTGTCAAATCCTCAAATATGTAACAAGGCACACAATATCGTAGCTACCCAGATTGTCAAATTGAGAAAATTGAAAATTTCATATCAATACGAAAAGCAGATTGTCTGGAATCGCGCAGACAAGAAAAGTGATGAGCAATAAAAATTTGGCCAACAAAACATACCCCACAACTGCATATTCTTCAATGAAATTTCTTCCCCATATCAAGCATATAACATTTTTCAACCACAGAAACATAATATTAGCCAAAGAAGCATATCCCCATTAACAGTTTAACAATGAGATATAAATTAGTAAAGACATCCTGGACAATACATGACAAAATAACAGCTGTTGCTTCATGATATATTATAGAGTACAGGCTTTGGGAATTTAAGATATCTCTGTCTCAACATGTACAAAATCTAAGAAATTGTCAAAGTTCCCATCCTTGTCGAAGAAATCAACATTCAGAAATATGCCGGAAGTCAGTCCCTATTTCACATCATGTAGTACTGTGTAATAATATCATAGGGACATTAATAAAATAAGAGACACAAATTAGGCAAAAACAAAGTGACAAAAGAGTTTCAAAATGATAAAATAAATAGGTGTTCGGGTGGGGGTTAAAAACACCTCAAACCAGGGAACACATTTTATTTGTGTATGAAAAACATAAAGACACTCTGAAACCCAAAAGTTAATCCAGAATACTTGTACTAATTCACAAGGTGTGTGCATCAAAAAGGCTTTACTGTATACTGGAATGTAAATTTACCCAAAAATGTAATATATTAGTATGGACGTGAGTGTATTACTCAATTCCCACGATGTCACCTTAACTTTTTGCCATTCCAATCCTATTCACGATTCCTTAACAAGATCAAGGCCTATTGACAGGCTACTGAATGACTTAATCTTAAAAGACGAATTTTCAACAAGTAGCTGCCTAATAACATTTTTTATCATTAATGAATACTTATTTCAAAATAATGACAAAAAGAGTAAAAAGAAGTATTGATGCCCTACCCAAGTCTTCAATTAAACAAATTCAATAACTGTTCTTTTTACAGCATTTTCATCACAAATGAACACGAAAGGAACCTTCTAATTTAATAATAAAAAAGAAAACGATTTTTCCAAATTACAATTGCTATATTCAAACAAAAAATGTATTCATTTTCAGAATGGCAACAAAGAGAACAGAAATGAACAAATAATCAAACTAAAATACATTGAGTAATTGTTACGTTATTTAGAAAATGACAACAATTTATCATGGATGTACAGTAACGATGTTGCAGTATTAATAGTTCAATCATGGACCTGTCAATACATTCAATAGGGTTCATTACAACAACATCGTACTGAATCAACCAGGAGACTTTAAGACTGGAATATCACTATGAACTGACTTTCTATGTACTTATGTAATTGAATATGTGACAAGAACAATGCGAAACATTGTACCTAATACCCTACCACTGGAAGACTGCTCATAGATATGGAAATTGATATTGATTGTAAAACATTTAAGTGCAATATGACATTTACTTTGAGTAATATTTGAACAAAAAAATGTTTATAATGATGATGAACTTCTCAAATTGTACAATTCTGCTTATCAATCAACATAGATGTACATTATATTCAATCAAATTGCAGTCTATAACACCTCAATAAAGTGTGATACACAACATGAAAGCCATAGATGTGACCAAAAGGATGAAACGCTAGATAAAACCACAGAGTCAAAGTGACCTGAGTCTATTGTTTGTATTCAATGATTCATTGATAAGTACGGAGACACTAGGGATGAAATATCCTGGTGCAAAAGAAAAAGAAAATCCAATTGTTAACTTAAAGTGACATATGGCATGTTTGCTGGTTTCTCAAAAAGCAAATATTATTAAGAATTTTAAGAACGTTAATGCCCCTGGTCAACTCCACTGAACATGAAACAGACATTTGAAATTGCAACAAAAATACAGTTCCGAAAATCACAACATAACAAATGTTGAAAACACAACAAAAATAATGTCAATAGAGAATGGTAATTTGATACAAATGACACAAAAATAATTGAAATTTATTCAGAATTTTAACCTGCTTAGCACAGGCTTGCTGCTATATCTGCATATTGAGACAGTTTGCTTGTTTCAAATACAGCAGTATTGCTTATTTACACAAATAAAGCATTAATTGTAAAATACATTTATACAAAAGCAAGAACGCAAAATAGTTCTTTTTACTGCATTCACCTTTTAGAACAACCATGAATAGCCCTTCGAAAAACCATAGTTTGTATTTTCAGTTATTTGTGAGATCTTTTCATCAAGATTATTGGCAAGTGACTTTTTCAATTATAAACTTTCATGGCAGTAGATTGTAAATTAGAGGGAAGGCTCTCCAGGATTTATTTGATCAAATAGTAGGGCTAGCAACCATTTTACTCAAGAGTTTAACATTATCGTGTAATGTTAAAAAGTTAATGTATGCCCCTATCCAAGACATTTAAGACACTTACTCTTTAATTCTTCGTTTTATGGCACTCTGTACAGGATTATGTGCCAGTGTGATGGTTGGGTAATCACGTATGCACACCAGAGAGTCTTCAAGGTCAGGGGTCCCAGTAGTGGTTATTGCACCAGGCCTCTGAGCCTTAGGAATTATATGCAGTTGGCCTTCACTGATGAAAATCTGAAATAAGAGTTATGAGAATTAGTTCATTAACAAACAGAAACTGAAACATTACCGATAATTCAGTTCTTTTAATTTCATTTCTTCGGAGCCTTGGAATTTCATAATTCATCAATAACAAAAAATCTAAACCTTGGATGTCTTTTAATTAGGTTGTTAGTTTTGGAATTTCATAGCTTCAAATCAACATTTTTCAAACTGCACAATATTTCTGCCTTTGTCCTTAGTAATTTGTATTTCACACAAGTCCTTGTGTTCCTCTATTTTCTCAGCTATTTTCTAATTACAATGAAGACAATGAATAACTAATTAACATGGAGTCGCATTGTTTCTCAAATTGGTCATCAAACCAGAACACCAAAGCAATTATGACATGTTAATGAAGTATTCTACAATTATGTAATTTACATTTACTGTACATATCTGAGATCTATCCTGTTACCTCTAAGATAATCCAGGTGATATCTTTGTCTAAATCAATCTTTTTGATATTTTGGATGTTTGTATGAAATTTGAGTATTACAAATGCTGAGAATGAACTAAAATATGCAGCGTGTATAATTCCAAAATCTGTGTGAGGTTTGAATTAGAGGTTCCTACGTCAATGTATATAAACAGCAATCATTAATGGTCAAGAAGTGAGCCTTTATTAAGCCTATGTATACACAAACTTTCCATCTTGAGCAGAAAGGTATTTCTTATGAAATACACTGGAATGACATTAGGATTACAAAGCCAATAGCCAGCTCTTACCAAAGGGAGGTTCACTCTTCAAAAATACCAGGGAGAATTCATATTTGACAACTTTGGCCAAAAATCACTTGAAAAGTGCCCAGAATGATGAAAAACTGCATGCTTTTGAAAGAACCCCCGTCCCCTGGTAATGGGTCTGATTATGCACCCTGAATTGAAGCCATAGCCTTGTAATAACAATGAGATATTAGATGAAACATACTGCATTCTGAGACATAGGATTTTTGAAGTTTTGGTGCCGATAATATCTCAATGATCTAAAACGTAGCTCTCTTAAATGGGAAAGCAGTACTAGCTAATTATTAGGAGAAAATATGGGGTTATGATTTTCTGAAAATAAATTCTGATTCAATATACAGGGTGTTCATCAAGTCTAACTTGATGGACACCATGTATATCTTAGACCTGCATCTGTTTGTAAGAGTGTATGCAACATTGGACTCTTGAGAAGGATGAGGGATATGACTCCACACCGATCATATGAATGAGCCGGCATTGAAGTCAACATTAATCCCTCAGAATCCAGATTGATGACTTTGAAATTGAGTTGATGGAAACAGATTGTTTTGATATTACCCTGCGTGCAGAGTCTAGTTAAACTACACTCTGCCTAGTAGAGACCATATTACAGTTTAGTAGCCCCGCCCCCACGACGGGTACCGGTGACAGTTTGGGTTATAAATAACTTTTGACCTACGCGCTGACCTTTCTTCCAACAATCAGCGAGCTTGAAGAAACATACGCCAAATGCGTTCTTATTAAATATGCGCATGTCATTGGTCAATTCCGGGCTCAACGATGATGTCAGAAGGAATGACCATATATAAAACGTCGGTCAATTTTGGCCGACGAACACTGATTGGCGCGGTGAGTTCACAGGTTTATTTTAGTTTGAAAGAGTGAAGACGAAGCTCTCTTTTAAGAAGTGAAGTCAAACGAATACAAAGGGTATTTTGATATATTACCTTCAGCAGAATGATATTCACCCAAGTTTACCAACCCTTCAAAGCAATTCAAACTTCGCACCAAAATTCTGCGATTTCCTCAATTTTACAATAAGAAATCAAAAATTTTGTGGAGGTCAAGATTCAAGAAAAACATGTTCATGCAGTTATGTTCAATGCTTGATAATTATCCTATTTGTTCTATTAAGTTCTATGGATAAAGATAACAAGATTGGCTCATAGTTGATGTAAGAAATGATTCTTTTGGCAGATGAGCAATGTTTTCCACATGTATCATTACACCTGTGGTAGAAGGTAAATCAGTCAGCATCATTGTGCATGGGAAGTTAGGCTCCATCCTTCTTATATTCTCTATATTAGGTATAATAAAGAAGAAGGGGTAACTCACTCTCCATGAATGGGAGCATCAAATATAAGACTGTGTGACTATACCATAACAATTCAAGTTTCATACAGCTTCAGCATTATGACAGAATAATATGATAAATGCCTTATTATGTCAATATACTAACATTTAGTTCCATATGTTATCTGAATAAGCTACAACAATAAATAATAATAATTATTTATTTTTGCACACCTTAGAAAATATAATAATTTCGATGGAATGGTAGAACCCATCTGAAATTATGGTAATTTTTGACTAGAGGAGTGGGGCATATGTCTGTTCCTTATAGCTACATCCTCAAGTGACCCCCCCCCCCCCCCCTCCTCTTCCATATGCTCTTGTATGAACACTTCGTCAGACTATAGTAGCATCAGCCCTAAAGAATGAGTCAGATCTCGGAATCCAGGGTTCCTAACCACAATCCTCTCCCTTACATGATACCTTTGGTATCAATGTATTTCCTAATATCAATGATACATGGGATGTAGACTAAAACATTACAGAACAACTTAACTCTACTTAACAATTTATACTCTTAAGTATTATTACATAACAACAAATTAGTATGATGATTGATCATGATAACATTCTAATATTTTTGTAACTGTGAGGGAAATCAAGTAAATGTTTTCAAGAAAACCAAAACAATTAAGTATCTAAGATATTCAACAGGAAGAGTCATTAAAATTATTCTCAGTGGATAAGTATTTAGGTTTAAACTTATCCCAGTCAAAATAAAACCAGAAGAATTCCAAACAAGACTAATCAAGCAGCCAAAGTGCCAAATCTGCGATTATTATTCGGATTCAAGACCTTGGACTTTCAGTACCAATTAATGAAGATTCTGAAAGGGTCGCTTACTATAAACTTTTGGAGCACAGAAACTCAATATCAAGATTCATGAAGGCTTGCAAATAAATAAGTGATTGATTTTCTATGTGATTTGAATTACTCTATCTGCATCTTCTGATAAGCCCCATCCTTCAAAGAAATGTATCCACGAAATCCAAGATGAAATATGAAGCAGATGGAAAGAGAATACTGAATGTCTCAGAAAAACAAACAAACAAACAGTTCAAATGAGGTGAATTCTGGCTAAATCAGCTCATAGATTAGATATTTCCATGACTAAGCCAAGTATTGATACAATGTCTCAGAAACATGTGCAATTTACTTGATATGGCCATAAGCCATGTTTCCTTTTTAAGAGTTAGAATTTGCCTCTTAAAAGAGAGCTTCGTCTATACTCTTTCGCAAAGAGATAATCTGTTGATCTAGAATGATCTAATCAGATTTGGTTAAACAATATTTTGCTACTGTATCACAATTGGAGTGCAGTATGTCTTAAAATCATTACTATGTCTGTCCCATTAAATTTATAAGAAGATGCAACATGTCACCACCTGACATTTGTTACAGACACTGAATGCCAACCACCTACCGCCAAACACTGTCTCCAAAAAGCTGGAAATCATAGAATTGGTGGTGACATAATAGTTTCTTACAAATAAAAAGTGTTCAAGTTATTACATAACTTAATTACCTTATATTGTCAGTGACTTATGGAGATAAATCTCACTTTTAAAGAAATAAAATGAAACTATAGGAATAGGAAATTACAAATTAATATTTTCATATTCCAACATTAATAATTCCGACTAACACCATTTTCAAAAGATAATGAAAAATCATGGAAAGCTTCTACCTAAGGCCTCATTTATCATAAAGAGGTTGTGTAGTGATGATACATCCAATCAGCCCTTTCATTTTAACACTTCACATTCAAATATATCATCTCATAGAATCTATATATGACTTCAGTTTTGAAATTAAATTCAGGGGATCGTGCAACATGGAGGTTTTACACTGTTTTCGAACTGTAAGATCATTGGTTCAAAATATTGTCCAATTTCGTGACATATCATTGTTTTCAGATGTAATATTCTATGGGAGTCGTGACCAGAGATTCACCTTTAATTGTTCATTAGACCAACCACAACACAATGGCAATCTCTAATTAACTTCAGACATTAATTACTTTTAATATTGATTAACTGTCTATTTGTAACCATATGCTTCTGACCATAAGGAGGATTTACTACTACGATTTAATAATACTTGTCAAGAGCTTAAGAGGTCAGACTTTCAGAAAGGATCATAAAGGACCCACGGCTACTGTGTTCTTACAGTGAATCGTTCCATGACTTTTTGAAATCAGAATTACCAGTTTCTCAAAAACCTAAAGAATTTAGGAAATGGCGCTGATACGTACACAATGTGCACCTACCTAATCCCATTGCCCCCATGTGAGAGCCAAAAATATCTCTTCTGTGTCCAGTTCAACTTGCAACTAAATCATTTTTTAATGGTTTCCACACTATTTGCAATTCCGAATTCCTCTTAACCTAAAGCCTATGAGAGGAATAGAACAGACTGTGAATCCCAAAATGCACGATTTGATTTTAGCATTGACATTTGGCATGTAACATTAAGCCATACACCTGTGAAGATGATTAGATAAATTGTGATGCTCTAATCCCAAAGTCAAAACAAGGCATTAACCTGACAAAATGTCACCACCTAGTTGAAGCAAGATAAAAAAGACCTTTTTGACGTTGAGTAGGTCATTAAAGGATCAAATCTATAGTCAGATTTGAAATGTTGAGAACTTGTAGATGATTTTGAAAAAAAAGTTGGTCAATTTGAAGCAAGTTGAAAAATACCTTTTTGACCTTTTTTGACCTTAAGAAGGTTATTGAAGGTCAAATCTCCAATCTTAAGTCAGATTTGAACTTCTGATAACTTATAGATGATTTTTTTAAAAATCGGTTAATTCGAAGCAAGTTGAAAAATGACCTTTTTGGACCTTGAAAGGGTCATTGAAGGTCAAATCTTAAATATAGAGTCAGATTTGAACTTCTTAAAACATGTAGATGATTTTGAAGACAATTAAAGTCAGTCTATACAGTATTTGTTAAATTATTGGAAGTTGTAAGAATTTGTTACAGATGCCGATCGCCAACCACCAACCACCGTCAAAAAATGGAGACCATAACAATATGTCACCACTTTTTGGTGGTGACATAATAAGACCATTCTTAACATCATGGACATGAAGATCTTCAATGCCAAGATAACATATACTCCAGAAAAGCAGACGTTTTGATGATAAATTGCAAATAGCAAACTAAAATGCTCATTAAACTCTGAACCAACTTGTTCTCGGGTCAGGATGACAAAACATCACATAACTCTAGAGCCCAAAGTGGAGAGCATACTTTACTACATAAGATGAATGGTGCTGATGAATGTAAACTTACAATGAACAAACTTGAATGTAAATGAATAAAACAAATACTAATCCAGTATTGTATGCCTTGCAATAGTATACCTCATCTTTCATTGATGTGAAAACTTGGAAGTAGGTATGAAAAACAAGATGCCTACATAGTCTTCTATCTAGGCTTGACAGAGTACAAATAACTTCCAAACTAACTTCTAAACTAGTACTGCTAATGCATGGGAATTCAAAGATTCACAACCAGATGCAGAAGCACGAAAGTGCTAACTTGAAAAACTTAACCACACTTAACCTATCAGCACATGAACAAACTAAATAACAAACAACTTTACACAGAAATGATTACATATACCCGGAATTGTAATAAAATAGTTGAAATAAAATCCCTCTTATTTCTTAGGCCCAAGAACCCTTTCAATGGATTCTTTTTCATCAAAAATTGGAGGCAATTTTGCTTGCTGTTTTCATAGAAATGTCACTTGTCTTGAAGAATAGATACCCGCAATGTTAAGATTTGCCAAGGGAAATCAACCTTTGTAGATTTTCAGCTTTTTGTTTAAAGTGCTGTCTCTTGAATGAGATTTTATTGAAGCCTGTGCCCTTTCTTTTTCTTCTCAATGAATCATATAAACATGGCCCTATTGGTATATCCTTGGGGTAGAAGTAATATTTTATAAATCATTTTTTGGCATGGGTGCTTTAATAATAAATAAATGGATAAATAAAGCTACATTTTGGCAAAACCAAATCTGACTGTCAGCAAATCCATTTTTCAAATAAGAGTTCTTTGGTCAGAGACATGGAAAAGAAGTTGACACTTTTTGTGAAACAATTATACATATATATTATGCATACATCCTAGAAGGAAACCAGGTCCATCAATTCGAGAGGACTATATATGATGAGTTAATAATGAAAGTAGGCTTGGCAGAAATGTGAGACATCTATATGAGACAAATTATACGAAAAGGTAACTATCTTGAAATGTAAAAAAATATCAATAGTACAATAACGTCATTTCTAAGGGCAATATAGTGAAATATTGGACCGAGGGCCTTCAGGCCCAAGGTCCAATATTTCACTATATTGCTCGCAGAAATGACGTTATTAGTATTATTACCACCGTTAACGACCAGGACTGAAACAGCAAGAAAATCTTACGCATTGAACGATATCTAATTTCCCGGGGAAAATTGCAGGTCCAGAATATATTCTAGACCGGTCCATATGGACCACCACTATGACGTCACACATTTCTCAGGTCGATATAGTAAAATGAATGCCTTCTAAACTAGCACTAAAACCCCTAGAACTGGCCCGGCAAGGTGGTAATAATAGATATTTATAGGATATCCTATGATTTTGAGGAATATCATTTTTATCTACGAGGTGATATTGATATCTGCACGAGAGAGCAAAGCGAACGAGTGCATATATCAATATCACTGAGTAGATTAAAATGATGATAAAATCATAGGATGTTCTTATTATCCTACACTTACAAGGAGTGTACTAAATGTATAATATCATTGCAAATTAATTTCATGCCAAATAGAGTCAATTTGGTTGGAAATCAACAAGCAGTGTATATCGTCACAATATCCTCTGCATATTGGGTTTTCCGGAGTATATCGTCGCGATATCCTCCATCCAGAGTATATCGTCGCGATATCCTCCATCCAGAGTATATCGTCACGATATCCCCCAATTATTCATTTTGCCAATAAATATCAAATTTATTTTTAACGTTATTATACATTAAGTACACTAAGTATAGGATAAATACATGTATATATATTTGATCTCAACTGTATACAGTCTAACATACAGTCCAAAAAGTGCCTTTATTTTATGAAGACACCTTTGATTGACTTATAAGGATCATATTTTACTGAGATTTTGAAACAAAATAGCAAGCCACATGATCTGAGGCCAATTCTTGAATCAGATTATGCTGGGAACATTTTGGGTTTAATTAACTTTCATCCCAGATTTACGGATTCTGCCAATCTTTTATGAGAGTCTTTGAGGTTAAGTGAAATGATATCCAATACTGATGCCATGGAAACGTTCTAATTTAATTTTAAATGATTAATGAGGTGATTTGTTCAAATTAATTCAACAACAGATTTCATTGCTGTCATTACTTCCAATTAGAGGGCCAAATGAGACTACTTTTAATTTCTTAAGAACTTAATATGATGAGCTATCCATCTTATAGTTTTTAATCTACATTAATTATTCAGCGTGAAAAGGAGAATATTCAAAAAATTGTATATAATAAATCATATTAATTATACATATTAAACAGAAGTGAAATTTCATGAAAGTACAGGAAAGTGACAGAATTTTAAAAATTGTTTGCTAAATATAAAAGAAACTCTGATAATTAGAATGGATGAAACGAGGGATATGTTCATACTAAATTCTCCATAAACCAAATTGAGCAGAGTGGGTAGGTCAAGCAGTTACAACAACAAAATGGATCAAAAATGTGTAGATTAGAGTAGAATGTTGAAATGACCTCTAATATGAAAGCACATAAGCAGTAGACTTACCCTATTCTCTGATGTAGCAGGTTCCAGCCATTTGGGTATGTGGTCTGCAGCTTCTATCAGTAAGAACTCACCATCAGTGTCCCACACTCTGAAACATACAATTTCACATTAATCCAATGCAGTTAAAAACATAATTACACAGGAAATTATCTCATGTGTATTTGATGAGCTTTGATTGTAAATCAAACATTGGAGAATTCTATTATCTTCTACTGTGGCATTAAAAAATTGTATAATTGTGTAGTAAATTATAGAAGATCGACACACAGTGACCCCTGGGGTTTCTTTGTGAACATTTTCATTTTCACTATTCTGACAAAACAATTAAATTTTTTATGATTTTTCTCATTTCAACTTGGTACAAATTGGTCTTGGGTTAAAGGTTGGTGCAGCCAAATCTCAAATAGGAGCAGCACTAGCCCCCCCCCCCCTCTCCCATCTACTTTAAAAAGAGGATGAAATGCGTAGGTGAGGGTCACAATGGCTTAAATTAGACAAGTGAATCACCCACTTGCTTTAATGCTAATGAGATCAATGCGACTACTGCAAAACATAATTACATTTTAGATCCTGCACAAAGAATAATTGATGATATAAGAATAAGCAATTACATCAATTTGTTACAAAAAAACAATTGATCTCATATAATTAAGTAAAAGAGCACAAGTTTACATCTCAACAGGTGCATTTATGTTCAAATGATGATAATTATTTTATTTTTTCATTATAGTAAATCGTTCAGCTGTATTTTGATATGATGCTATAAAAACAGTTATTCCTCTGTCCTTTAATGATTTTTGATGAAATGAAGGAATCTCTGTTCTACCTGAAACAGGAGTAAATTAATTTGTTTATATATACAGAATATCACATCATTTTGAGTGATATCATTTTTATCGCCGAGTTGATATCAAATATCAACACGAGTGAGCGAAGCGAATGAGTGTTGATATTTTATATCAACGAGGCGATAAAATGATATCACGAGAAATTATGTGATATTGGGTTTATCCCATGATTACAATCACCTTGTGATGTTCTGATCCAATTTCCAGGACATTGGCAGACAATATAAAATTGAAATTAGAATATCAATTGAATATTTGAAACACTTTATTTTAACAATTAAAAGTAAATAAAATGAACATGTAAACATTGTTTGTTTCTTCAGTTTTATGTCAGCTTTATAACAGTTAATATTATTGTGACTATTGTGACTGTGACGAGTCATTGCTCACTACTAGCCTCCCCCTGCGAGAGGTCTTATTATGTGAATGTGATTGAACTGGTGGGACAACCTAATTTCCAACAATATTGTGGCGCGAAATGCAAATGTGATATCACACGGATATGCGTGAGATAAACGATATCACACGCATATGAGTTTGATAAACGATTTTCTGGAAAATATCACACGGATTTCAATAATATCAGAAATATCAGTAGCTGTTATTGTACAGATAACACATTAATCGTGGGATAAATAGAAATATTGTATCGTTTTATCACACAATTATATAGGTTATCAGATATCAAGGCATTCCATATGCCAACCACATACATATATAAATCATAAAATCAACAAGTACATGTACTGTACAAGTTATCATTTAGATAAACAAATTTGAGTTCAACATTTATCAATTGTATCCTTCTAGATTTAACTTTCTATCTATCATAGATAGACCTTACTAGGATTTTTGTGTATTGTCAATAAACTAAAAGTTAAAAAGTTTACATACTTGAACACTAGATTTGTTATACCAAGTTTGTAACATTTTTACGATCATTGATACTAAACCAATAAATTGAAACTGAAAGTGAAAAACTGTTAATAGAAATGATCTCATGATCCAATTTTCTAATTGATGAATTTGATTTTGATTATCATATCTTTAAGATTTTTTCAATCATAGAATTTATTTAAGATTACTTAGTACTATAGAAACATAAAAACTAGTAGCAGCTTTGCTGTAGCATTATCAGCCACTTGAAAGAGAATGAGAGAATAATATTAGCAGGGTGGAGAAAATGAGAGAACTCCAGGAAGTGAAATGTTGGCAGAGAGACCACGGTATTCACATTTTCTAGGAATGAAGCAATGAGCATCAAAAATTAAGAAGAGTTAAATTATTTTCCAGTTCTTCTAAAAATGGTGCAGGAGGGTACAGGAAAAACATGCATTGTTTTTAGGATTATTGTCTTACCATTTCCTGTTATACAAAGTGTCCTGTCATAACACCACTTCTAAATGTTTAAATCTAAGCAACATATCACATACATGTACTTGACCTATTACATGTATAGGTCTATTCCTTCAAATTAATAAATTATAAATTCTCATGCATACTCCTCATCAACTCACCATCACCCATTAGTTCCTGTGTTAAAGCTCGCTTATGTTTGGGGATTTTAAAAAAAGTTATTTTCATCCTTATGTTATTACATACACGAGGCTTCAAAGTACTTTCCATGATACTCAGGTTTGCCAAAACTTTGAAGGAGAGTATAAATTATGTGCTAGGGAAAATTGAATTATTTACGACTTCATACATCATGCTCATCATACTTGCAAACAGCGAGTCTTATCCAGCATAACTGGTAAGGTGAAAGCTTGTTCTTATAAATGTATCATATTCTAGATGATCACATCTGCAAGTCTATCTCTCAAGAGACCCCAGCAGTGTTCTAAAACCAGAACTGACTCTAATCCTGATCAACTGCCAAACTCGCAAGTTAATCTTTGAATCCAAGATATATACAAGCTTGCAAATTTACTTGTAGAACTCTTGCTTTAAATTTATTCAAGAAAACCATAAGAAACAAAACAAATGTGACTAAACACTGGCTTTTAATCAAATTAGTCAGAAACGTGTATATTTAGAGTTCCCTCATCATGCAAAAATGCTGAACTGTCTTTTCAATGTAGAATGAAAACAAATACAGTATGTATAACATACCAAGAAATTCAGACTTAGAAATGTAAGAGACTTACCCTAAGAAATTCAAATGTAGTTATGTTTCTTTATGTTTATTTTAAGTTGTTTCTTAAACTCAAAATGTCAAGTACTTGTGTGGGTAATTGATAGTTTGAACATATTGTGTTGCTTGTTTACATATAGTTTAATTTCAGATTAAAAAAAAGTATAATATATCTAACAGAACGCCTTCTTTCGCAATTATACAACATGATGGCTTAAGCAGAGTTGATACTGAAAATGCATAATACATTGAATATCAGTAAAAAGAGTTCATTCTGTTGTAAATCAGAAGAAAACCATTAATAATCATATTATCACAATTTTTGAGATTTCTAATTCTACCTCAAAATCATATCAATGTACAGGCTATAAAAATGACAACTGAGGTTGAGTAATTAAAACAAAAAACAATGATTATGGATGTTTCAATGACTGCTTCCACTGAGGTGATGAAAAGAAAAAAGATGATTTTGTGGAAGGAGAATACATATACATATTTATATAATATCTACCAGGATCCTACTGATTCATTCAGTATATTAAGAGCACAAGATATCCCATTTTTGTACCCTGCGTGCAGAGTCTAGTTAAACTACACTCTGCCTAGTAGAAACCATATTACAGTTTAGTAGCCCCGCCCCCACGACGGGTATAGGTGACAGTTCGGGTAATAAATCACTTCTGACCTACGCGCTGACCTTTCTTCCACCAATCAGCGAGCTTGAAGAAACACGCGCCAAAATAAATTCTGAATTGTCATTGGTCAATTCCGGGCTTAACGATGACGTCAGAAGGAATGACCATATATAGAACGTCGGTCAAATTTGGCCGACGAGCACTGATTGGCGCGGTGAGTTCACAGGTTTATTTTAGTTTGAAAGAGTGAAGACGGAGCTCTCTTTTAAGAAGTGAAGTCGAACGAATGCAAAGGGTACCATTTTTGCAGATGTGATCTCCAATACAAGCATTCAGATATGATATATTCAAGTACCAGTTTATATGATCTCCCAAAATAATTCTTAGCAGGGTGCTGGAACTTAATTTTAGTTTTGGTCAAAATATCTTATCATTTTGACAGGTAGAAAACAAATGTTTAACAAGTTAGAACATTAATGCAGGATTTTGAACAGGGTATTATAGCTGATTGCTCTAATTAAATGCTAGAGAGATTATTTTAAATGAGCAAATATTATTAAAAAGAGAGTACATGTACTTACCTTGCAACTAAGCCAGGATATGTTTTGGTGAGTTCATACAGCATGTAGACAATAAACCATTCATCTTCTATATTGTCTCCAAATCTTGTTATGCCTCTTAAATGACCAGGAATCAGCCCTGAAAATAAAGTGATGATTTAATAATTATATATTATATGTGGGTATCATTGTAGCATTGTTTATTTGGTTAAGTTGAATGCTTTCACTCTTTCGACTGACAAGTATATGGACTAAAGACTTTCTACTTTGGATTTTTGAATTTCATTTCACTCATGTTATATAACTTGAAATATTGTTCATTTTGCAGTCTAATTAGATGCACTTTATGTTTAAAAAAATATGTTCTTCAAAACCTCCAAATTCAGTACTCAAAGAAACATCTAATATCTATTGAAGTTAATATTAGAAGGAACGCTGGCAGCTGCTTTGTATATCCTTATATTTTTAGATCATTTCATAAAAGCAATCAGAAAATATGGTAAGCATGTTAATATACAGGAAGTTGTAACAGAGTTTCCTCAATTTGGTTATCAAGTGATTTTGAAATGCAGTTGCTGTTTCATGTAATGAGCTCTACATGGTGGCGGACTAATGATGTTGGTAGTATTAAAGATAAATCAAGATATAAGTAATATATTATAAGGATCTGACTACAAAAATGAAGTCCTGTCTAAGGTAAAATGTCTTGCCTTTTCGTGGCTGTGTAATGGAGTTCCCTTTAAACCTTAAAGATAGTAAATGATGCATACTATTTGGTTACATATGCATTTTGCTCACAATAAGAGAAATATGCATTTGAGTTGTACCTCATATAATTAACATACATCCTAGGCTAGATAATTAATAACTTTAAATGTTTCCATAATCATAATCTACTACTCTTATAAATCATCCATGCATTGCCTGAAATTTTATGAGTACAATATAATACACATACTGATCTCCTCAGATTTTTTCTGATCAGAGTGCTTGGTTCCAGGGGTTTACATTTAATAACTTTGGAACAAAATCACTTGAAAAGTGCTCAGAATGGTGACATAACTACATGGTTTTGGAAGATGTTTTGACCAGGGGGTTTACCCAAATGCTCCCATCCCATTCAGTCAACTTCAGTCAAGTTCTGAAACAGATTTTTCGGCAAAATTATTAGCCCCTTGTCAATTACCATGTCCGAGGTAAAGCACATCCCCTTTTCAAAACTATCACCAGCTTACCTTAAAAATGCAAGGATTATTGTGAAATAAAATCAGAACTATTGGACGTTTTAGAAAAGGGATGAAATGATGAGACCAAACGACATCTTAACATTGTGACAATTGAAGATCTTACACTCTGCTTGTCTATATCATTTCTACTTTTACTTCCTTCTTTTTATTTGCATCAAAACATTTCAGTCCAATTCTGATTAGTCAACAGAATATTGATACTGGTCATTATATGAATCAGGGAAGTTAAAATATTTCTAATAGAAAGCAAAATGATCATTAGAAGACTGGAAAGAAGCAGAATTTGCAATTAAGTTTATGGGAAATTCATAGAACACGCTAATTATCAATTTTAAACCAGTCCCATCGTTATCCTTCAATACTTGACCGCCAGTCAGATGCTTTTAGGCATGCCCTATTTGTAAATGTCCAAGTTTTTTTTCTTTCCAGAATTAGTTAAACTGAAAAATGTTCAGCCATTTCTATCATTTCTATAGAGCCACTTTATATATCTTCTAAACATGAGGATTTTAGTCACAGTCCCGACACATGTTATTTCATATTAGACTACATAGGACTGTCAATATACATATACTTATATCTGAAAGCTATAAGACTTTAGTAACCTGTTTTAAACCTTTTCTCATTGGGTTACTGATGAGGTACCCCCTGTTATCTGTATTGTAAAGTACCTAACTAAAACCAAAATAGTCTATTAAAATCATTGTCAAGTCTTCAGAGCACTTCTTGATATACGATGGTGTGTTTGACTTCAATAGGGTGGATGACATAGGCCCAGGAACATTATAATTATACAAAGTTTGTCCAGAGTCTTCTTAGGTACGCAGACTCAATCGATTATACATGTTCCCAGGCCTATATAAAGATAAAACACATATTCGATAGATAAGTTCATATGGTTAAAATAATGAAATAATGAAATGTTAACCGTGTGTCTACTTAGCAGTTTGTTCTATGTCATCCCTCCTGCTAGGTTACATTGTGGAACTCAGGCAAACACGACGCTGAAGGCAGTATTCTGAGGTTATAAAATCTAAATCTTAAATATTTCCCATTTGCAGCCCCTTGGACTAAAATTACAATTTAGCAGTTTCGTTGAAAAAACTGATTTGGAATACCCAGTGACTTTAGCAGCCCTCCCTACAATGTTTGACCTTGCTATCTCTGTGTGCCCTCTTCTATAATCAGAAGCAAATGCTCGCAAAACATTTTCCAAAATATTTACTACCGTTTTCCTTGAAGACATGGTTGGGTGACATGTCATTATCGATACAGTAACTAGTCACGTGATCAGACACGTGTCACGTGATCAGACACATGTTACGCAATCAGTTACGTGAGCTTGCAAAATGGACGATCTAAATTTTCAAAAATTCTGCTAAGATCAATATCGACATGTTGTTGCCTTCGTTGTCCTGTTTGGCTGCAGTCCACAATGTAACCTAGCAGGAGGGATGACAATAGAACGAACTGCTCAGTAGACACACGGTGACATTTCATTATTTCGTTATTTTTACCATATGAACTTATCTATCGAATAAGTGTTTTATCTTTAGTTGATGATCAAACAACCATTTCCCCAACTTTTCCCACATGCTATCTATTGCAAGACTTACGCCTGCCACAACCATCACCATGTTAATCAGTGTTTTTTAAGTAGCGCAAGGATCCTGCCATGACCGTGGTAGTGTTATTGTGTAAGCCTGGTATAACCGTGACAGGCTGGTATAACCGTGACAATGCTGTATTCTATTGCAAGGCCTGTCATGACCCTGGAAGTGTTATCGTGGAAGCCTGGCGCGACCGTAGCCTTTATTGTGGTTTATAAGCGAATGTGAATATAATGTATAATAGTAATTTTGATTTTGACATGATAAAGGTAGTTAAACACCATGATCATAGTATTAAACTGTTTAATTGTAATGAGGATCACTTAAAATTGTTAAAGATATTCCTGGCATTAATGTCATACATATTTAGTAGTTATTGCAATACATTATAACGGTCATAGTAGAACTAAGCCTAAATCTCTACATTACCACCCTCATACCTGGCCTTGCAATACTATATTACATTGCCATGGTCATACCAGGCTTTGCAATACACATTGTCACGGTTATAGCAGTCCTAATCGTAAATTTCTACATTACCACTCTCATACCTAAACTTGCAATACTATATTACATTGTCACGGTCATGCCAGGCCTTGCAGTACTATATTACATTGTTACGGTCATACCAAGCCTTGCAGAACTATATTATATTGTCACGGTCATGGCAGGCATTGCAATATAATACAGCATTGGCGCGGTTATACCAGGCTTTCACGATAACATTACCACGGTCATGGCAGGATCCTTGCGCTACTTAAAAAACACTGAATAACATGGTGACGGTTACGCCAGGCGTTAGTCTTGCAACAGATAGGGTCTCACTTTTCCACATAAATATATCATTATCATGAAAATATGAATCACATCCTACAGAGTTAAATATACTATGATTACTGAATACTGATTAGTCTGGGCCTGAATCAATAAATGTATTTGTACAGAAAAAATAATAAAAACCAACCTGACGATTTATGAACGTTCAAATTGAAAGGTTCTTTCTGCCAGATATAAGACACCAAAAGTGATCCTAGGTGTCCCAAATACTGATCACATCTTTCTTCTAAGTATTCCTGCTCGTCTGGTGGTTCTAATCCTTCGGGGGGCGGTGGAAATAGTTGATATTCCACACAGTCTTCTTGCACTTGTAAATGTTTAGCAGCCATCCTAAAGTTTACGGAGTGAAGCTATATTCGGACGTTGATTGGTTTAACTTCAATTTAAAGTCAGGGTCAAGGTCATTTTGAACTTCCGTGTTTTTTGAAAATATAAAATTGTTACAATTGAGTTTCATCAGCAATAGAACGAGCTGCAGATGATAAAAAATGCTTAAACCAAAAGCATTAACACAGGTCCTCAGCCAGGCGAATACTGGAGGTGTTCAAAGTACACTGTAAGTGTAATAAAGTCATATGATTAAATTTTTCTATGATCCTCAAAAAACAGCCCAGCTTTTTGCCTAAATGAAACAAATACATTTTGACAGTTACTTAATCAACTTTATATGTTACTGTAAACACATTGTTCATTGGTCATTGTTACTTTGCTAGCTAGGTGCATTCATGCACCCTCTGGGTCTCTCCCGGGGGGTCCACTTTATATAAACCTTGACGGGGATCCTCGGCGCATGTGGGGTACCTTTTTCAACGTTTGGTATGGCAATGGACCCATATTTCAGGATTTGGTATGGGAATGCCCGGAAATTTCTGACTTCTGAGGTATGGCAATGGTCGGACTTTTGCTCTTCTGGTATGAGAATGGTCGTTGTAGATACGTTACCTAACATTAGTGGTATGGCTTTGGTCTAGTAGTTACAAATTTGAAGTTGTTTTGGATCGTTTCCCGAAGTATCTTCTTTTCCAGGGCCTTCTTCAACTTTTGAATTTTATATGGTATGGCATTGGTCCTACATTTTGACATTTGGTATGGCATTGGTCCCATAATTGGGTATTTGGTATGGCATTGGTCCTATATTTGGACATTTGGTATGGCATTGGTCCTATATTTGGACATTTGGTATGGCCTTTGGGCGTTATTTTGGTTGGTATGGGAACATATTGAAATTTGACAGATTGGTATGGGAACATATTGATATTTGAGGCTTCAGCCTAGGACCCCCGTCGATTTTTATATACAGTGAACCCCCCGGGGGGTCTCTGAGGATCGTGTTGGCAAGTCCATACGACAATCCAACGCATTTGCTAGCGAACTCATCTTTCAGATCTTGGCTCTGAAACAGTGTATTCAAATTTCTCATAATAATGCATGGACTTGAGTCAATGTTTCTCTCGAAACTTACACTCAAATTTTTCATTCTGGGAACCAGTTCATACATGTATGGTTAAAGTCCCATTAAAATAACGAAATGATGTGATATAACCACATATCTACTTACCAGTATGTTCTATGTCATCCATCGGACTAGGTTACATTGTGGAACTCAGCCAAACATGACACTTGAATGATTCTCTGGAAGTGATTTTCAAAGCACTGTTGCTTTGATAGGGAGGAAAGTACTACATTAAACAAGCTGCGGGGGTTCTCCATCACCTTGGAAACAGCTGAGTTCAATAAGCTCACTGACTATGTGGAGTCCCGTAAAAACTTTGAAAGTATCACAAATAAATCTGAAAATATGTAATTTTGTGGTTGAGTATCTACAGTGTACACTCCTAATTTATTCAATACAAAAGCTCTGTAGCAGTGTCGCAGTACCCATTGCTCTAATGCTGGATAGAATACTGATTTATTTATGTTTTGACTTATTGATGGATTTGATATGTTTGCAGATTATTGAACAGTGAAGGAGCTCTACTCGCTTTCTCAGGATATGGTGATCAAGATGCGCGTGTAACAGCAGCTATTGCCAGTAATATTTGGGCATCATATCTGAAGACAGGAAAAGTGACATTTAACGAAGACTCTTTACAACATATACTCATAGACTGCATGGTAAGGCCACATTTGTGATTGTTTAAATGACTGCTAGGTTAAAAAAAATGCAATATCACCCCTCCCCCTCCCTTCTCTCAATTTCTACATACATGATATAGGACATAGTTTATGGTAAAATAGAAGTATCATAGGTTCTGTATTCTTTTCAGTTCCATTTTTATGTTCACCTGTAAGTCTCAAACTTTTTTGTGGACTGTGTTCAACATTTGGTGGGTGGTGTTTAATGTTTGATAGGTGATGTTTGGCACCTACTGTATATCAAACAGCAGGTGGTGGTGACATTTTGCATGTTTATGTCTTGTTATATCACCATTACAAGTTGTGAAATATTGTTAGTCTCCTACTCTTTTTTTGATGGTGTTCGTTATTTGGTATTCAGTGGGCAGTGTTCGGTATCTATAACAAATGGCAGGTGGTGACATTTTGCATGATAATGCCTTGTTTAACATCATGTTGATGCTTTAACAGTCTAAATGACCCCAAAAGTAGTAGTTGTCATGGCCTTTATTAGGAGTTTCATCACGTAATAAATGCCAGTCCTTATAATAGTGTGACACTTGGTGACTGCTACCTTGATATGATTGGACCACATTCTGATTTATACCCTTTGCAATCACTTGACTTAGCTTCTTAAAAGATAGCTTCGTCTTCACTCTTTCAGTTTAAGAGAAACCTTTGAACACACTGAGCCAATCAGAGCTTGTAATTGAAAGAAGGACAACTTTCTATACATGGTCATTTTATCTGGCCTCCATTGTGTGGACCAACATTAAACATTATCATTGCCTGACCATCTCTCTCCTAATATGGTAGCTTATCTACTTGGATAAGTATCAATCAAATAAGTATGAACATGTATAAATAAAAATATTGGTGTAAAATAAACTTATTTTATTCAGATTCTATTTATTGTTACATATTATTGAAAGTCCATGCATACACATGTCATCCTGACAGATATAGTTGGTACAGATACATTTCTAATTGTCAAACAGTAACTTTTCAATTTCAATTTCAAAATAATTTATTTCATTTTTCATTACAGATTTACAACATTATACAGGGGGTGTATAACTGCCCATTGATAATTAATTTTACAATATACAACTGTGAGCATCCAAAGTGGTACATACATCTATACAATAATATAATATAATATGAATACACTATGCAAATACAATAATATGAGACATTAAAGAAATACAATAAAATGTTTGCTTATTCTGTACTCAGAAGGTGCAGTCTTCAAAAGAGAGAAGAGACTTTTCATTTTAATATTCAATGTTTTTCATTTAAACCCTGTTTTTACCTCCTTTCTTTTTTGCATAAAATGACAGATTTGTATTTGACCCAACCACTAAGTCTTTACCTTTGACCCTTGACCTTGTCATTAATACTAGTACTTCTGATTTTTAATTGCACTGTCACTTGATGACTGCAATTCATGAATCAGCATTCGGGTCCTCGGATCGGGAGTCGGTGGTATGCGACCTTTAACCCTGTCGAAGCTTTATAACACTTTCGCCACCCCATCAATGACGTATGGTGCTAGCGTTATCCCTTATTCATCAAAAGATATCAATAAACTCGAAACGGCGCAGCGAAAAATTGGCAGGAAAATACAATCCTTTCCCGAATGAGCGGAATGCCCCGTAGCCTACGAGCCACTTGGATGGGAAGGTATAGAATACCAGATCGATACAGCAAAACTAATGTTCATATGGATGTTACTGAGTTTGCCTTGCAACAACATATACAAAAGACTGTTGATTTTACGAATGACACTTATGGAATTTGACTTTAAAGGAATTAAAATGTCATCCCCCATCGCACATATGTGGTGCACGGCCAGGAAATACGATCTTTCGGAAATTGTAAAACTAATGTTAGATGGACAAATGATCTCCAAAAGTAGTTGGAAACGTCTAGTAAAATGTCGAATTCGAGACCTACAAGAATCAATGTTTCAATAAGATGCATGTTATACGAAGGTTTATCTTATTTTATCAATGGTCACTCATGTCTAATTCCAAATAGCTGGTATGTTTTGTGTCAAAGGATGCCACGATTGAAAAAACAATTTACAACTGTTGTGAAGTTAATGACTGGTCAATTAGGTCTAAACGGTCACAAAAAGTGGGATATCTCAAAAGAAAATGGTCGATTGTGCAATGTCTGCAACTTAAATGAAATTGAATCAATCGAACATTTTCTCTGCCATTGCGAGTTGTATGTTGAAGAAAGGTTAGCACTTTACGAAATCTATAAATATAACGATACAAGTAGTGTTAAAGATCGCATCAATCTGATCTTAAATTGTACAAACGACGATCTTGCATTGCAAGCTGTCTTAATAATTCACTCAATGTATATCAAGAGACAAGCAACGCTCGCAACTTCGATCATTTCATAAACATGAGCAAATAATTTATCCATTTTTTTATTTATGTATTAACTTCCAATTAATGTACAATTGTAACTCTCTTATATAAGAGGTAAATAAAGAATACAATACAATACAATTACAAAAATATATATTGTATTAATTAGTATTTCCAACTAGTTTTGTATCAATTACTTCATTATATTCTTTCATGTGATATTTGGAACCTCTGGTAACACCTTGAGATAAAGGTGTTAACTTGAGATAAAGGTGTTATCACAATTCGTTGATATCAAGTCCTAAGGATTGCTGCTAATGTTTTTTTTATAAAACTTTGGCAATCAATTGCATGTCTTCTATTGTTTACTAAAGGAATAAATTTATGTATAAAAAAAAAAAAAAAGTCCTAAGGATTTCCATGCCATTCTTATTGCTTAATTACAACAATAGATGGCCATAAAATCTCTACAAGTATTAGTGTGTAGCCATACAATGTACTCCAAGATCTGTTGCACATGTGCATGTATGGTCGACCGTACCAATCCTGTCATAAGTTTTAACTGTAGCACCGGGACCCAATTTCCCGAATAAAAATGATCCACTTCCACCATCTTGATTCATCCAGAAATCAGTATATGCTTCAATGAACTCATATTTAGATATCTCACCAGTACCATCACTATCTACTGCTTCAAACCCATTTTCTGGGAGACTGCAGTTCATTCCAAAAATCTCAAGAAAGTATTTGTATTTTTCAACTCCAATACCTCCCTCTTGGTCACTATCCAGAATGTCATACAGATGTTCAGCACTATGCAATATAGCAGCATTAAGGTAATCCTTATATTCTTTTTTTGAAAAGTACGATAGAAGAGCATTTGTGAATCCATCCTTTGATACTTGATGATCTGGGGCATCACCTTTTCCAGCTGTTATAATCGTATTCCACATTATGTCTATAAATATGAATTTCAAGCCATTACGACGTGGCTTGCCCATCTTGCGACCTAATTGTAGGTAACTATTCTCTATTCTATCAAGTAGATTGAAAAAGTCACTTTTCTGAAGAAAGCCATCTCCAGTTTGGTCTAGCATCCGGAAAACTATAGACATTTTCTCTCTCCAAAATGATGAGCCTTCCGTCATGTTTGTAACTTCTTGTCCTTTTTTGCTTTGAACTTCTACTGTGTAAGTATTAAATTGCCAACTGTATAGAAATGTATTACTTTCATCAAATTTTATTATAGCCGTCAAGTCTCCAGCCCCTTTCTAATGGCTGCACTGCTACCAGTACAGTACTAAACAGTATTTGTCACTACTGTAATTCCTTGGATAACTTACTTTATTAGCTTGTTGACACAATTATTTAGAAAAGTTGATTGTTTGTTTTATATTTTTCAAACTTCACACTAATCTGCTATTTGGCAAGTTTGTTTATCAGTTTTCATCATAGAAAACAATAGAAGATTAACAGTATATTAATCTACTCCTGATTTATACACTACAACACAAACACATATTTGAACACGTATTTCATTGATCCATTTTGTTATGTTTATCAAATGAAAAAACATTATCACAGGCTGGTATCGAAATTATTGTCCGCTTTGACGGAGCATGCTATTTTTCATAAAAACACTAAGAATACTTCACAATTTATTTTTTAACTCATATGTTTCGTTATACCATACAAAATTACTTACTCCATGCAATGGATATATCATTTGCCGGTAACTTTCACTTCTGTTTGAAGTCCAATTACGCTGGGAAGAAAAGCTATTGAAAATGGCGCCGGAGTATCATACTTCAAAATGTACCATTTCTTGTTTAACTTTCTAATGGAACGATATAGTGACACGATAATATTTGCACATGGTTTCAGCATAAGTATGAAGGTATAAATGAGATGTTGATGTATTTGGTCTTTTTATCGTACCTAACAAGAGGTACGATATTGTAGTCAGCTTGACGGGCGGGCGGGCGGGCGGCGGCGGGCGGTGTCTCACTTTTCAGCTTGTCTACAGGTTTCCAGCCAAACCATTTGAAGGATTCATCTGAAATTTTCAGGGATGTTTCTACATATCAAAGTCAAGAACTGATTAGTTTTTGGGCATTCTGGGTAAATTTTAAGGTGGCCATTTTGGATTTTCGTCCTAAAATCTTCACTTTCAAGACTTGTCTACAGGTTTTCAGCCAAACCATTTGAGGGATTCATCTGAAATTTTCAGGGATGTTTCTACATATCAACGTCAAGAACTGATTAGTTTTTGGGCATTCTGGGTAAATTTTAAGGTGAGCATTTTGGATTTTCCGTCCTAAAATCTTTACTTTCAAGACTTGTCTACAGGTTTCCAGCCAAACCATTTGAGGGATTCATCTGAAATTTTCAGGGATGTTTCTACATATCAACGTCAAGAACTGATTAGTTTTTGGGCATTCTGGGTAAATGTTAAGGCTGCCATTTTAGATTTTCCGTCCTAAAATCTTGTCTATCGAGGCTTGTCTACAGGGTTCCAGCCAAACCGTTCAAATTTTTACATATGTTACACAGTGATAAGTTCTAGAGCTCACACTGGAATAGCCTGATTACGGTAAAGTCAGATACCGTTGTCACAAATGGCGGACATAACTGTCGCTTCAATTAGATTTTCATGAACTGTATGTTTAATAGAGTACCTAGACTAAATTCCTTTGGAACAACAAGCAATCAAAGTGTCTTAATACTCATTGTACAGTTAATAATGTTCTACCATCGAAATAAAGTCTTTAATTCTACCGACCAAAATGAGATACGGGACAACGGACACTGTAATTACCATATGCCGTTGTCTTTCTAAATTACCCAAATTCAGATTCCGTTGTCATTGACGATATCGAAGACGCTATATTGTGGCAATTCATGACCCAATCTGATGGAAAATGGGATTTCATATGATACATTATCACAAGAGCTCAATGCATGCACATAATTAGTGATGATAAAATCCCATGAAATGAAGACCAAGTGATTAGACAGTTGAAGCGACGGTTATGTCCGCCATTTTGTGACAACGGTATCTGACTTTACCGTAGTCAGGCTATTCCGGTGTGAGAGCTGATTAACTTTTCTGCGGCCATCTGGCTTTCTTGGTCAACAAGACCACAATGCTGTGTTTTAGGTACGATATTGTTCACGTCTGTGCCTTGTTATCATTATTTTCACTGTTTGCAACGTAAATGTACATGAGATCAGGACATAGTATGTCTGTATAATCAGCCAACTTTCTGCTCCCTGTACTATTGAACAATTTACATTCCTTGTACCCTGAATTGATCGACTTTTGCAACTGTGTACCGTAATATTTCAAAATTTAAAACGATATTATTTACATTCTTTCTTCAACTATCATATAACTTGGAACATGGACTTCACTTTTGCACCACTGAAGTTCAACGAATAGCAATAATGACTCACTCCGAGCACCAAACGTATTAACCTTTTGACTAAACAGTCGATATACTCAAAAGCGACCTGGTTGAAAACCAAAAGATTTGCGCATGCGCGATCGAGGTAGGGTAGTGTGATCCACCTACAATAGTACAATAAAGTTTGATAGTAAATTAGCCATCCCTCCAAAGGCAAATTATAGGGCTAATAACTGTGATATAGGGCTAATAACGGTGATATGCATGCTTACAACTCGGGGTTTACAAAAATGCAACCAATCGTGTTGGTGAATAAATGCTTCGTGATAACCTAATAATAAGCTTATAAGCTCGCCCAAGTAATTGGGCAATAGAGTTTTAGGGACCATCTCACTAAAGTTTTGTTGCGCTAAAGTTTCCACTTCTACAGTATCTGGAAATGAAAGATTTCAACGGTTTTAAAAATTCAATGCAAGTCCAAGTGTTAATACAGAATAGATCGAATCATGATTCGACCCATTCCGTATTAACAATAACGCAGATGCGAGTAGGTAGTTACCAGATTCACCACCAGGTGGCTCGTTCGGGTCAGATAGCATGGCGGGTATAGGATAGGGTATAGGGTATAGGTATATGTGGTCGCCGGGTTGGCCTAGTGGTTAAGGCATTGATCTGAAAAGCAGGAAGTCTGGCTTCAAGCTGAAAAGTAGAGGTCTTGGGTTCAAACCCAGGTCACAGCACTTCTTGTGATTTGTCTTTGACCTATGACTGCTGACCTATACCGGCGATTACTAGAGTGCTGCTAACTCGATAAAAGGCTGGCGCTGGCTAGAATTGTCTATGGTTCTAGCCAGGATAAAGGTACCAGTTCTTCAACTCGAAAATGGGAAGAGCTGCTCTACCTAAGTGACTAATATGTCATGATATGACATCTAAAGAGTCAATAAAAGATATATATATATATAGGAGAAAGTTCCCTTAAACTTAAATCACATCTGTTTTAATGATTCAATTTTCATATAACCCTTATGTATCTAATAGTTATGCAAACTGAAATATGTCCAGTAAAAGAAAATGTTATCTATCCAATACAAGAAAAGATATTTCACTTTTTGTGATTTTGTATCATGGGGTCTATGGGGAATCAACCCGAACAAGAAGTCACATTTTCAAAAAAAATAAAATTTTCAAAGTTGATAAACAATTTTCGAAAACATATTTCTAGATGTACTTTTTCACGTAGATTTCAAATATGACATCACCTTGACTGAATTTTGAATATTTAATGACACAAATCAAGATTATTTCTACTCGCACCTAGTCTATTGGACTAGCATTGAGTTTTTTAAAATCTTGAAATTGTATATTTGGAACCAATTTGACATGCTTGGTTTGTAAAGGACTAAAGTATCCATCGGCGGCAAATGAAATCAGTTTCAATAGTTTAAGTTTCAAAAAGTTATGACAACTTTTGTCATTTTTTCAGGACTTCATAAAATGGTATGATATTAACTCTACATTGTTTATTGATATATGGATGCATACCTAAAATTTTGAGAATACATTATTCTAGTATTGTGAACATTTTAAGGATAGGAAAAATTGCAATCACCCAAGTGTCAAACCTATTGTTATTATTTCAGGAAGGGGAAGTTGCAATCATCCAAGTGTCAAACCTATTGTTATTATTCCAAGAAGGGAAAGTTGAAACCATCCAAGTGTCAAACCTGTTGTTTATTTCAGGAAGAAAAAGTTACAATCATCCAAGTGTCAAACCTATTGTTATTATTCCAGGAAGGGAAAGTTGCAAGCATCCAAGTGTCAAACCTATTGTTATTATTTAAGGAAGGGAACGTTGCAATCATCCAAGTGTCAAACCTATTGTTATTATTCCAGGAAGGGAAAGTTGCAATCATCCAAGTGTCAAACCTATTGTTATTATTCCAGGAAGGGAAAGTTACATACAATCATCCAAGTGTCAAACCTATTGTTATTATTTCAGGAAGGTAAAGTTGCAATCATCCAAGTGTCAAACCTATTGTTGTTTATTACAGGAAGGGAAAGTTGCAATCACCCAGGTGTCAAACCAATTGTTATTATTTTAGGAAGGGAAAGTTGCAATCAAAGGTATATAACCCTTACCCTATTGTTATTATTATTTTAGGAAGGGAAAGTCGCAACCATCCAAGTGTCAAACCTGAAAATGAGAAATATATACATGATTTAAAAAAAAAAAGTGTCAAACCTGTTGTTTATAATTTCAGGATGGGAAAGTTGCAATCACCCAGGTGTCAAATCTATTGTTGTGCATCTATGCTAAGTCATCAGTTGGGTTTGGAATGCTGAAAGCGAAGGTAAGCAAAAAGAATAAATCAGACAATTGCTTAATGTAGTTATTCCCTTACGCTTTGCAGTTTTCATTTCATACCAAAGGCACAATAATAAGAGAATAGATGGAAACATTGAATAGGATTACGTAATTATCCCACCGAACGAAGTTCGAGGTTCGAGGGGGATATAGAGAAGCCGTCCATCCGTCTGTTCGTCCGTCCGTCCGTGTGTTTCGGGCGATAACTCCAATACCGTTTGACAGATTTGGTTCAAATTTTATAGGCTTATGCCTTATGAGTGTAGGACCTCTACCCGAGAAGGAATTTTCAATATGGCCGCTCAATTCAAATTGGCCGCCATTTTTCGTAAAAAATGTAATTGTTGATAACTCAAATACAAGTTGACGGATTTGGTTCAAATTTTATATGCTGATGCCTAGGGACAAAGGAGTTTCGCACAAAAAGAGATTTTCAAGATGGCTGCTTAATTTTAATGTTTTGTTCGGTGGGATTTGCTACTCCATGGAGTTGCTGTTTTTCTAGTTTGTTTCTTTAACAAGTTAAATGTGAATATTTCTTAATTTAATGTAAGTCTTAAAGTGATTGGAAATCAATCATTTTATATCAGTCATTCAATCAGAAATCATTTCATTCGTAATTGTGAACAATACCCCTATTATGCAATCGCTCCTTAAAACTAACCTTCAAAAAATTGTTTTTCTTTTTTCCAGTTAGATGCACTTTCATCATATCTAGAGGAACCACTGACACAAGTTGCTGCTTCTTGATACAAGACAGTAGAGACATCTTTATTTGCCAGAGACAGTTAATCATGTATATAGACTGTATATAAATTATTTTGAAATCATGATAAAAGGACTAAATGTGATGATTAAAATGGAATCATTCATATGTACACAGTACAGTGTATACTCTATGGATATAAGATATTAAAGAAAAGCAATATTTTATCAAGGAAGAATAGTATTTGAATTGTGTTTTCTTTTTAATTCTGTATCTATCCTCGAGTGCAATATCCACTCTCTTGAAAGCCCATGATTTTACCCTATAAATAGCAGATGATGTTGTATTGAAAACTGGACATTATTGCGCCATATATAGAATTAATACACCTCTTGATCTAATCCACACTATATTCATATTATACATTAAAACTAGGTTCCATGAAGCAGCTTCACAAGAAGTTTCAGATGACGAGCCCAACTAGATGCACTTTTATGAGCGTTACAAGATTTGCTCTAAATACTTGTTCATCCCTTTGCAAGCACACCTGGATTCTACGCAAAAAAATACTACCTTCTTTTTGTGACATAACTTTGTAATCCTAAGTGGGGAAGAAAGTCCAATAAATTAATTACAAAATGATATAGTTGTCATTGATAAAATCATTATAACTTATTTCCAAAATTATGTTACAAAAGGTGTGTCATTTGTCGTGTAGAATCCAGGTGCGCCAGCAAAGGAATAGACGACACATCTGGTCATAAATCTGCTGGTTGGGCTAGTCATCTGAAACTTCTTGTGGAGTTGCACCATGGATGCTAATTTAATGTGCCAAAAAACAAATTAGAATCTTTGCCGACATAAAAATTATGAAACATTATGTGGGTGGGTGGCATTTTTGTGTAATGCGATTTCATAATCAATGAAAAGCATTGGTGGTTATGCAGGTTAAAAGATCAAACCTTGTAGAGAACCATTGAAAAAAATTCTGGACGAATTTCATTCTATTGTAACAATGTGATGCACTCATGTCTTGTTTCAGTTTTGAATTTGACCTTCCACCCTCCCTCATTCAAAGGATACAAGACAATTGTGTTGAAAATCACCCACAATTCATTGAACCCAATGAGTTTAACTGTTTGAATTTTGGATGTATCTAAAATTGTGAATATTGAAGATTGCCAATACTGTATCTTCTTTCTGATTTGTTTCCTTGAAAATTTGAAATGGCCACCCTAACCTTGTATTGGTGGGAATTTTGAGATTTCACTGAAGAATGCTTTTCTGTTTGCAAATCAAAGCTTTTTAACAGTAGTTTGTAAAGTAATACTTTGACACAATTACTAAAAGTCATGGATTCTTGTTTGTTAAGATGGAGTTGCTGTTTCAATGTTTATTTTTGGTACTTGGGGCAGTATTGCATTCATACAGTTCATGTTGCCTGGTTCACGTTGAATTAATTTAATGATACCCTCTATTTAATATTTGGCAAGACTCTCCCCCCAAACACACCCCAGACCCAATTTGGATCCTTACTACGCTGACACCATTGTCATTCTTAATATCCTTAGTGCAAAGTTATTGTGACTAGGTTGTTGTTAACTAGTTGTTTAGATTTATTTATTAGCTGCAATTGGGAAACTAACAATGGCCTCACAATGTAAATACAGATTCACAGACCTTTTAAGTTATTAGGAGAATGTAAATATGTTTTATGGCAATTTAACAAAAGGTATATGAATCTTATGATGTTTAAACTGCTGTGTAACTACAGAGTCAAAAGAAATGCTGTGTACTTTAGATCTTTTTACATTTTTTTATTGACTGGGCAATTCAACTGATTTGTGAAGTTGCATTTAAGGTTAATAGTAGCTTGGACAAAATAGTATGATGGAACAAAGTTTATAAAGAATTTTAAAATAATTATATATACCTGACAATCTGGTCAAATTATCTTAAAAAACCTGATGAATGAAAATGCTTTATTTGCATATCTCATTTTCATTTTTCACAAAGTCAGAAAATAAGTTTCAATCAATGTTTTGAAAGAATTCAACTTTTTGTGTTCTGGCTACTAATAAACTCCTGAGTTGATATTTGATATGGTGTCACATTTTTGATGCAATTATATGCCAAGAATACGACTTAGAAAATTGCTGTTTGAATTTTATGTAGCATGTGAAGGATTTCTTGGAATCAGCTGGGAGAACATGTTGTTTGTACAAATGATACTAGCTGTGTTTGTATTAATCAGTATTGGAGTTGGAACAGTGTATCAGGTGTCTGCAAGTGAGTATGTTTTGAAAAATTGTGTTTGCTGCTGATAAATTATTGTTCCCAATATCACACACATGTCAACATCAATTTGAATAAGTTTTATTTTATTATTTTATTTATTGTTTACTGGTTTAATCTCTCAGTAAACAAACAGTTTCTAATTTCAACATATGTGAATATTTTATGACTTGAAATAGAGTATTCCTATTATTTTTACTCATTCTAATTTTGAAATATGTTTCACATACATGGAATTGAAATCGTTGTTTCATTTTATGAACACGTTGATTGACGCATTGTATGTCATTTATGAAGATGAAGGCTCTGATTTTAGAATATATCATCAATATTTTTACCACAATATTTCTTATCAAATATCATTAAGCCTATCCATTTCGAATGAGAAAATAAATACTCATTTAACACTTATTTAAGATATACAATTGGATTATCCTGCAGGCTACCCCAATTTGTACACTTTAGTCCTAAATGATGAGATTTCTATAATCCTTTCTTTATTCATTTTAGACACTATGGCTCAAAATAATAGTGGAACCCATGTTGGCATCAATTGTTTCCAATGTCATAATTATGATGGCATTGACATAATGAGCCCTGGGAATGAATCATTCACAATGTCCTGTTCGGATGAGTTTACATTGAGTAACACAAGCTCTTACACAAGTTCAGGGAAAACCTGTGTCACCTGCTTGAAGATATGGGAAGAGGTTGGCGATGATGGAGACTATAGTATGTATTTTATGATGCAATCTAGACTTGACTATGTACTATTTTATCGCCATCAAAAATCTGTGATAAATAGATAGCCTCCATTTTTCTGTTACTGATGTTTGGAATTAAGTTATTGGCATTTAGCATATGTAACAAATTGTTATACTTTTGCAGCCATTTACCAGGTTGTCACATTTTTTTAAAAATTGGATGTAGAGAAATTAAATCTTTCTTAGAAATAATTAACTTAGTAAAATTGAACCTTACCCACAAGGTATGTTACAATGGGATTATTAATTCATTGCAATTAAAGGTATTAATGGCATTGTGATGCAGATTATACATATTTTTTACTTACCTATTTGAGATCTATGCTTTTGTAATAATCTGATAATGTCACTCATTTAAATATTAATAATTGGTACATCCATTATCATGACAAAACCATTATCATGACAGTTAAAAAGTACATGTATATAATAGAATTATCAGATATATGAAAAATATAAGGAAAATGTTGGTTTTGAACACATGATACATTATTTTCAATTACTGATACTAATCTATTATATGTTAACTTTCTGTTTCAGAAATAACTCGTAGATGCTCATCTGAGGCTATGTCAGATGGTTGCCAAGTAACAGGAATGTGGGGTCAGGAAAAGAAATGCTACTGCAGCACAGACTATTGTAACCATGGCAACCAGGTTATCAGGGATACCTTCTTGGTTGTCATGACAACTGGATATATGATGATGACTTCCTATTTGTAGATACAAATAGATATGTTACCATGGCAACAAATTTTGTTGATTTGAATAGATTGGTTGTAATACAGCAATAACTTGAGAAGAAACTTTCTAAGCAATGGTCATGTTAACTGCTTGGAACTCATTTAATAGACACATAAAAGAAAGTCTTTTGATTTTAGACAATTTCTATTATGCATATTCAAATGTTAGGCAATATTTGTTACCAAACTAACATGCTTAATATATTCATATGGAAGGATGGAAAAAATATCTGGAAATATATGTTTGTTAAAACTTTTACAGTAAACACCTTCAGATGGGTATTTTGGAATTTTTCATATTTAGCGAGGCTAAATGTCTACTACTAGTCTTCAGATTTTAGGAAACACAGTATTTGCTAACAGTCTTCAGATTGACATGATCCAATACTATTGTCTTGGCAGTTGGCATTGTCTATAGAATTAAAAAACAAGATTTATTTGTGATGTGATTTTATACACTAAGACTAATTGATAACCCAATTGCTACAATTAGTTGTGTAAATGTCAATATTTTGATCTTAAAATTATATCACTTACAGACCAAATACCATCATAGAACTCTGTATATCTGACATCTAAAGAAACAACAGGATGAAGTATATAATAAATATATATGTTTTTTGTGTACATTATTTCATGTAGAAACTATTTATCTACTATATCATGTGTATATAAGTTGGTTTTAATTAATAAAAACACAAAAAGAAATAAAATATATTGAGTTTTGTATGTCTCACTTCTAATCACATACAAATGTTCATATCCTTATGTATTTAAAAAGTATTTGCCCAATAATTTTGTACCATGTAAAAGTCGTTATGTGCAAAACATGTACAGAATCTTTTTGCTCAGAATTCCTATTTCAGGATACACTAAAAAATTCCCCTGGATTTGAATATTTAATACAGTCAAAACAGTAATGTTTGTGAGTACTTTGAATTTAAAAAATAAGCAATCAAATGACCATATTGAAACAGTTTATGTAAAAATAGAAACATTTATATTTATCCTAACTTTTGTATATTTTAGTTTGTTTTCTAGTTTAGCTATCATATCTGTGTCCTCTTATATTTTGATACTTCTCTGCCATGTTATTTTCGGGAAAATTAACATGGCTGAAACTCCCTAAATTACAAAAGGCTACAGATTTACTGCACACTATACATTACTATCTGAAATATACAAAAGTTAGGATAGATATAAATGTTTCTATTTTTACATAAACTGTTTCAATATGGTAATTTGATTGCTTATTTTTTAAATTCAAAGTACTCACAAACATTACTGTTTTGACTATAGATTCAATGGATCAATTTAAAATAACCTTTTTGAGTTTTTTGATAATTATACCATTTAAAATGTGTTCAGAAAAAGTGAATAAATAAACCATAATATCTGTTCAAATATATAAATAGCCGATATATTTGTCTCTGATTCAACATAAGAAAAGGTATTTCACTTTTCATGATTTTTTGCTCAATGGGAAATCTTCACCTAGATTATATACACATTTTCAAAGAATGGTAAGTAAAGTAAGGCTGTAGTACTAATACTTATTACTACAGTTACATACTAAAACAAAATATGGTTACAAAATCTGAATGACAATATCTAATCTCTAATGGGGGGCCTCTAATGATCCGTTGCCTTTGTGTGAATCGTGAAAAGCGAACATGAAATTCAAAGACGTTCGTGTAAATAGTACATCATTGGTCCAATAGACGTTCGGTATTTTAACGCAAACAAAATGGCAGGCCAAATCTCGGTTGACATGGAACTGAAAAAGGTAAACAAGCGCTTTATTTGTGTATTTTAAGAATGATACATTTATTTCTGTAGAATCTTTGTTACATAATGATTCACATTAATTCCGAATTTAGGGCAAAACTCCATTGTTTCATGTAATTTGGGCATAAATGAGGGACCTTTTTCATGATTTTTTTTCAGTCGTTGAGATTTTTTTTGATTTATTTTTTGAATTAGCCTAATTTTAGCATTTTAGGCCTATTTGAAGTTGAACATCAAATTCAGTTTGAATTTCTCAGTTTTCTGCTTGTCAGATCAAGGGAAAAATCAATACCCGGTGATTTCAGCGTGAAGTGGCGTTTCGTTCAGTGGATGAGCTGCGCGCGCAGGCATAAATGTGATTATCAATATTATATAGGGGAGGGCTATTTGAAATAATTTTGGTCTCAAGCTCGACCCAGGGCTTTTGTCTTAAGGCGACGCTATATTAAATAATAAGTACAAAAAATGACTGCCATATTTTTTTGATAAAGACACATGTTTTTAAAATCTGTTTACCTTGTATATGAATTGTGTATCTTGACTAATGAAACATGTCAAACTTAACATCACACATAAACGCATTTTTCCAAACTATGAATTGGAGGTGCATGGATCCCCAAAGCTAGCATGAAGAGTGCGAAGTGAGGCTAATTTTTGAAAGTTTCAAGGAGTAGCCTTGCAACAGTCACACATTTGCAAGAGTCTAAAATTTCCACAAATCATCTTACCTTTCCCAGGAACAACGAAGGAGCATGAAAATGTGCACTTCTTGCATTGTTAGAGTATAATAAACCTCAAACCATATTTGATATTCAGCAAGAAGTCCGGTAGAAATATAGAATATTTAAACATCAAAGCTGAAAGTTGAAAGCTAATCTGTCAATTTTCTGTCTGCAAAAGAGCGTTTACATTTGACACAATAACAGACTGAGGCTTTGAAATCTAGGATTCCCCAGGAAAATATGACGTCATACTAAGGAATTCCCTATTGGTCTGGGTCGAGCCTTGTTCGAAAACACAATCCGATAAATACATGCTAATTTCTAAGGAGATTTTGTTTAAAGATTTAATCAATTATCAAATTGTTAAAGTGGATAAAGTGGTCACACTTGCTTCAATTCATAGCATAATCGACAGATAGAAACTGCACCGAATTCCCGATGTCCTACCCCGTATTACTGTAGGCTATTAAGCACAGTGACCTACAGAGGGCGCTATCACAAACAAGTACTGCACGAACCGATAAATTCCTGGGTATTGTAACGCCCCTTGGTCAGATCAGCCCATCATCACGTCCATTTAATTTATGAATAAATTACGGGACACTTTGGTTGGTTGGACACTTGGATGTGTGGGGTTACTTCGTCATGGGGCTACTTCAACCATTGGGTTATTTCGACCATTGCTGATAATGTATATTTCCGGGGTGAGCCATCTTGAATTAAGTTTGCGTGTTTGGAAATTTGCTGCAAAACTGAAATATGTAGACAATGTGAAGAAGGAGTGATTCCTATTTGAAAAATAACATGCGACTCAATTGAGGATTGCAGCAAAATTCTGGACATTCTGAACATGCAGGTTTACCTTAAGATCTCGCCTTTGAAAGCCCAGCCCCCTTACATATACATGGACCTTATATGGCTATCATATGTTGAAATTGCATGATTTTAGGCATTCAGTGAGCTGCAGTCCAAGATGATCCAGTCTACGCAGCAGATCAAAGTGTCTGATATGCAGATAGAGACTCTGAAGAGAGGAATTACACACTCCAAACTAGTCCTACAAGAATTAACTGTTCTTCCCAACACAACTAGGATCTATGAAGGTGTAGGCAGAATGTAAGTACATGTAATTGATAAAGCTCCCATGCAAAATAAGAAAATACATGTATGGCATGTACAGTATATATGATTTGATAATAGGTAATGTATTGTATAAGCCAATGTCACAGTTAACAGTAGTTGTACGGATTCATTTTTTAAATCGGTAAAAACTTGTCTCTGCTTTTGGATCATCTTTAGTCTGAGCATAATTTATTAGATTATAACATATGTAAACATGGTTAATTGGGGTCTGTCAATTCTGTTTATTTCCCCCTGGTGCCTTGATTTCTTGTTACTATGACAACCAGTACTTTCTAATATTTTTGTTATAGTTAATGCATGTAATGTATTGTTTGCTGGATTAAAAAAAACATTATATACTGCACATTATGCCAGAATTTCATTCATTTCATCCCCAAAAAATGACTAATGAATTTAATACATTTCAGGTTCATTCTACAACCTGCAGATGAAGTTAGGAAACATTTAGAAGACAAAATAAGTACTCATGATGAGAAAATAAAAACTGTACAAGTAAGTTTAAAATGAAGGATTTAGCAGTTAAGTTTCACAATCAAGACTTATTAATCTCATTGTCAGACCAATGAATTTGCCATAATTTCCAATATTTTATGAGTAATATTTAATTGTTTAAGTCTGGAATTGAAACATGGCATATATTATTTTTCAGACTAACAAAACATACCTGGAAAAGAACATCAAAGAAAGCGAAGATAATCTCAGAGAACTTGTGCTATCAAAGCGAAAATGAATTAACATTGTTTAGGTGAAGTTCCTGATATATGATGTATTTGACTGTGTTATGTGATGTGAATATGGATCCTTGGTCCTGTTAGCTAAAATGGATTATGTCGATCTACAGACTTTAAAGAGACGAGACCAAAAACTCTAGATTTCCTTTTCAACTGCAGGGGATATTATATTGCCAAAATGTCTGCAAATTCTAGAACCAATCCTGAATTTTCCAAAATTGTGTTTAAATTACTGTAGGTATGCTCATACATGGACAGTATATTCAATTCGAGTATATTATTGTTTTAGTACAGTATTCTGTCAGCATGCCATTTAATCTTGAAAAAGCTAATTTGTACCAACATTCTTGATACATTTTTATAATTGAGGATGTATTATGTATGTGAGTGAAATGTATCACCATTTTGTAATATAATAAGATAAATACAAACAACTCGAATTCATAAATATCCAGTGTTAACTTTTTACTTTTAGGGACTCAAATTCAAAACTATCCAGTGTTTACTTTTAGGGACATGATCATATTGATGCATATATCAATTCAATTTAATTAAAAATCAATCGTACAATGTTTCATAGAATACATGAAAAATCCACCCCAGGGGGTGTTTCATGGCTCATTAGATTTTCAACAATCATGTTTTATTTGGAAACCAGAAGCAATTTGAATTTATTTGAAAAAGAACTGATGGAAGCACAAAGTATCACTGGTATCGCAATACTCACGTTATCAGAAAAACCCAAATATTTTGACAGACCTTCAATATAAAAGGGTTTTAATTTAATGCTCCATGCAGCTTATTATTGAGGTCATATATGGTCACATCACATTTATAGGTCAAGATCACCCGAAATGGCTAAAAAAGAAGTTTAAATAGGACTATAGACCACATGAAGCTCTTTTTTGACATATAGAGGATTGAGGAAGTTCAAGGTTACAATTCTCAGATGAAAGGTTAATCAGTTCCAATAAATCCAAAACACCTGACTTTGTTTAAAGAAAATGACTTGTCACTTTGTTATTTTCAACAATTGAATTTCTGCATCTTACGTCAGAATTTTCTGATTTTACTCAATAAGTGCAACGATTACAAGGGACTCATTAATAAAACAAAAAGTGTTTTTTGTAAGAAATACAATAATTTATTAAAACACTATAAAATCAACATTTGATAAATATATATCAACCAAATATACTAGCATGCGAATAAATAAGTCAGTGACTGAATCAGCTGTGCATTTCAATGCCAAACAAATTATGCAGATTAGATCTTCAGAAAATCATTCACAAAAATTGTACTACTATGCTAACTGAACTTTCCCTTTAAGAATGATTGTTATTATTAACCGAGTAGTAACAAATTCAGTTTGTTAAAATGGCAGTAATTTTAAATCACTGCGATTTTAATACAAATACAAAACAAAAAATTACCATTGCACATATATAATATAGTAACAGTGAATCAAATAAACTATTAAGTAAGTTTTGCTTTATATTGATTGAATAATAAGTATTAATTACCAAACCATGCCAGAACGTAATGTACCCCAGTCAAAGTTACACATACATTCATTTCACAAATAGTTTAGAATTTAGGATTTTTAATCTCTCAATTCTGGCTTATTTCCTTGCATGAGGTACACACGATTCTGGCCTTTAAAACGTTTCATGCACTTCTACTTTTCAAATGTGACATAACATTCAGCATCTGGATAAACATGAACACATATTGTTTCATACCATGTGACTACAAACAACAATTTTACATCATATCAAAGCAGGGTGGACTTGAATCTTTCTAAAGTTCATAAGGCTAATATTATACCAATTCCATCTTTTATATAAATGACAACAAGCACCAGACAAGGCTTTAACTTGTAAAATGTCACCACCTGCCATTTGTAAAAGACACTAACCGCCAAACGCCGAACACCATCCACAAAAAAGGTAGAGACTATAACAATGTCACCACTTGTGAATGTTCTTTTGTACCTTGTGCATGTACAATGTTCAATACATTACAATCTATTTACACTTATTATCATACATTGATCTAAAAGGTACATAACTTGAACATATAGTAATATAAAAATAGCACATATACACTCTACTATACCTCACATTTGGTGTTCATGAGCAACCCATTTGGTTTATCAGTAATGGTTATGGTATTTGTTTTTATGTGTCTGTTCCTTATGAATGGTTTATCGGATGGCTGTTAGATGTTAATAAGGTACTTTCAAAATATACTAAACAATACAATTAGACAAACAGAATATCTTATGCATTTCTAGGGGTTAGATATAGTAGAGTGATATACATAACACAAAGTACATGACATTTCAAAAGAGAGAAAATTTCAAAGTCAATTATGGATTGTTTACATTATGATTAGAAACTACATGTATTTGCTTTTCTTACAAACATAAGGAATAACTAAGGTTACATAAGGATATTGCATGTTCACAACACTATGAATATCAAGGGTATATAAACCAATATATACATAGTACATAGTCAGATATGCTGATCTTCAGAATAATTATTTTGTAACAATATTTATACAATTGTCTTCATAAAATCTTCAGCAGAGATTAAAATTAGACAAAGTACATAGACAGATTTTGGACTAAATGTCCGAAATGTGTCAATAAACTGTACAATTTTAATCCTTGACCTTGTATCAACTATGAAATGTATCTTTTAAAGGACATTTAATTCTGCCCTGTACACTTACATCAAGGTGAGATCTTATTGTAATTATTTATGTTTCTAAATACCACGTGAAATACCATACATGTTCCCACAATATTCCTAACGGAGTCATCTTACAAATTCTACTGGCCATACACAGATCATTACAAATCTACAGCTTACAAAAGGTCCGGATACTATCACAATATTTCTTTTGCAGCACTGAATCACAAAATGGCAAAAATATTTCTGTTCAGTCAGGAAAAATGTCTCAAATTGAGATAATCCTTGATTTTTTCAGTAAATGACGTCTAGGACTACTAGCTATGTTTTAGAGTACACTAGCTGTGTTAATATCCAACCAAAAGGCACATCATTTTTCTCAAATCAAACTGGAAGCACTAATTCTAAAACCAAAAAAGAGATACTAGTGAACAGATATTCGACATTCTTCAATGAAATTGCACATTTACAGAAAATGTTATGGCAAGCACAGTTTTGCACATAAGAAGTTGTATCTATTGACGTTTTGGTTTCGGGTCTTTCCCAGCTATCAAACGTTTGATGACAAATTTCACAGAAGACAGTGCACTCTGTATGATCCCATGTCTGCGTAGTCCAGGTACCATCACGATAAACAGAACTGGAATGGAAATCAAGAAAAGCTTAGATTTCATTGTTATATTAATTAGGCAGACTGGTATAGGCATTTGTATTTTTCAAGTGAATTTTGCACTTTATTTTCTTGCTCATAGTTTAATACTGAAATCAAGCAAATCTCATTTAAATATGATTAATCCTACAACAAGCCTCTTCCCCCTTACCATTTCAATACATTAGAAACGCAAGACTAAAAATCAACAAGAATTCTTCCATACTCACCTATGAGATATGATAAGAAGAGATTGTCAACCAGGTTGCCTACCCAGGCAAGGAAAGCTAGCATCCCGATGAGAACGATCAGGTACTGAAACGTAACAATAATCTTGTCAAATCTCATCAACGTCAAGTGCAAATTACATAAACAGATGTAATATAGTTTCATTGGGTTACATGTATTGACAAAGCAGATAAAATTCACAATAGCTCTCTTTAAAATAGAAAAAAGAACTTAATGTATTATGATTTTTTATTACAGTTACATACCACTTTAGGCTTGTCATGTTTAAGTGTGATTAGAGTAGTCCTAAAATTGAGGAGATGGTTCCTTGCATTCAAGAGACGCATGCAGATCTCTTCATATTTCCTTTCTTGTACAATTGTCCTGAAGCCAGATAAAAAACAATAATCATACAGTGAAAGCTGTAGAGTAGATGACTACGACTATAGCTAAGATCTGACTAGTGTTTCAGCAGTACAACAGCATTGTGATAACGATAACTAATAATTACAGAACAGCCACAGGCCCGTAGCCAGGATTTGCCAAGGGGGGTTCACTTTTTGAAAAATTCCAGGGGGGGTCACTTTTGACAATCTTGGTCCAAATATGGCCAAAATCACTTAAAAAGTGCTCAGAATGATGAAAAACTGCATGATTTTTAAAGAATTTTGGCCAAGGGGGGGGGGGGGTTCGCTCGAACACATCGAACCCCCCCCCCCCTGGCTACAGGTCTGAGCCAATGAATATATTATTTGATAGAATGTTCCTATTACAAAATTAGGCTAATGTTCATTCAGCCCCTGGTTATCTATGTTATGGTATAACAAAATGAAACAAATAAATTAAAACAGGAATCCGAATAGTATTGCAAATTATATAAAATTGAATAAAATCGCAACATCATTTTTATGATATCATTGACTGCTTACCACACCCTTCTGGTATATCTAGTACTGTAATTTATATTTCAACATTATATGATTTGTAGAAAAATAATCTTCACTGCAATATTATAAGGTTGTCGCAATCTCAACATAATGCAGAGTAAAATAAAACAATTATATAAGGAATAAAATAGAATGGTGAAGGTTTCAACAAGCTCACACTATGTTTGAACCTTAAGTAAATGATAGCTACAAACAGATAGAAATTGAAGTGCCAGGATTTCAATATTTACATCAATAAACTGCATATAGGATCAATCAAAATCATCTCTAATTTAAAGAGTGCAGATGAAGCCACACTCTTGTATAGGGTATGCACTTACCAGGATGTCTGGCTGAAGAGGGCAGACATGATAGTTGGTACCAAGAAGTCAACAAGGGTAACCACTAATCCAAATAATGAGAATGTTGTCAGCACACTCGGCTCTAGGTACCAGATCATTCTGTAAACAGACAAGAGACAAAATGATTAGTGTACAAAACTGTTAAAAACATGCTTTTTCAAGTTTGGCAAAGGAGAATTGGCTCCCAGAGTGCAACATCGATATTCTGTCCCATATATGAGCATGTTGTGATTCAAAATTTGAATTCAAAAATCTGACATTTTGTTCACTTCAACATCTGAATTGTGAATTTTGGTCTTATTTCCAAAACTCACAAGAAACAAACAAGATATTGGATCAAATCTTTTGATCTGTTTTTTTTAAAAATTCATAGCAGTTTTAATTTCAGAAAATAACGACATTTCGAAGTTTTCATCATTAGAAAATATTGAGTTTCAATCCTGGGGCCAATCCTCCTTGAAGTCTATATGTAAAATGTTAAGTGTCACATGTATATATGCCTACTACTTATGGGACAATAATATAGTGGTTATATAGAACTTGGTTGAAACTTACATGAATCCTTAGATGAATCCTTAGTTAAACTATATTCTTGATTATTCATCACATTTTGAGGTTTCACAAATAAAAAAACAAAAGAAGATGCAAACTATTGATTTAGTTCACTATATTAAAAATATTGTACATACGCAAATATGAGAGTGACACTACCAGCAAGAGCTGCTGGATGGTACGGTTTATCCCACTCAAGGAACTTGTTGATTGGCAATAGAATCTCCCTCCACCCCTCCAGGTCATACTTCAGCTGATTCAGATCTGACCCATACCTGTCTACTTCTTCTGCCTGAAATATAAATCCAGAGCACTACAAAGCCTAAGAGATATGACAAATATGAAACATTCAACAGCTAAATGGCTGTTGAGAACATGTACATTGTATATGATATTTACTCTCCTTTCAAGCTTGTACCTGTTTTCTGTAGTTTGTCACACTCATGTCTAGAGCTTGATGAAGAACTTTTTCTATAGGGACATGGGCCACTCATTTGATCAAAACATAAATATAATACAGTAAAACCTGTCCGATGGAATACCTCTCTGTAGGGAAAACCTATGAACAAGGAATGCTTTTCAAAAGAACCGAATATTTTTCCATTGACTTACATGTTAACGGACCCTCTCTGTAGGGAAAACCTATGAACAGGGAACAAGGAACACTATTTTGGGGCAAATTATGAAAATTCACCTGTGAACAAGGAATATGGAATATTGGTGACACTGTATATTCCATTATTTTTCAGAGGTGGGAAAGTCTTAAGCCAATATCTGAATATAAAAAGCTTGGATTAATATGATTGAGATTAAGATGAGCAATTGTTTACATGATGTAGCATCCCACCCACTGTTAATTACCCTGATTTATTTTAAAACTAATACTAATCTGTTTGTTACTTATTATCATGACACTAATTCTTACTTTCAAAAACCTAATTGCATCAAATCAGTTTTGATAATCTAGGGACTGACACAATTGTTTTATGGAGATAACAGATAGTAAGTACATGGTCATGTTGAGCCAAATCTCTAAATCTTTTACTGATCCAACTACTAGATTATCAATGATATAAAATTTGGTTGATGAAACTTGAAATTCAGTTCTTAGCAATAAATCTCTACATATCATATCAATAATTACATCAACTAGACACCATCAGACGCTAGCAGCAGCTAAAATCAACATGGGGAGAATGTAACCAAGTATGGAGCCGGCATTTGTACAATCAATCAATATATATACAAATATGCTCATTCGGCAACTTTGAGTTTGCTGAAAGTGCGGCCCCTCTCTGTAGGGAAAACCTCTGAACAAGGAAACTTTCCTTCAGTCCCAAGAGCATTCCCTGTTCGCAGGTTTTACTGTATATACAAATATTTCCCGCTCACCTCAGGGGGAGATATATATATCACAATTTTTTCAACATTTTTCTGCGCTCACTCACGAAGATATCAATATCCACTCATGGATATAAATTATATTTTTTCAAAACCATAGGATATTCCTTTATTATTTTTTAGTCACTTGTAGGATATGGACCAATCAGAGAGTGAGGAATATCATGAAAGTGTCGACGGTAATCTTTGGCACTTTCCATGATTGGGAAAATAAATTCCTGCGTAAATTATTGTGTCTATTGTACCTTCTGATTTCAGATAAGTAACAAGTAAGATTTTTATTTTACAAATTACATTTGAAAATTGATGACGATCAAAGACAATACATACCTGCAATCAATAAAGTCATTTGGCGAATTCCTCTTGGCAGTAATTTTGAATTTTGTGAGGCACAAATCAGAAAAACAATACCATAATTGTGATCTACTCTAAAATTCCTTAAATATAGACGTATACAGATTTCGGTTATTTGAACTTTGCGGTGGATTCGATTTTAAATGCTTCTTAATGATCTTTGAATTCTTACTATGAATTCTAAAAGTACTGTTTTGACTTCGCCACTTCATAAAAAGAACATTATCACCATTTACTCGACTCATAAATATACTTCCGGTCTACCAAGAAAAATAAAAGTCCTTAGAACTTTTTCAATGATCAGTCTAAATTTGGCTTTTTTGGGGAGGCATCAAAAGTTCAATGTCGGATTGGAAACTAAATAAATCTAGTTTTGACATATCCAAGGCTTCATACCAGCGTATGCATAAAGCATTATGATTTGTCACGAGTTTGAGCTGAAATTTCGCTAAAAATGATGTAGGCCAAGGGTAGTCTCTGCCAGGTTTGTTTATTGTGGTTAGCTTGTAAGTGCTCAGAAGCAAATAATTCATGTGCGTTTCAGTGTAACTCAGTGGAGTTTGCGTTTCAGTGTAACTGTCGCAAAAATGGCGAACCAATGACAGAATTAACAGGTAAAATCACTTCAAAATTTAAGAGAACTTTTTACTTATAATAGCAAAACTTTTGTTTTATTTGTGCATTCTATCTATCAGATAAGAGTCTCAGGGGTATGTAGGCAAATTAATTTTGGTAGGAGCACTCTGTTTAGTTTGAAAACGCACCCTATATTATTTTATATCAGCACTGCAAGGGTACAGTATGATTAATAATTCATTATATCACTGTCATATTCCTCACTCTCTGATTGGCCCATGTCCTACACGTGACTAAAAAATTACAAGCGATATTCACCAGAAGTCACATGACTTCCGGTAAAGTAAATATACAGTATGTGTGAGTTAAAACGATGAAGTATCGCTGCTGCATACAGTGACACTTAAACTACAGGCTTTTGTTGTTATTAGCTGCTACAGTCTCATCAGCGCACTTCTCGTCTTCATTGCTTGTTAAAGTAAATATATTAATATGCCTATAAAGGAGAAATCATCCAAGCCGACTTGTGTTCTTGAGGTGTCATTTTTCCAACTTTTATTTCTCAGCAACTCGCCTTTATAGAAGTTATTGCTACCACAGGAACCTGTATCAACACCTGACATAGTTCAACATCGTTAAACTCAATAACAGCGTTCTTTACTATTAAGACTTTTCTTGGCCCGTTATGGCCTGGGCCATAAGACATGTCAGATAAGAAACGAGGCCCAGGCTAGTAGGTCTAATGTTGTTGGACTACACCTGACAGTGACATCTATTGGTGACAAAACCCTGGGAATATATCTCTTATAAGAGATAAAGGGTTATTCCTTACTCACTTCGAGAGCCATGTTAGGTTTTTAAACTTATGGCTCTCAAACGGGGAAGTGGACAGCTGATTAATAGTGACCTTTGAAATCGAATTAAGTCGATCAGCGGCCAACTTTTGTTCTCTAACTATGTTATACATCATTATCATCCTTCTGTGCAAGTATTGGAGCACTGAAGTACTTCCTTTTCGATCAAGACTTGTAATTCTTAGTCCAGTGAATGTTTTTACTGCCAAATTCCAATATGGCGTTTTCTGCTTGGACATTTTCGTAAATCTCCGTTGCGTATCTCGCTCCTAGCAAACCGCCATATTGGAAATAGGTCTAAAAAACATTCACTCGATGAACAATTTACAAGTCTTGATCGAAAAGAAGTATTTCAGCGCTCCAATACTTACACGGATTGATGATACTGATGTAAGACACAGTTAGAGACTAAAAGTAAGCCGCTGATCGACTTAATTCGATTTCAAAGGACGCAATCATTCAGCTGTCCAAATGCTCTGTGGGAAAGCTATTATATCAAAATCCAAATAGCTTTCGCAGGAAGTAAGTTATTCCCAGGTTTTGGTCGTGATTGCTACAGTAGATCTACAATAATGCTACAATATTTTGTTTCATTTAGTGTTTTGACTTGCACCTTCCTAAGCTAAGTTGGAATCATAGATCTAAATCGAATACAAAAAATTTGCAAATGAATTTATGATTGAAATCTGAGACCTCTAACATAAAATTTTTTATGGTGGTTGAAATTTACTCACGTCGAGAGCTACCATGTTAGATTTTGAAAGTATACTTTCAAAATCTAAGTAGCTCTCGACGGGAGTAAGTTGAAATGATTAGAGTCCATTTCACTGCTTCATTTCGTCAGTAGAACGGCAAATATAAGAAATTGGGAGACCATTGTGCAATAATATATGGAAAAGTATATTCATACGTAAAGGCTAGAGTACCGACAATTGTCGGTACTCTAGACTCTGATGTGGTGGCACGCTAGAGGACCGACAAATAAATTGTCGGTACGGGAGATATGCTGTGTTTACACGCTAGAGGACCGACAAATATTGATTTTCGAATTTTCTGGCGCATGCGCAATGCGCGGGGGGATATTTCAGATATCATACGGATATTTCGGGAACAAGTGCAAAACCCGGGGATTACCAAACCCAGTCAAAAAATGGTAGCCCGGGAACGGGGAATGGTAGTAAACATTGAAAACCCAATAAAAAACATGAACAAGTAAGACGTTAGAGAGCTATTAATGCAGAGTAAACGGCTATATATATTCTAAACAGACAGGATATTTCTCCTGAGCCGATCAGGCGTAGAAAGGGGCGTTTGCTACCCATTAGATAGAAAATAGCAAGAATGTTTTTTATTTGAAGCTTATGGTATGAGGTTCCATATCCATCCGCCAAAAGGTATGACCCATATATAGTCCATTTAAAAACCTGTGGTATCATTCTAAATAACCCATAGTTGGCTTCTAGGGTACCTAGTATGCCACTATTTGGTATCAAAATAAAGAGGAGTTCAACTTTCATTTGAATTACGAAAATAGCGATGTAGGTGAAAATAGTTCCGAACGTGAGCATGTTTACTACGCGTTTGCCCGTCATATCAGAATTAAGGAAGTGGTAGCAAACGCAAGTTACAATAAACGGACGCTGATATCTCAAAAAGTAACCTGACTCCCTATAATTTGATGTAGGTCAATCGAACCCCTATATGGACAGGTGCATTTTGATATATAACACTATGGGGGGTAAGCGTTTCATAGTTGGTCACGAACGCCATATGTGCAAAGTATTGTTATGAATTTTCGAATTTGGTGTTGGATTACGGTACTCATACCTTATAGCACAATTTTTGATGGAAGTTGCATTTGGCTCCCTTAGTTAATGGCCACGATTCCATCTCGCATGAGAGAGCTACCAAACGCAAAGTAAACAGTGATATATTCTAAATTAGATATTTCTCCTGTGCCATGGCGTAGTAAGGGTAGAGAGCGACGGGGGCGAAAGCATCCCATCCCCTCCCCTAACTGTATATATCGACCATTAGATAGAATAAGAAAAGAGCTTTAAAATGTTTTTTAATTGAAGCTTGTAGGACAATTTTGATGGAAGTTGAATCAATTTTTGTCGAAATAAATTATGGCTCACTACAAGTTAATGCCTGTACGATTCCATACTGCAAAAGAAGCACTATGCCCCCCCTCAAAAGAAAAAAGTGGGTCCTGCAGGGATTCGAACTCGGGTTTGAGTGTGTTCGAGTCCTGCTCCCTAACCACTAGGCTACCAGTGATGAGGTTATTTCAAGAGTAAAAGTAGTGGATTTATTTATGAAATTGTCGGCTCTCTAGCAAAAACACGTAGCAGCCACTTGCGTACCGACAATTGTCGGTTCTCTATCTGGCACTACTAGGTGACGAGAATTACATCATTATCGTGCGGTACCTCTGTACTTACCGCAAGTCACTCTCTGAAAATTCAGTGTAATGAATCCTCTTGAAAAAACACTTAACATTACCTTTCAGTGATGGTAATACGTACATGTGTAAACCTGGTATTGTCCTTTTATCAGGTTAAGTTTCCCAATAAAAAAATTAAAAATTGAATGTGATATAGACGTTCAAATATGAATGTAAAAGCAACCTGTTCAGAGTATGTTTTTAAGATTTTTAAGGTTGCGGAACACCGCAACTTATCACATACTATGTAAAATTCCAGTAATCTGATTGGTTGGTTACCATGTGAGTTTTCCCGTCTCACACGTTACTAGAGGCAACCAGTGATGACGTTTCATATTTTAAAAGAAAACAGTATGACGTCATATTACTTCACAAGAAAGTATGAATGCAACGGTATGACGTCATATTATTTCAAAGCGAAATTTCAAAACACACAAAAATGGTAATAGTTACCATGAGTACAGAGTACTGAACTGAGTCATACTGTCCAAATCAAAATGCTTCATAATTCCTAGACATGTGATAAAATCGTCATCACACGTTTCAGCTTATGTGATACAGGAAATATTCCACTCGGGTAACAATGTATTACCACTCAAGCTTCGCTTTCGTGGATGATACAGTATTACCTTTCGTGGAATATTTCCTGTATCACATGCTGAAACGTGTGATAACTGATATTTAAGGTTAGTTTGTATGTTAGGAATTTTGCTGCAATCCTCAATAAAGTCACATGTTATTTTTCAATTAGGAATCACTCCTTCATCACATTCATTGTCTATATTTTCAGTTTTGCACAAAAAAATGCACTAATGTACCTAGAAAAGACTGGTGAGAACATTTGCTTCGTAAAATGCATAAAAACGAGAAAATTCAGTGACAGAAGGTTAATTACGAACGTACACGAGATTTTTGAGATTTTTGACGAACATGAATTCCTGGAAAGATATCGTATGCATTAAATTGTTATATATCAAAATGCATATTGATAGAATCTGCAAGAATGAAGCATCAAATGAAACGATCGCAAGCACTTCCTTTTAATGCAGGTATATTGTTGTAATTATATTCTCGAAAATGTGAACTATCTCCCCTTTAATTTCTAGAGGATACTAGATCCATTTTGCCTTTGCCCGGCTGTACTATACTAATGCAAGGCGCTACAAAATGTTGATGTAAAAACCGGTAAAACCCCGAAGACTTGGAAGTAAAAATTCCGGTATTATGGCCATTTTTTGATAAAAAAATGTGACTCCGAGGTCGTGATTTACAAGGGACACTATGGCTAAAATGGGTCAAACTGACATTCCTGCCATAATAAGTGACACGGTCGTCATGACCACAGATTGCGGACACGGAAATTACATGCGGACACCTAATGAATTTGCGGATAGCTTCATGAATACCACGCAACGCAATAAAATGCGGACACGCAATGGGTCCGCAAATAAACTACGGACACGCAAGCTTGCGGATCTTTCATGAATTAGGCCTCTGGAGCCACTCCGATATTCATAATGTACACGAATGACATTTGTATATCTTGGATTGCTTCTAGTTTGGCTTATAAAGTGTGTAGCCTCTTATATCTGGATGTTTCTCTGCCATGTTATTTTCAATAAGATTAACATGGCTGAAATTCTTCAAATTACAAGACGGCACAGGCTTATTGCACAAAAAACTAAAAAATCTGAAATATACAAATGTCATTCATGTACATTATGAATATACTTTTCCATATATTATTGCACAATGGTCTCCCAATTTCTTATTTTTGCCGTTCTACTGACGAAATGAAGCAGTGAAATGGACTCTACAGTTGGGGACAAAAATAAATGACAGGTCGATTTTCGATCACCATTTCCTAATTATGGTGGTCTGAAAGCCCATAATTTCCAATATTGTCTAGATATATATCCCTTAAAATTTGTATATTTTACATTTTGTATAATCTCATCCACTGATGTATGGCCTCTTGTAAATTCTCTTATTTTTAACATAAGAAATCCTCACTTCAGCAAATCCACCTGTCATTTATTGAGACCCTATCTGTTGCAAGACTAACGCCTGGCGTAACCGTCACCATGTTATTCAGTGTTTTTTAAGTAGCGCAAGGATCCTGCCATGACCGTGGTAATGTTATCGTGAAAGCCTGGTATAACCGCGACAATGCTGTATTATATTGCAATGCCTGCCATGACCGTGACAATGTAATATAGTTCTGCAAGGCTTGGTATGACCGTAACAATGTAATATAGTACTGCAAAGCCTGACATGACCGTGACAATGTAATATAGTATTGCAAGTTCAGGTATGAGAGTGGTTATGTAGAAATTTACGATTAGGACTGCTATAACCGTGACAATGTGTATTGCAAAGCCTGGTATGACCATGGCAATGTAATATAGTATTGCAAGGCTTGGTATGACCGCCATGGCAATGTTATATAGTATTCAAAGTTTGGGTATGAGAGTGGTGATGTAGAAATTTATGGTTGCTATAATTGACCGTGACAATGTGTATTTGAAAACCTGGCATGACCATGACAATGGATTATGGGATCGCAAAGCCTGGTATGACCCTGACAATGTAATATAGTATTGCAAGGCCAGGTATGAGGGTGGTAATAATGTATTGCAATGACTAGTAAATATGTATGACATTAATGCCAGGAATATCCTTAACAATTTTAAGTGATCCTCATTACAATTAAACAGTTTAATACTATGATCATGGTGTTTAACTACCTTAATCATGTCAAAATCAAAATTACTATTATACATTAATATTCACATTCGCTTATAAACCACAATAAAGGCTACAGTCGCGCCAGGCTTCCACGATAACACTTCCAGGGTCATGACAGGCCTTGCAATAGAATACAGCATTGTCACGGTTATACCAGCCTGTCACGGTTATACCAGGCTTACACGATAACACTACCACGGTCATGGCAGGATCCTTGTGCTACTTAAAAAACACTGATTAACATGGTGACGGTTGTGGCAGGCGTAAGTCTTGCAATAGATAGCATGTGCATTTATTTATGTCCCCAACTGTAAGCTTATGAGAAAAAATCATAAAAAAATCTGCCTGCAAGTGAAACCCTGATGAAAGTGTTTATGGGGCCATGCTTTACAGATAGTTCGACCGCAAAGGAATAAAACAACATGTTCATGTTTCTAGTAGAAGCTACAAAATGCATTTGGAAAAGCTAAATTGGGAAAATATCAAACTTACTGGAGGTGCTGTGGGTCCACTTTCTTCAGTTTCCATTTTGACAACTTCTGATCTCCTACCAACGAGACCAAGAAAACTCCATTTGATGTTAAGATATTATTATATTACCTAATTTTATTATAAAATATAAATTTCAACTTCATTTTTAGCGAATATTAAATCAAAATATTGACAAAATAAGAAGAAAGTTTAGAAGAAACTAGGTCACTCCCGTCATTCCATTTAAAGATGCTAATCGCTGATTGGTCGATTCATAATTTCCATTTTTAGGTCAAAACATTTCGGGAGAATTCACTCGTATTATCATTATTTATCCTCAATCCACCGTAACAATCAGCCCGTCGTCTCGCAGAGGAATAGAACAATGTCTACTGTAAGTATTTGCAAGTTTTTACTGTCATTGGTCTTCTATGTTGACTGGTATAACTTCTCAAATATTGATCGTCTTGGCTAAATATTGGATTTTTAAAAATGGTCAACAAAACAATTTGGGTGTAAATCTCTATAAAATATTTTTGAGATATGCTATTTATTTTAGACCTAGCTTTACGAATATTGCTAAATAACATACTTTAGAAAGTGTTCTCATTAGTTTTCCCAACACATCCTCCAAAAGATTGTGCTAGTTCATCCTATCGCTCATCAAAATCCTAGCCCACTGGTCAAAATTGGACTTCCTCCATCATATCTCAAGTTGTCTCATATTGAGGTCTGGCTGACTGGCTAGTTTATAGCACTGATCCCCACCTGTTTATAAAATATGTTACGTCATTACAACAAAACGGTTGAACTTCAGATGAAGAAACTTTGTAAGAATTTTATTTTCATCATTTTCACCAGGAAAAGAAACAAAGAGGTTGATTTGTATCCTACTATTTTACCCGTATGTTAGGCAGCATCTGGTTACTGTAAAGCTAGTCAGTCACAAGCAAATATATTAAATTGCTCCAATTATCAAGTGAGAATTCCCTCACTTCAGCAACCAGGACTTTGTATGGTGAATTTCAGAACATCTTGGTTGTGTTACATATTAACTTTTTTCCTGGTTGCAAAGGGAGGGGTTTCTCGCTCGATATTAGAGCCCTTGGATGTACAAAAGATTTATTTTTTCGCTAACTGGATGATATTTTTAACAAACATGAAACAGGTAAAATATTTTGATTCAAATCGATGATGAAAATAAAAATTTCCACTGACGTAAGTTCATCCATTTTGACATAACGTCTTAATAACCAGGTGGGGCCTTATCGCATCCTACGACCCCTTTAGATTGTGGTCATACGCCCGATTCATTGGTAAGCCTGTCTTTCTACAATGTCGGAGAATGAACTATGCATTGCACTATTAAATGACCTACCTCGATACATTCCAGAGTATTTTATAATTCTTAATATGTTGTTAGATCGCCAATTGTATGGGTTTATCGGCAGAACGAAGATATTTTTGTTTTTGATAGCAATATTTGTGTGTAATATTTAACTTATTTCAACCGTCAAATTCCTCCATTCAGTTCCCGGCATGCACCAGTCATAAGGGAAATCCCTGGGGAATTTCCCTTCCGACATTTTGAAAATTGCTGACATATTTCCGATGTAAAAACTAAACGATAAGGTGGGGCCTAGGAACAAGCCTGGAACCATGGGTCAAATCTGATAATAGTACAATAATGTCATTTTGAAGGGCAATATGGTGAAATATTTCACCATATTGCCCGCAGAAATGACATTATTAGTATTATTACCACCGTTAACGACCAGGACTGCAAGAAAATCTTACTAAACTGTTCTCCCATTAGTTGATTAGACTCTTGGGTAATCACCTTGATATCATCACCACAGGAAGTTATGTTTACACACACTCTCTTCTAGTCACACAATCATATCCTGTCCTGTCAGAATCATACCCTGTCCTTGGCATTTTCATATAGTCAGCATCTTCGACTTTCAAGGTGCATGTTATAACAGAGAATGTCAGAGAATCATCCCAAACCCTTATGTAATTGCACAGAGCGCAATCAATCAATCAACCCTGGTATGTTCAAACAGTGAGGGAATCAACTCTAACATCATCATTGTAGCTTCAGACAACCATCCCTGGCATCATCACTGTAGTCAGACAATCAACACTAGCTTCATCATACATTCAACCCTAACATCATCATAGAGTCAGACAATCGACACTAGCATCATTGCACTGGCAGATTCAGGTCATTTTGATGATCCAGCTATCATTCCATATTTCTTATTTGTATAAACTCTATAATTTCAGAGCAATGTTGAGAATCTCTCCCCACAAATGATCCGTCAGGTTGCCAAAGAATTGACAGAGTTGCAGAGTGATCCCCCTGAGGGTATCAAGGTCTACCCAAATGAAGAAGACATTACAGATATCCAGGCCACAATAGAAGGACCAGGTGTGAAAAAGAAATAAAACTGTTTCATCGTCAGAAAACATTTGAAATCAAATCATTAGTCTAATGTAGCTGGTGTATTTTCAAATACATGTTTAGAATGATAGTTCATATTATTAGACAATGAGACAGATATGAGATATTTGACTCATGTATTGCTTTAGTATTATGGGTGATTTTCCCGTCCCTAGCATGGAAGAAATTGGAGTTTATGTGATCCATTTGAGAATCTTGCCTTCATGGATAATCCATTTAAATCTACTGAACTATAAGATAATGAAAGTTTGAATATTTTAGTTGGATCACCTTTCTTGAATGGAAAACAGAAAGTGAGAATTTACTACTAGTATGTGGTTTGTAGAATTATTTTTATTGTTCTTTCAGCTGGTACTCCATATGCTGGTGGGATGTTTAAAATGAAACTAGTCCTCAGTAAGAATTTCCCACATGAAGCGCCAAAGGGATTCTTCCTCACACAAATATTCCACCCAAATGTGGCCAAAAATGGTGAAATCTGTGTCAATACTTTGAAAAAAGACTGGAAAGCATCACTTGGTATCAAACATGTTCTATTGGTAAGTTTAGGAAATTGATGTTTTTTGGTTTTTATGTCACCACCAAAAAGTGGTGACATATTGTTATACTCAAGCTTGCGATTTGCCTCTTTTCAAATAAGTAAATTTAAATTGTTAATCATTTGAGTGTATGTTGTTGACTGTAGCCTTTAACAATTCCACTGAATGCATCAAAACACAGCTGAAACCATTCATTACTAGTATTGTTGGAGTATACACCTGTTCGTGTGGCACAGTCATGGGGCTATATCCCTGTTATAAGGTCTAGACACAGTAAATCATAAACAGTGATGTAATAATATTGTCTATGAGGGAATATTCAAAAAATTCACAGTTCCTCATTCCACATGTAGATTTAAATTTGCACAACAAGGGTTGGACTTAAATTAGAAAAGTTTCATATTAGCAGGTGATAAGCAAATAAGTATCAGATTTTTGCTTCATCAAGGGTGCTCAAATTCCCCATCTGTCAGTCTCGAGTTGAATTGGCTAATTATTTTTTTGATTGCATTTCAGACCATTAAATGTCTGCTGATTGTACCAAATCCAGAGTCTGCATTGAATGAGGAAGCAGGAAAGCTACTACTAGAACAGTACGATGATTATTCCACACGAGCACGCATCTTCACAGACATACATGCTAAACCTGCAAGGTATGGATGCTCTTTTCATTTGTAGACTGTATTTCTGACTGCGTCTGCAAAGTGAGACCGGTTTATGCTTTGAAGATATTGATTAACTTTAAATTAACTTAGATTAACCAATTTCATTGATCAATTAAAATTAACTTAAATTAAGCAATTTCAATCACTGAATGACTTTGATAGAATTTTTGTTTTGTCAATTCAAGTTTTCTGATGCATTAATTGCAAAGATTTATCAATATTTCAGTTTAAGACTAGAGGTGAGCTCAAAACAGAATTATGACTTACAGTTAGACTCAATTTTGTTAAATTTCAATTTGATTTTATTCTAGGGATTCAAAAACTACTGAAACTAAAACAAGTGGGAAAAGTTCTGATGGGCCCATGGCTAAAAAACATGCAGGAGAACGAACATTACTTGATAAAAAGAAGAAAGACAAAAGAAAAACTTTGAAAAGATTATGATCTAAAGTCTAACAAAAACAAACGCAATATGTACAAAAAATATTTATCAGAATGTACAAAGCTGTTTTATAGAAAAGATATATAAAAGCTACAAAAAGTGTATGTAGATAAAATAATATATACAATTTACTAGTAATTTATACGCTAGATAGCAATTGTAAAGTTTGCCTCTAAATCACACTGTATCTGTGTAGTGATTTGGAACTACTTTCATCTTTGTTTTCTAATCTTTGTCAAAAGGACAAATTATTTGAATGTGATTTGAAAGGGGCTTGCTTCAAACCGTCTTTGTATGTTTGCTTATCTCACTATATAAAGCTTTCCAAATTTTTTATGACATCTCCAAATAACTTACTGAATATGTAAAGAAATGATAAATTTTCTAATCATTATCAAAACTGCCTTTTCCCTATTGCCATATTTTGATGATAAACATTATTCATTGAAATGATGAGACCCATTGTTGCCAAGGCAACAGGGTGAAAATAAATGTATGCTTGTGTTTTGTTGACCATTGAGGCTGTGGGGGTGGGATCTGGGATAAGGTTAGGGTAAGGTAAGGGTGTTGTCTGGTTATTGGGTGAATGTTGACTCGTAAATGTGATGAATTGAATGTTCTGAAATGAATGTTTTCTTTATTTAAATATTTTCTTGTCTACTCTCAGCTGTTACCCTTAATTTTCACTGTCTGATTTGTTACTATCACATATTACATTGATAAGTTAGTACTCTACTAGTATATAGGTTCAACTTTGTATAGCGCTTGTACATGCTGTATGCAACTTCACAATACTCTAGGTCAAAATTTTTATATTGTATCTGCTTCTACCTCATTTTTATAAAATTGAAATCACAATTTTCAGAGCAACAGAAATTCTTTTTTTGATTTTGTAAACAAGTGCATTGATGTACAGTCATGCTCATAACCATAAACTGATAAAGTCTGGTTTGGGGTTTCATCCTTTTGTGATTGTATAAAAGATAAACGATCTTCTGTTCTGTAAAACTTGTCAAAATGAACTTTGTCTGGACTGATCAAAATGGATCATATGGCATTTGCAATATGTTTCGATGATAGTAGAGTCCATAGTTTACTTAAAAATTATACTTAAAAAAACTTCAGGCTGTCAACTTACACAAATTTTTCTGTATATTGATGATTTAGAACTGGCTGATGCTCTGTAAATGATGCTCCATTTTTGATAATTTGGAAAAAATTGTCTTAAGAAGTTTTAGTTGAATCCTTATGGTTCCGGGGTTGGTCTGGGCTGAAGTAGCCTATGATATGATGGAAACATCTATACTTTGTATTATAGGCCTAGCCTATTTTATACACTTTTCTTGTTTGTATATTATAGCCTATGCATGGTTTATTTATCATAACATTATTCTACAAACTGTACATGGTACATTGTTATATTTACGTGTGATATTATTTATCTGTTTTCATCTTCTCTCAAAAATTCTCATGGTGGTGATATAAAGTATGTAATCTTGTGTTTTACTAAAAGTGATTTATCCATATTTTTTCAAAGAACTGATTTTGATTTCAGCCATCTTGTAATACAAGAACAATTGATACACTGTTTTTTTTGTATTGTATGAACCAAACCCATCATGAGAATTTATATATGGGAGTTGTAATCTGTAATTTTGTTGTTTGACTCGGTGAGGTATGCATATACCAGTGTAGAGTATCGATTTGAATTCAATTTAATTTATTCATCATGACAGTATATTTCATTTCATTGGGCTGAAAAATCTATCGGCTAATAAGATATTGATAATAAAATTAATGAAACTGTTTTGTGTTGATTAAAGGTGTGTGTGTGTGTGTACAATAGAGTTATGAAGTTACAACATTTTAACCCCAGTCAACTCATAGATCATGAATACTCTTCAAAGAGATGGAAAAACTCCAGAATTCGTGGATGAACTATTTTCATGGAAAGGTGGAAGGACCTCTATATTGGATTCATCTATGAATTCTGGGGTATCCCCCTTCTTTCCCCATTTAATAGAATGACTCTTCTCAACCTAGTATTGAATTTGTTTTTGTAAACTGGGTTGACATTATATTGAAATATTTATATTAATAGGCCTTAAAGTAAAAGGAAATGAAAGTCTTTGTACAGAAAGTATTGTTTTTTGTCACTGGCATTTTACTTTATCAGTTTTTTTATCGTACCTAACAAGAGGTACGATATTGTAGTCAACATTTTGGATTTTCCGTTCTAAAATTTCAAGACTTGTCTACAGGTTTCCAGCCAAATCATTTCAGGGATTCATCTGAAATTTTCAGGGATGTTTCTACATATCAACGTCAAGAACTGATTAGTTTTTGGGCATTCTGGGTAAATCTTAAGGTGGCCATTTTGGATTTTCCGTCCTAAAATCTTCACTTTCAAGACTTGTCTACAGGTTTCCAGCCAAACCATTTGAGGGATTCATCTGAAATTTTCAGGGATGTTTCTACATATCAACGTCAAGAACTGATTGATTTTGGGCATTCTGGGTAAATTTAAAGGTGGCCATTTTGGATTTTCCGTCCTAAAATCTTGTCTATCGAGGCTTGTCTACAGGTTTCCAGCCAAACCGTTCAAATTTTTACATATGTTACACAGTGATAAGTCCTAGAGCTGATTAACTTTTCTGCGGCCATCTTGCTTTCTTGGTCAACAAGACCACAATGCTGTGTTTTAGGTACGATATTGTTCACGTCTGTGCCTTGTTCCTCTGTTTTATGAAATATCTTGATTGGTCACTGGTCCCTGTTCCTATTTATACCACCACCAGACGTGATGACATAGTCTTACATGTATAGTCTCCAACTTTTTGTGAATGGTATTGGTGCTCATTCCTAGGTTCCCCAAAGCCAAAAAAGAGTCGAATGGCAAAAATATTTATGAGGAAAGAACACATTTTTTCAGATCCAAAATATTTTATTATAAACACATGTAACAACTGCATTATTGGAAGAGTAACATAAATATGCAATATCATTTATATACCAGACACCATTCAATATGAAAAATATGAAAGATATATATAATATGACTGATCAGGTGATGTCCACATTTTCCATGAATCCAATCCACCTTTTAATCTTTACCCATTTGGTCTTAAACCTAAGACTACACAACTATGTGGGTTTGAATTAATCTGATATTATCAAAGTAAAATTATTGCATTATAACATGATACTTTCATGATAACCTTTGTTTTTATATGTATCAGACAGGTCTCTCAAAATTCATTTGAATAAAATAGTATCTTTTAATCCTTTACAACATGTTATCTATAAATATAATGTCCCTTTATTTTTATTTTAGCAATCACATCAACTTCTCCTACATGCCACTAACATACAGTATGTAGGATTACACCAAACATATGTCACCATTTTAAAAAAATGTCCTCATTTTTAAAAAAATTTCACCATTTCAAAAGTGTTTTCCAATTCCTCAGAATCAAAAGCACAAAAATGACACATTAGACAGATACATTATTACATACATGTACTGTATGAACACCATGGAAAAAATTCTAAGTGTGGAGTCCTAGAACTTCTATGTTCAAAAAATATAGGATCATATATCTATATATTTCTTTGTCGCTTAGCAGTCATGGTTTTTCATAAATAATATTGCAATAATAACCTTCATTGAATACTTTGCATGGTAATTTTCAAATATAATTTCATTTGATTTAGAATTCATGTACATGATCTTGATAAAGATTTGATCTAGATCAAATGACTCCAAGCTTATCACGAAGGTTGCATGGAGAAGATGACATTTAAAAAAAAATTTAAACAGGGTGTCCAGAAAACATTTTCATTTGATTAACAACTCATGTACATGATCTTGATAAACATTTGACTTAGATCAAATGATCTTAATTTAAGTTGAAGACTTCAAGCCTTTAGAGAAGGTTGCATGGAGCAGATGCCATCCCTGCTAGGCAATGTAAGTAAAGAATATACAAAAGAAGATATCAACAAGTACCTGATGTATAAAGTATATATATATATACATATGTACAGAATTCTAAATTACATCAATTTACAAAAATCCATACATAAACCATATTTGCAATATTAACAAAATGCATTTTCTGCTACTTTTAAAACACTGTGTATGGTACAAATCTTGGATAGCCTAGTATTCATCAGTTACCTGGCGGCTGTCGTTAGTAATTACAAATTGTCCAGGTAGTTAGATATGTCCGGAGCAGGTTGATTCAGAGCATCCCGTTTCGGTTCAGGTACTGGACAAAAAAATTCACCTGTTAGAAAATTTAATTCACCTTCTGTGGTTTATATTTGCTGTCACATACTAAATCCATAAATACCCGAAGAAATTCAGGTATTTATGAAACATCTATATGCAATAGACTAGTTCTGATACCGAAGTTGAATACCATGTGACAGTTTCGACACAATCATACCATATACATACACTACAGTGGATAGTCTTGCAGATCCCATAACATTTTATAAAAAATATGTTTCAAATCCCAAACAAAATATGAACACCTTAGCTATTTCCTTTTCAATGACCTTATCACTAGTATTACCACCATATCAATATTGGATTGCCAAACAAAGTTTTTAATGAGTCAAGCCAGAGTCTGGTGTACTTTTAAGTTAGTAAATCTTTTTTGAGAAGTCAAATATTATTCACTTTCAATTTCTACATTTCCCAAACATCATAATAGCAACTTCTGGACAATAGCTCTTCTTTCCTTAAATAATATACCAGTTCAATTTTAATTTCAAATGTAATCTGCAGCAAATCAACATTCGTTATTTTCATTTAAGTAGGTAGGCGAGGGATTCAGGGCTGTAACTAAGTTTGGTTAGCAATCAAACATTGAATTTGGATGCTTCCTTGATGATCCCAAGATAAATATCTCGTATTTGTGGTCATTTTCTAATCAGTCTTCTTGGTGTCTCCTTGATGTTGACATACACCATTGTCTACAATTTCTACGGCACAACGACGAGGAAACCAGCCTCGTTTTCGATCACGACCTCTCACTAGTGTCTTATTTGGACCCTCTAACTTGTCTCCATATAACCAATACCTGAAGTAAAAGAAATATATAGGACATTGTTGTCATAAAGGTGTGCAATTTTAGATTTGTTTCTATAAGCCTAACATTACACTTTATAATAAAAAATACTGACTTTTTCCATCGAGTGACCAAGACCATGTCTCCTTTCTTGATTGCGATTCTCTTTTCATCTGTACATGGAGGCCTGCAGCAGACCCTAAGGCCCTTGCTGATGGGACAGACACTACCCGAGTAATCCTCAACTGTCTTGTATTCTACTGCTCTATCTATCTTATCTGCTTTCTGCTTTAACTGCTCTATCTGAAATAAAAATATGAAAAACTTGTTTAAAAACATATTTTGCATATCTTGTTGCAGTCAACAAGATATTTTACATTCAACAAGTTATTTTAGCCTGATATTAAAACATAAACAATACAAGGCATTAACATGCAAAATGTCACCACCTATCATTTGTTACAGATGCCAACCACGGAATGCCGAACAGCATCCACATCCACAAAAAATTGGAGACTAAAAAAATATGGCACCACTTCTGGTGGTGACATAATAATCCTTGATGTATCAACCTACTAAGGGAGAGGTTGGGAGTAACCTAAGAAAACAAATATTATCAACATATCTATGATCATCACTGAAACGATGCATCGCAGGAATAAAATCAAATACAAACAAACTTCAAAGATGGGATCAATACAGAACAGTACAATGCTCCCATAGACACAATTTAAATCAACTTTGCAAATTAATTTTTAGTAATTTGATCTTAATCCCAAATAAACAGCCATCATGGAATACAATGGTCCTCTCTTGCATCATTGTAATGTACTCACATGGATATAATGTGGTAATAAAGGATACAATACATAGATCTAAAGATAGACAGGTTTTTAGATGCGACGTGTATCAGAATGATAAACAACAAGAAATGAAGAAATAGATTTATACTAGATAGAAGTAATAATACAAGATGTCCTTACAGTGAAAGTATATTGATCACAGTCTTCTATCACATCCCATGTAATACCATCAGATACAGGATTTCCACTTAAATTATAAACTTGTGTAAAATTTCTCCATCGTCCCAGATCATAAGGATAAATAAATTCTTCTGTCTCATCTTCCTCTCGTGGGCGATAATAAGCCTTATCACGTATCCACTGCTCTATGCCAGTCTCGTTTCTCAAGATACTTTTAATCTACAAAACAATGAAATATGCTTGAGAAATATTTTTTTCAAATAGCCGTTACATATTTATAATCATTGCCAAGCATACATATTATTACACGCGGTGGAATTCAATAGGAAACCTTATATATAGGGAGGCCAATAATGTAATGATTTACCTGGCCCTTCCTAGTGTATAGTAAGCTGTAAATTCATATTGCAAACGAATAAAAAACGAAACAAAAAAAACTTTCAGCAACAGCATTGGGACATTAGCCTGTATGTGATGTCCAGGTGTACATTTTTTAATTTGTGTGTAATTTCAAATTGAAGTACATTTTTGGTACTAAACTTTTGCTTTAACATTATCATGTCGTAGCCCATCCTCAAATAATTTATTTATCTTATGACACAAAATATGATGGCATTCTCACTTTTGAATAGTTAAGATTATGTTTCATGCCGTCTTACCTGGAAGTACCATAGAGCCCCTACTGCTACAATGACACCTATTGACAGCCCAATAGAGAATACACAATGAATGAAACCTTTGATGCCCAAGTAGACAATAGGAACATCGAGTACTCCTCTGTGAACGTAATAAGGCTACAAAACAAAATATTCAAGGCATTACGATAAGAAGATTTCTCGTGTATGGTACAAGTAACATGTCCACATGATGTTCCAGAGATAACCAACAAAATGAAATTTAGAAACACCTGCATTTTTTCTAATGTACAATCTAGTCATTTAGGAATAGAATTTTCTTTCTTAACATTCCATCAACCCCACCCCTTTAAACAAGCAAAAAATCATTTAAATTTGGTTCCATAAATCTTTTCACTTAAAACATTTGAGAATAAATATATTTTATAGCATTAAGCTTACCATGTTGACAGCTCTGATGATACCAGGAATGAGTGAGCAGGAAGAGTGGAAGCAACCACAGCAAGCAAAGAACAAGAAGTTGGCAAAGTTACCATGGTTGAAATGGCCACAACATGTGTTGATCCAGGGACAATGATGGTCCATCTTCATGACACATCTGAAAGAATAATTTTTATAAATGTTCACGTAAATATATCTGAATTTATTATTAGATCTGAGTGACTACTGACTGATAAATGAAAACTGGGAAATATTGAAATGTTCTGCTTGTATTATAACAGCCAATATTACAAATGATGTCCCGTGTTTCTATTAAAGCTGCATATGCACACATCAAACGACAGTAAAATGTTTATATAGCTTTATAACTTTCTAAACTCCTCACTGTTCATGTTCTCTTACTGAGACTAACAGTTCGGGTAATAGGAATCAGTGAATAAGATTGGTTCTGTTGCCAAGCATGTTTCAAATTTTGAAAGATGATTTGATTATGACCTGCTACATACATGTATTTGCTAAAACAATAGAAATGTTGGTTTGTCTGTATACTATTAAAAAAGTTAAGGACTAAGACCACTTTTTCATAACCTTTTCAAGGCAGTCAATGATTTCTTGTTCTTTCACATTTTATTTGTCTAAATGTTGTTTTTATTGGAACATGTTTCACAACATCTGATGCACATTTTCATGACAAGGACTGTTTTTGAGTAGTATATTTTGATTGAGAAACACCCTCTCCATAATTCCTTAGACGAGGCGTACCTGTTGCATTTTCTACAATGATGAGATCTAGGTGCTTTGTAGCCCTCACAGAAATGACAGTACTGCAGGTATTTTGTGTCTTCAACATTTTCCTGCAAACACAATGTAGTGTAGTTATTATACATGTACATGTAATTCACAATTGATAAGGTTGGTTGGATTGTGAAATGAGACTTAAAGCCCCACTATACTTAATAACCCAGATGCGAGTAGAAATAATCTTGATTTACGTCATTAAAAATTCAAAATTCAGTCAAAGTAATATCATATTTGAAATCTATATGTAAAATTACAACTAGAAATGTGGTTTTAAAAAGTGTTTATCAACATTGAAAAATTAATTTTCTTTGAAAATGTGACTTCTAGCTCGGGGAGATTCCCCATAGACCCCAAGCTATAAAATCACAAAAAATGAAATATCTTTTCTTTTAGTGACCAGATAATATTTTGCTTTACTGGACATATTTTCATTAGTATAAGTATCAGACACATAAGGGTTATATGAAAATTGAGCCACTTAAATTGATAATATTCAAGTTTAAGGGAACTTTCTTATATACCTGCCATGTTAATTAACCCAAATCAGCCACCTGGTGGTGAAACTGGTAACTAACTACTCGCATTTGGGTAATTGAGAAGAAAAAAAGATCATTGAAACATATTACTCACACAGTCGCTCAAATATAACACAAAGTTTGATTTGCTTTAATATTGAACCAAGAAAAAAATAACTCACACAGAAAAAAACATTTTAAGTTCAGAGATCATTAGGACATGCACATGCTAAACAAAGTGCATCTTTTTAATTACTTTTGATTTAAAAGATGGCGACACTTCTATAAAAATGAATGTATCATGTAATACAAACAACTTCGCCACCTTTCAATGACATTGATAAAAACTTGATATACAAGACACACAGTGATAAATATCGCACTTTGAAGAGCAAACTGGCCACCATGCAATTTACCCAGCATGGCCAAAACCAAATCAGACCTTGGCACTATAGTCTGCTCTTGCATCTGTAAACATTTCAAGTTGACAAGGTTAGCGGTTTTCCTGCAATTTTGATGACAAGAATTTATTTTAGTCTTGAACTTTGGGAAAATTTAGATAACATTGTTTGTGACCTAATTTGATGACCTTCGACCTTGAAAATTTCACTTTTTCAGACCTCAATAGGTCTTTTGTAATTAAGCTGACCTAAATTTAAATCCAAAATATCAATTTAGAAAATCAAATTTTTGACCTTTTCAAGGTCACTGAAGATCAACGAAAGGTCAAATCTGAAATCTAAGGTCAGATTTGAACTTCTGAGAACTTGTAGACGTTTTTTAAAAAAAAATTTGGTCAATTTGGAGCAAGTTGAAAAATTCAAAATGGCCGCCACGTAGTTTACCTAGCATGCCCTAAACCTAATCAGATCTTGGCACTAGTCTGCTATTGCATGTGTAAAAATTTCAAGTTGAACAGGTTAGCGATTTTCTTGGAATTTTGATGACAAGAATTGATTTGTAGTCTCAAACTTTGAGAAACTTGGATAACATCATTTGTGACCTAGTTTAATGACCTTGACCTTCGACCTTGAAAATTTCACTTTTTCAGACCTCAGTAGGTGTTTTGTAATTAAGCTGACCTAAATTTAAATCCAAAATATCAATTTAGAAAATCAACTTTTTTGACCTTTTCAAGGTCACTGAAGGTGAATGAAAGGTCAAATCTGAAATCTAAGGTCAGATTTGAACTTCTGAGAACTTGTAGATGTTTTTAAAAAAAAAAATTGGTCAATTTGGAGCAAGTTGAAAAATTCAAAATGGCCGCCAGATTGAAAAATTCAAAATGGTCACCATGTAATTCAGCCAGCATACCCAAAACCTAATCAGATCTTGGCAATAGTCTGCTCTTGCATCTGTAAAAATTTCAAGTTGAACGGATAAGTGGTTTTCCTGGAATTTTGATGACAAGATTTGTTGAAAAATTCAAAATGGCCGCCACGTAGTTTACCCAGCATGCCCTTAACCTAATTAGATCTTGGTACTAGTCTGCTCTTGCATCTGTAAAAATTTCAAGTTGAACAGGTTAGCAGTTATCCTGGAAATTAGATGACAAGATTTAGTTTATGTGCCGCCCGCCCGCACGCCCACACGCCCGCCCAGCAGCACAAGACGACGACAATATAGCACTTTTTCAAAGTGCGATAATAAGGAGGGGAGGCATTATTTCCGATACTTCATAATGTTGCAGAGTTCTCAACTGGAGTAATTTTCACCTCAGTGAAATAATGTTCTCATTTTTGCATTTTACTAAATAATTTCAAAAACTCATAAAAATTTTCTAAACTGGATGCAAATGAATTCTTCATTAATTTTTGAATTCTCAAATAGTCATTCACCTGACTGTGTTCCAATATTATACAGTACCAGAATAGTAAAATCATTATTATATAACATCTACTTACTGGTTTCCAGCCATAAGGAACGAATCCAGGTCCAACAAAGGCAGCCCTGAAGAAATTGTACAATGTAATGATATTCCACGTTAGAAACACTGCCATATTAATCTTTCCCCCCAGCGTAGAGACTGGCCACCATTGCAGTGTGATATGGACAGTAGAACTGGTAATGGTGAATATTATTGTGAGAGCAATCAATGGTCCCCAGTGGATGATCTGTTTCAGCTTTGCTAGGACACTCATCTAAAATAAACAATTGTAAAGTTGTGAATGATAAATACATATACAAATACGCTTAGATTGCACCAAACAGTATCGAAATTAAAAAATTCTGAGGGAACTTGGCCCCCAGATCCCCTGTATTGTGTTCCCCGAAAGGACGGAGCACCTCTAAATAAAGACCTAACCCATTCTCAATCTGTTCATCAGAATCATCACTGAACAAATATTTCACTCTATTGAGGTGAATGAATACCTGTGCATATTTCACAAGTGATATTCCACAAAGCCAGGAGGGCTAGTGGAATATCATCTTTTGAAAGTGTTTTATCATCATACTGTCTGTCACTGTCATACTTGTAATCTTCAGAAATTGAACAAAATAAACAACTTGGTTGTTATTATTATTAAGTTTATTTAGCGATCTTTTTTTATCATTTCAGGCCTCCATTTTGAAGATCTAGAGCAATTGCTAGACGACTCTGGGATTCAATTGTGGGCCTCTTTTTAAAGATCTAAAGCAATTGCTAGACCCATCTGGGAATCAATTGCGGGCCTCTATTTTGAAGAGCAACAAATTGGCGAACTTTTTAAGAAAATAAACAATATATCCTCTGTTTCATGTGTTTTTGGGGCCCTAACAATAATATTACTGCAAATGTTCCAGAGTTAAGAAATTGTTTCAATTGAGTAGGGGCAGTATACTTCAAAAATACCTTAAGGCCAGGGGTTCAAACTAGGGATGGTCAGGGTTCTGTAAATGGACATATATTTTTGTTTGGCCTCAGAAGAATGAGATTTTTGGGATATTCTAAGTATTCGATCCATGAGTAGACAAAAACCATGGGCTTTCAACTAGAAGGGTAGGCAACTTCCCATATTTCATACATAAACATTCCCATGGGTTTTCAAAATTGGAGAATGTACACATTCCAAGAAAATCTTATTTTGTACTTTTTATTGATGATTAAAAGAAATAACTCAAAAATAAAAACACGATCTTCTTCATACATCTTGATAATTTAAAGCTGGATTAGCTCCGAAACGCAATCTTGGGTTGTTTCGGGGGTGAACTTTATCATTTTGAGCTTAATGAGAGATTATAGAATGATGAACAAATGGGGCAAATCTTGTGTAGAAATACTTACGATAAATGTGTCATTTCAAAGATTTTTCATTGAATTTGCTTTGATCGGTGCCGGCGATATGATTTTGGAAAGGTTTCTAAATGAAGAACGTGACGTCACATCCGAATCATAGCATTCAAAATAAGTAGCGTTTAATTACTTCTTCCTCTCATAATAATACGGTGGTGTAGCGGGTAGAATCCTCGCTGAGCACGCGGGAGGCCCGGGTTCGAATCCCGCATTAGCCTTTTTATTTTTTTAACTAAATGATTGTTCTTTGATATTACGCAGAAAAAAACAATTTTTATTTACATAAACTTCATATTAGAGCTTGAAAATGTAAAAACAATATATGTCAACATATTGTGTTTTGGAGCGATGTGCAGGTTTAATAAAAATTGGAATTCATCATAATTATGACAATACAGAAAGTGAACATTCTCCCACAAATTATGTTTTTATAGGAATGTGTTCTTGAATAATTACCCACAATGCAATACTCAAAGAGAACATCTTGATAACTCTTATTCTTATTGGTCTCTTTTGTTTACTTTTATATGATATTGAATATATTTTATGATTAAATCATATCAAAAATTGATTTTTATTCAAAATAATACTAAAACATATACATTTATCTAATACTTTTTGAAATATTGCCATAAAAGGGAAGCATGTCATTGCTCATTTTGAAGGTCTCATGTTATTACATAGAGTTGCATACCCTTCTAGTTGAAAGCCCATGCAAAAACACATGTGCTACAGTCACGGACGTCAAGTACGTTTCTGGCGAAAGCTGGAGCATAGATTATTTAGAGGACTGGAAACAAGATGGCAGTCTATTTCAATTCTGGCAGTTCATTTTGGCCTATTTCTCACTATTGACTCAGTTGTTCATCTAGTTTTACTTACCTTAGATGCTTAGTAATCTATTTAGTATAATTTTGTTTCCAAAATTATTGTCATTTGCGATAATTAGTACTAAAAGTACTTTGAACAAATCAGCTGCCATTTGCTTGGCTTAATCGTACCAGTCCACAAAAACAGTGAAATCATATTAAAGATACCAATTAAACTTTAAAATTGAGGCAGATGCGATACAAAAAGACTCTATTAATACAGATATACAGGTTACAGTCACCAAGATGAGCTAATTTCAGGGGAGATTCGGGAAATAAAAAGGTAGGTCATTCTGGTTTCCAGTCCTCTAAATAATCTATGCTCCGGCTTTCGCCAGAAACTTACTTGACGTCCGTGGCTACAGTGTTTGTTTGAGGGATGTTCTGAAGGTTGGTCAATATTTCTGGTGATTTTTCCAATTTAGTGTCTCATCTTGATGTTCATTTATTGAGATTAGCCTACTGCTCCATACGATCTGGCTGGCATCTGTGGTTTTCCCCCAGCAAAGCAAAAGCCAAAAATTGAAAAATATCAAAATAATTATTCTCTCGAAAAGAGCAAGTACGTAAAAAAATACTCACTTTTCGTTGATTGGAGTTGTACCTCGTATGTAGTTGTATAACATAAACCCTATCAACACTAAACAAATCCTAATTATAACGAAGGGATTGACAAAAACTAAAAAATTGTAAAAAGTTCAAAATTTTCTCTACCATTATTGCGCATGCGTAGTACAAATGACACCGAACGAAATTGCATTCTGACCCGGGGAAAACCAGTATATCTTGACCCGGGGAAAGCCAGTATATCTTGCGGATTCTAGATGTGCAAGCCGCTGGTAAGCCGAAGGGAGTGTGTAACACGACCAATGAGATGAGATATTGTTGCAACGTAGATGCAGCAAAATAAAATAGTGAGGACCATGGCATCCATCCTTCCAAGGGAAAAGTTAACTTTTGTTTCACCAGCCCTTTTCCGATTATCCTGAGAGTTGAATACAAATAATAATCACTGACTTACAGAAACTCTTAGAAACTTTTTATGAGTCCAAGGTATAATAAATTTCATGAAAATACATTATTTGATAATCAGCATTGATTTGAGATTTTGAATACACTTTGCCTTAAAAAGTGCATGTAGGGATATGGGAGAAGCAGGATCAAAGGCAGGTCATGATGCTGGAGATCAAATTAGATAGTGAGTCACTTCGTACACAGTAAAGTATTAATTTGATTTAAAGGAACTGACACAGGTAATTAGTAACAGGTAATAGGACTTGGATTTCGAAGATGGTATATTTCTTGGTTTTACAAATTCAAATAAATAGCTTGAATGAAATAACAATAAATATTGGCTTTGTATAAAAAACCTCCTACCCACGTACCCTCGTACCCACGTACGTGGGTCCTGACCCAGTCTTTAAAGAGTTAAATCTTTAACATTTTTTAAACATTATTCTATCTCAATGTATGCTTAATTATGGATGAATTTATGTACCCATATGCCTTTATTTCTAGATCGGACATCTGTCTCGTCATAAAATAAAGCCGGCATTGCATAATGTTCATTTGAGCTATTTGAGTGTTGTTTTTGATATATCGAAGCGATTTTTTGTTGATCGGGCAGTCCTACAGTGTACAACCAATCTATTGCTTGGCGCAAATTGGCCACATGGGGCATGTGTTGTAAAGTGCTGTAGTTTTTGACTCCATGAGCAGAATATGGTCAAACTTTCACAACAAAATTCACATTGAATGACCTGAATGATTCTGGATTGACGAAGTTATTCAACTTTTCATCGGTCCTGTTTTTTAACACCCAGTGTAGTTTCGATTTTTATCACATATACTTTTTATTCTTTCAAAGTATTCATTGTTTGCACGACAGATTTGAACTATACGTGTAATTTGTCTTATGTCTTTTATTTAATTTAACATCAGAATTGGAGATACAAAGTGATAGAGTGATCAATTCACACGATCTCAAGGAATAATAAAGGCTGCATTTCTGTTTAACCGTGGCGCAATTGAATAACGAAATATTTGAAAAGTAGAAGGATTTGCTATATTCGTTTTTGATCGCTTTTTGGCACAATTTAAGGATAATTGTGCGCACTAGTTCAGTGAATCATTTAGATGGAATTAAAAGTTAGAGTTGCCAAACTTATGCAGGGGAGTGTAAGTTTGGTTTTGTAAACTTCGACATTATTCATGGCCGTTTGATCCATAATTAGGTAATATGAAGAGTAGAGTTTTATTTTGACAATGATTTGATGTAAAACTGGTTTGAATGATAAAAGTTCAGCTTTGTAGTTTCTAGCTTTTTGCGCGTAAAACGTGAATACAATGGACAACAACGACACCAAATCTTTGATTTACATACGTTAATAACGTATAATATTCGTAAGAATGAATTCTAATAACATTTGAAATAAACATCTAATAAAATGTGGTGAATTTAATTGGTTGGAAACTCTAAGAAATATATTTTTAAAAAGATGTCAACTTTTGGACAAGGGTAAACTTCCCGGGACATTTACAATCTGCATGAGGTAACAGGAGGCACGGATTGCACTGAACGAAGGCTAGGAGATTGCTAATCAGCACTGATGTGTTATACAGGTAAGACTGCCCGATCAACAAAAATCATTTCGACATATCAAAAACATAAATCAAATAGCTCAAAAATAATGAACATTTATGCAATTCCGGCTTTATTTTATTTTACTAGAGAGATGTCAGACCTATAAATAAAGGCATATGGATGCATAAATTCATCTATAATTCAGGATAAACTGAGATTGAATAATGTTTTAAACATTTAAAAATTTAACTCTTTAAAGACTGGGTCAGGACCCACGTACGTGGGTACGAGGGTACGTGGGTAGGAGGTTTTTTATACAAAGCCATAAATATTGACAAAATACAATATAATTTGGTGATCAGTGATTTTATTTCATCTGTACATGTGTAAACAGTACAAGTGTTATCATTCTCAAACATGTAGTAGTCATGATTATAAATATGGTTGCAAATTTCCAGTTTATAATAAATATTATTTAGCATTTAGCCTTATTCTTACAAAAATACGAAATTGAAATATACATATTCAAATATACAATTATTTTTATTGTAGCTCATTATAGACTCACTGCTAACTGAAAAAAATACAGTTAGGCTACAATGTGTGCACTGTCATTAATTCATTTTTTATACCATTTGGCAATATTTGTGCAAAAGGCACATGCGATAAATATCACACTAGAAGAGCAAAATGGTCACCTTGTAAACATCCCAGCATGCCCAAAAGCTAATCGGATTTTACCAGTACTCTGCTTTTGCATTTAAAAACAAGATTTCTTACGCAACCTGGCTGTAAAGCCATCAGCACAAGATGCTGACAATATATCACTTTTGAAGTGTAATAAAAATACCAAGTTGCTCACAAAACTATTACTTGAATTGTACAATATTATACAGGATTATGACTAGTAATTTATATCTCAAGATTTTTATGTACTGTAATTGAATATATATTCAAAGATATAGAGAACTTGTGCCATGATGCAAGTTATATGTTGAAAGCAAATAAGTTAGATGCAAATGTGCTCTGGGTATGATAAAACTAAAAGCAAATCAAAATTGTGTTTTAATGCCAAACTAAAACGAAGCATGTGATAATTATAATCTTCAGTCTTTACACTGTACAATTACTGCATCTGCATTTGAAAGACAAAAACACCTACAACAATTATTATATTTATAAAAATAGTTTATAACTATAATAATTATGATTTCATCATTTTATAACTATAATAATTATGATTTCATCTTACTCCTAATTCCAGTCCTTTATTTTCATAAAACTAAATATGTAAAATTCATACATTGCCCAAAACTCCATAAAGGTACATGTACTGTCATTAGTCCACTAACTGAAATGTGCTTAGATGAATATATTAACCAAGACTTGTAAGGCAAGTACAAGTTTATTGTCAAATAATTTAACAGTCTTATAATTGTGCTACAAAAGCAATTTACTCATACATGTGTATATATGAGGGATTATTCCCATCTACTTATAAATCTTTTTTCTTAACAGACCTGCTGTTTAACAATACTTTTTAATAAAGCCCATAACAATTAACATTTATTAAAAATAATTACCATTTCTCTCTTTTCTAAGAATTGAATATAAGTTAAATAATCTTTATTATGTTCCTAAAACGACTTCAGTTGTGGCCTATTCTAAATACATGTAACTAACAACATACGTGTACACCAAACTTGACAAAATATGAAAATACTGTGCAGTACATGTATGTGCAGTACTTTGATAACATTTAATGCTAGCATCTATAATGAATACTATAGATCTGTTGACACATTAGACTGCGACATATCTGATTGTGACATATTTGGCTGCGACAAATCAGATTGTAAGCCACTGGACTGAGCCACATTGGATTGTGATTCATTACGTGGTGGCACAGCACTTCTAAGCACATTATACACCTCTGACTGCGACAAGGTAGACTGAGTTATTACAGGCGCAGTATTTGGTTGCTGATTGGTTGTTCCAATGTTGTCACTCCTAACAACCACCTCTTGATTGGCTGTCTCTGAATCCTCTGTTTGGAATGTAGGATTATCCACTCCAGCGTTTGTGGTAACAGCTGAAGGAATTACTGCAGGGGAACCCTGTGCCGTTGCTATGGCAACACCACCTGTACTTGGAGTTGACACCCCTATAGAAGGGGTGTTGATAGTAGCTTCACTGACTGTATAACTAGGAGGGTCAGTTGCATTATAGTTTGGGGGTGTGAGCACATTCACCATGCCTTCAATATTGATGAAATATATTTCATGTCCCATAGACTCTTCATACGATGGAGGCATATCACCACTGTTGTTGCTATGACGACTTCTTCGACTAGCAACACTACCTGATCTACTTCGCCGTCTTCGTGGACTAACATATCGCACTGAAATAGAAAACAATATAGATTATAAAATTTGTGATGACATGACATCAACTATAATTATCATCATTAATATCTAATAATATAGCATAATGCCTATCAGTGGCGGATCCAGGAACCAACAGGGGAAGGGCCCAAATTTGAGGTCAGAGAAAAAACCGAAAAGTGGGCCCAAATTTTGAAAATTTGAGGCCCATTTTCTTCAAAATTTGGCCTAAATTTAAAAAATAAGGCCTTAGAAGGCCCAATAATAACCAAAAGGCCTACTTTTTGAGGCCTTTTTTGGCCTAAAATTTTTTAGGGCCCAACTTTTTTTTTTCTGGGCCAACCTTAGGGGGGGGGGCCCGGGCCATTTATTGAAAGGCCTTTATTAAAATACAGTATACCTGCATATGGGTCTTCCCCATTCCTCCACTTGCGAGATATGATTAGCTTTCCCAACACAAAGCTACCAACCAGCATCAGAAACCCACATACTGAAACAAAAAATATGCATCTCAATAATAACATATGAACTTTTCAATGAAAAATTGTAATAAAGCACAATGTGAATGTAATGTACATTAATGTACATGTATCATTAACCACAGAGTATAGAAGTTGAATTAAAATTTAAAATGTGGTTTTCTGACAAGTCTTACAAAAACTGCAAAGGTTCCTGGTTCCAAGTTGCCTTCTTCCCTAGAGCTAGGGACATAAAACATTCAAACCCTACTGTGCTGGCATATTTCAACCAATCTGAGAGCCACATTTAAAATATGTTAACTTCAGTAATTTGAGCAACGAGTTTGAATTTTCCTGACACATCTGTAAATGGCACTTAGATATCAGGCCCGTAGCCAGGGGGGGGGGGGTTCGATGGGTTCGAGTGAACCCCCCTGGCCAAAAAATCTTTCAAAATCATGCAGTTTTTCACCATTCTGAGCACTTTTTAAGTGATTTTGGCCATTTTTGAACTAAAATTGTCACAAGTGAACCCCCCTGGAATTTTTCAAAAAGTGAACCCTCCTTGGCAAATCCTGGCTATGAGCCTGGATATACAATGGTCTTATTCATATGAGACATTCTACCATCAATAAAAAAAATCATATGCTCACCTAAGCCTAGAAGAGCAAATGCTAGTGGGATAGAAACATTATGTTCACGATAGTAAGCATGGGCTGGTCCAACATAGGTGGCACCTAAGATCATAAATGTCAGTCCAACACTTGCGATTATAGTAAACACTGTCACTAACTGGCAGAATAGTTTTTTCCCTCCAGGGTACTGTATTTTATCCCAGGCTTCTTGTGGGTTTGTTCCATAAGAATATGGGGTGTATGCTCTCCCAGCTGATGGTCGCACTGATACGGCACCATTTGAGTATCCTTGGACACTTTGGCTTAGGTTTGGTACGCGAAACATTGTGGAATGAGACCCTTATGTAACCATCACATCACTGAAAGAAATGGTAAAACATGTTTACATGGTCTGTAAATGTAATTAGTGGCTGGGATTATGTTCACAAATACAACCTTATTTGGTCAGTTATCTACTGTAGTATACTGCTACTTTTCAAGATGTAACATAATTTGGGAACTGATTTCAGGAATTTTAGTTATAACTTGAGTGAATAGAATTTTTATGATATGGAATTATAGAAACCAAGGTTCAGGGTTGTTGACTCTTATATTTCAACCCTTTATTTATTACTACACAAATGTTTCATATTAGTTGATAATGTTTCATAGAAATGAAATATTTGTACTAACATCCTCTTCAATAATCTTCAATGACTTATAAACATTTGCTATCAGTGATTCATTATATTCCAATATTTCAAAGGTGTCTAGCCTCTGGTATCTATAATATAGAATGCCAGCCACTAAAGATTATTTACTTTCAAAGGGACTTAAAATTACAAATTGGCATTATTTGTATCCATTTCTATACATCCTCGGGATCTTGCCTTAGAATGAAGGAATGTAGGAGATGCTTTTTACTCAATTTAAAAAATTTTGAAAATAAAGAAACATAAAAATTACAAAAGATCAATGGCGGCATTCAACAGCCATATGTATCCAGACAATATTGAATTGATTGAGTTATAATATTAATATAAATCTTTAGATATACGCTCACATTGAGATAACTGGCATGGGGATTCAAGTTCAAGTACTTCTGATTTGAAGGTACATACTTGTAACTCTGAGGTGAGATGCCTATGAAGTTATGGGGTCAAGCAAAATGTAGCTCAAATTTTTTTATCTAAATAAATGAAAAATTGAGCCATCTTTGGACGTGCAAGAGATGGACCAAACATTTTCTGAATTTTAATACATGTAATTTTGCAAACGTTAGAGCACTAGGTCTTTTGCGCAATGACACAATCAACTGTTGCACCTATATTACGTTGCATTGCACCCAGTTCAAGATCCCTGTGTATTGAAACAGAATTGGCTTCAAATTCCTACAGAAGAACAATTGTTGTGGATATTTTATGGGTTGGTTTATTTGTATCCTTCAAGCATCTTTAAAGTTATATAGAAGTTAGACAATGTATGTGCAAATTCTTAGTAAAATGTAACCTTGACTCCAGCTCCAGTTCTTTCCCAAAATTAAATGTACCCATCCCGTGTTAAATGTACCTAGATTATTAGTTGAGCGCTAATAAATATTCTAGTTGGATAAAAAAGGAAAGAATTCAGTGATCCACAGTAGGTCACTGAATTTTGTAAATGTTCACATATTGTAGAAAATTATTTAAAGAATAATGAATCTTGTACTATTTTATTCTTCTATTGGAATTTTCAAAGCATGAGTGCATGTACTAACCCATACATATAATGCACAAGGGTGTAGGGTGTACTACCAAGTACATTATCAGGATAGGTTAGTACATGCATGAATGCTTTTCAATCAAAGAAAGAATGATACAGGGTTGTCATTGTAATTCAAATAAATTGTCACTGCTTTATAAATAAAAAAGTCATTGTACATGTATAGTCCTTTATGAAACCATAATGCACTGTTATGATATCACTCATTTACATCCAGAAATGGCACTGATCAGTTCATTATAAAACTATAATGCACTGTAATGTAATGTTCCTGCTCAGTTGACCATATACCCTTGAATTAATGCACTAAAATACTCTGATTGGCTGAGATAGACTTGCCATTATTATGCACTGCAAAACTAAAGGATGAGGATATGATTTATGTTATATACCCTGAAAATAACATGAGACACCAATTGATAAGCCATTTAAATTTCTGAACACACAGATGTACCTCAATTCTTATATGATACATGATGTCACAATAACTAGAACAATTGATTTACTGGTCACACCGCTACCACTAAATTTCAAAAATGCAAGTACATGTACTACAGTACATGTTTTTGTGGTTTATTAGAATCATAACGAAGAACTTTGATTCTATGATTTATAGCAAACATATGACCTCGGATTTTATGACCTCATATTATAATGACACGAGGGCACCCCAAATGAGCACAGTGTAACATGCGAGATACAGAAATGAAAGAAAGTGCGCAAGGATCCTTAGATCCAGACAGATGATGCTCGACCACTTGAGGTGTAAATGTTTAAGCATGTACAGCCGAGCTGTAATAGCAACTTGCTATCAAGGATCGTTACAATATATTGCCCCATAAATCATAGAATCTCAGTCTTTATTCATCGTCAGCAAACTGTTTTCGATAGTAAGCATCAAATCAAATAAACGTTGTGTGATCTCTAGCCAAGTTTGTTGGAAAGAGATCTACTATTGAGCGTATTGAACTGAAACGAAAGCCCATGAATAAACATCAGTAGGGTAAGAACAAAGTCAGCACTTACTCTACCGAGCTGACAAAAGTCAGCACTGGGAAGTTCCGTTGGCATTGCAATGAAGAGAAGTTTATGAGCGCATGCGCAAAAAATTAAAAGATGGTGCGCGCCGGAACAGAAATTTTTCCAATTTAACTGCAAATTACACAACAAATAGGACTTGTTGACACCACGCGTCAAAAAAGGGCAAGTAATATTCAATTATCTTACTAAATACCGTTACTTATGCCAGCGCACGCGCACCAGCTGGAAGTTGGGGAAAAACGCTTCACAAGCCGGTATATTCTAACGGTGTGTCAGCTGGCCTTTGAGCCAGCTGTGTTCAGTAAGTCAGCACCATCTATCTAATATCTAATACAATAGAATCTAATATCTGAATATCTGAAGATTGATACATGTAGTGTTCACTGTGGGTAAAAAACATGGGGAGAATACATAGTAATGAATATATTCTTACTTATGTTTTCATTGAAAACAAAAAAATATGTAATTCGCTTACGAACCTGAAACGGCGAATAACTCATGTAGCGTTGAGGTGTACCCTGATAACTATTCCAAAACTTTCCCCAGCTTGTTATGAAAAATTTAGAATTGACCTTGAGATTAATTATGTCACCAAAATCAATTCCTCTTTTAGACATATATGGAATTTCAAAGTTAAAGCTATCTACATAAATAAATTAAATATTCAATATTTAGTACAATTTTATATTTTTATTTGGATTATCTATGTAACTTTTCTGCAATTTACAAAAAATTATAAATTGTTACGAGACTAAATGACGTCAACTTGTTTTGGTAAGAAATCAACATGTCGCTGAATAATTCACACGCAAACGGAGGTGTACTCATATATAGTGGTGAAAGGTGAAGTAATTCATTTTATTACCTATACATTAAAATTATCATACATTGAAGTTTGTTTGCAGAAAGTTTTGTTGGAATTAATTACTATCTTAGTGTAAAAAATCAGAGTAAATTGTGGTAAAAACCCGGAAGTGAATTGAATTTTTCATTTTCTTGACTCATCAGTTTTAGGAGGATTGGAGGCTGCCGGCCTGTAATGTCCTCCCATCTGTTACACTATGACTAAAACTAAATACTCTTATGTTTTCGTACATTTTTTTATTTTGCATTGCTATTGTTTTGACTGATAAGAGGCCACAATGTTTACTTTATGACAACCCAATATTTCAACCAAAAAATGTACGGTGGGGATCATAAAGAATTGCAAAAGCTATGAAAATTACATGCTGTCGCACATGTAATAAATTCTTACCTCAGTGTATTCAGTGCTCTATTTTCTCCGTCTTAGTAAGTCCAAATATAGTGGAATTTGTGTCCCTAATGACAAATAAGAACTTCAAAAGTTGAATTGGATATTCACATGTTATGCTGACTCTTCAAATGTTGAGGTGATTTTGTCGCCCGATTGCGCCGGAACGGAGGATTGGCATTCCCAGAATGCAACATGACACGTGCCAGCTTTCAAAATGCTGTTCCGCCATTTTGAAACCTGTCATGAGTAAATACGGTTAACTGATGTTGCATTCTGGGAGTCAACCGTCCTTGGATAACAAACATGGCGATTCATGAAAACATCCATTCGATTTGGTAGGGATTTATCCATTATTTGCAGGTATGAAGCTTTGGATTCATTTATTGTGCTACTTTAGTGAACGGGAATTATTTTTTACCGCTTGGGAGAATTTGAGACACGAAACTTGGAGATAAGCTCATTGTGACAACTTGTGAACGTTGAGTTTTATTTTTGTCCCCCACTGTAATGATCGTCACTATGCATAGTTAGCGCAAACAGTAGTGGTAGCTAAAGGGTTGAGTGAGTGAACAAATCACCATATTTATAGATTTTGTGTTTTGTTTATTATGTCACCATTTATTGTTTTAGTCTCAAACTTTTTGTTGACGGTGTTTGGCTCAAGAAGGAATATCCAATATGACCACTCAATAATTCCATACAAACATAATGTAACTTTTTTATTGTTTAGGATTCTCATATTCCATGATGGATTGGAAGTTTCATTTGACAGCACAAGTCCTCTTCCTCACTTCAAGGGTACAAAAAAAGGAAGAGCATATTTAACAACACATAGGGTGAGACAATTTTTGTTTTCAACTGCATGTACAACGCATTGATTGACTATTCATGTTAGCCATTCATTTTTAACATAGGATTCTATTTTATTCTGTCTCTTCAAATAAAGCTGAAAGAAAACAGACTAGATTTACTTGATCAATAAATGTTCAAATATTTCTATGTAAGTTCATCTCTCTGGTTAATATATCAGAAACAAGTCAAATTCTTTACTTAAAAAAAAAAAATAAAAAAAAAATAAAAAAATTATTCTCTGAAGTAAAGAATTTGACTTGTTTCTGATGTTCAAATATTGATCTTGAGAAGGATTCTTCTCAACATTTATGGCGCTATATGTTCCTTTTTCTCGATCCTTATTATTTTAAACCATGTTAAAATTATTCCACAACACAAACATTTCATCCATTGTAAAAGCTCTGAAACTAAAAGGTGTTTTGCTTATTTGTACAGGTTATCTTCAACAACAAGAATCCCAAGGATACACTGCAATCGTTCAGTATGCCATTCTTCAAACTGACAGACCTGAAACTGGAACAGCCAGTTTTTAATGCCAACTATATCAAAGGAACAGTTACCTCAGAGCAAGGGGGTAAGCTGACAGATATTAATCTCTGTCTCGTATTTTATTTAACATACAAGTAGATGGTTTTCATGGAGGTCTAGTCGAAATGACCCAAGGTGTCTGTCTGGTCTGTACAGTAAATCCGATACCTAGTACCTTGTATTTGAAGTGTTTAATCACACTTTTCAATCACTCCCAATATATTTTCACAGCCATTAATGTGAATAACTAGCTCTAAATGTGAACAATTTCAGCTGGTCGCAGCAGTGGTCAGTTTTACTGTATTCATGTATTTATGGTTTGGCTATGTAGTTAACCACACATCCTAGTTTTCTGCATGAGAAAAATGCAAATTCTGCGCAGAAATTCTGCATGAAAAAGCCAAATTCTGCACCAAATTCTGCATGAAACCTAAAATTCTGCACGGGGAAAAGTGAAATTTTGTGGCTCAAGTATGTGCAAAAAATGAAATCCTTGCTAAAATCAATAATTTTTTCCAAAAAATTAATAATTCAAAATTCTTGAACTCCACTCATGCTGCTTTATTCAGCGATAATGGACAACTGCAGTAATAACACCAGATGCAATTTTAATCAATTAGCAACAAAACTTACCAAATGCTCACTTGTGAACTATCACGAAATTCAAAGTATCACGAAATTCCAGATCAATATGCAGGGAATTCAGATGTCGTTTATTTATATATGACGAAGTAAAACGCAAGAAGAAGCATGATTTATTGCGTTAGAATACAAAAGAATACAATATTAGACATATTATTGCAAAACAATTACGAGGGACAGTCATCGGTTTCAAATTTCGTGATTATGTTAGACGCAGTCTTACCTCTAAGTGCAAAGGCGGAAGTTCGAGAATTTAAAACAGATTTCAGATTTCCTCTTGAAAATCTGACAAAACACAAGTATCTGACAACAAACGAGCGGAGTCTTTGGGTGTTTAGGTGAGTGACAAATATGAGATGAGATGGTTGACTGGAAAAATCATGTTTTCCGCGAAATTCCGTGCCAAAACAAAAATTCTGCAAAAAAAATGAAAATGCAAATTTCTGCGGTTTTTCTGCGGCGACGCGGAATCACGGAATACTAGGATGAGTGGTTAACAATACCCTATATTATACAATATATATACAATACCTTATGTTATAGGAAACTGGGAAGGCCAAGCCAAGTTTAAGATGTGGTTTACAAATGGAGGTGCAATAGAATTTGGTCAAGCCATGCTGCGTGCTGGACAATTGGGTAATGATCTAAAACATGATGAATATAAAAATCGAAAAAGTTTCAAGTACATGCATAGGTGAAATCCCATGATATATTTGAATTTTTATGAAATTGTATAGTTTCTAGATAGCTGAAAAATGCTTACATAATAGATGTCACCCTTGCTTGTCTTTGACATTCTAGGGCCAGACCTCCACTCACTTCAATGCTAGAAACTTGCAATAGTCACTTTATTTCATGATTGATCAAAAAGTGTTGGTTGAATCTGTCTGAAACTCGAATGGAATACTATTGGATGGCCCTGTCAATGTACATTTTGTGATTAAACATGAAAATATTGGTTGTCATACGAATAAATCAAGGTTTTAATGAATTTTAGCATTGCACCAATGGAGATTTGGCCCAAGTTTTTTTAAAATGTCATGGAAAATGATTTAAATGACATAACTCTGTAAATCAAAGCTATAATTGGAGAAGATTTGTAACTGAATCCAAATATGCTATCAGAAATAAAGAAAAGTAATTCATTAGATTCATCTTGATTAGTGTATAGTCTACAGGTGAAATGCTATTCCAGCATTACTTGAACCTGGCTCCTTGAAGACACATCATTGTTTGTTGTTGTGTATTTGCAGCCAGGAGGAGGATGACCCCACAACCCCCAGTGTACAGTCAGCCTACAGGAAACTACTACCAGGCACCACCTCCTGCTTATACACCACCACAAACACCTCTCTATGGATTTGTACCAACACAAACATTCCCAACAGCACCACCAAGTAAGTGGGAGGATATCATATATAGTAAAACCTGTGTATATTGAACACATATGGAGCCACAAAAATGTGTTCGCTGTAGGTAGGTGTTCGCTACAGAAAGGGTCGTTTATACAGAAGTCAATACAGTATGTGCTGAGGGAGAGTGTCCACTAAAGACAGGTGTTCACTTTGACAATTTTTGCTGTAATGGCTTTGAACAGTAGAAAATGTGTAATTACATTAATTGAGTTAAAAACTGCTTCAATTTGATTAATAGCATAATTTATGTACACTTTTATTGATTTATTATTACTTTTAGACCAATTCAGCAACCTTATGTGATGGAAGTGACAAGCTCCCGGAGTATGTCATGAATATAACCCTCAATTAAGAAAACCTTATGGCATTTTAAAACAGAAGACTCTGACTTACTGAATCAAAAAATTTCAGAAACTAACTGGGATTTTATTTTGACCAACAATGTTAATAATGCCACAGAGCTCTTTGTTAGAACTTTTCTAGATATAATTAAAACAAATGTATCTCATAAGACTATTTCAACCAGGTATGATCATCAACCTTGGTTTTCCAATAACATCAAAAAGGAGATTTATAAAAGAAACAAACTTCACCATAAATACAAATCTACTAACATTTTGACCTATCATACGCAATTTAAAATTCAAAGTAAGATAGTGAACAAATTGATTTGGAAGCAAAATCTGAATATGAATTTAAAATTCGGGAAAAAATTGAGAACACCTCCAAAAATTCTGTTGACTACTGGTCTTTGATTCGCGACTTACTTGGAAAAAATCAAGTTACATCAATTCCGGTTTTATTTGATCCTAATTCCAACTTATCAGCAGCCACCAGCTCTGATAAAGCAAATGTTTTAATGAAATACTTTGTAAGCAAGAACATTGTCACTATTCCAGAGAATTACACTCCAATATTTAGACCCAGAACTCATCATATTCTTCAGGAAATCAAAACTACTCCTGACGAAGTTTTTAACATTTTAAAAGATCTTGACATTTCTAAAGCACATGGGCCTGACAATATATCTAACAAAATGTTAAAAGTCTGTGCTAAATCTCTAGCAATACCAACTGCTGAGCTCTTTAATAAAATTTTTAAAGAAAATATTTTTCCTGATATATGGAAAGAAGGATTCATAACCCCCCTTTATAAAAAGGGTGACAAAGGTTTGATTACAAATTATAGACCTGTAACCCTCTTAAGCAGCCTCTCAAAAGCAATTGAAACAATTATACATAAACACTTTTTATCATTTCTTTTAGAAAATAACTTGATTTATAAACTTCAGAGTGGCTTTTTACCGAAACACAGCACAGTTAACCAATTAATCAACATTGTTCATGACATTCATGCTCAAATTGACAATAGTCAAAATGTCCGCTCTGTTTTCCTTGACCTGACGTCAGCTTTTGACCTAGTTCCGCACCAACTTTTGTTACTTAAACTTAAAGGTTACGGTTGTCAGGAAAACTTTATTAAACTGATGACTTCATATTTATCCAACAGAAGAGTAAAAGTTAAAGTGAATAATAGCTATTCGAATTGGTCCAATGAAAATACTAACGAGAATACAAACAACCCGAATAATTTGCATAACAATTTTGTCATAAATGCTGGAGTTCCTCAAGGATCAGTATTAGGACCCCTGCTTTTTCTATTATATGTGAATGATCTTCCTGATAATTTGCACTCAAAAACCTTTATTTTTGCAGATGACACTTCAGTCTATAACTCCTATGAAAAAAGTGAGAATTTTATTAACATACATGTACACCAACCCATTCAAAATGACTTAGATAATCTTGCTTTATGGGCTTATACCTGGAAGATGAATTTTAAAGCACAAAAAAGCGCCGATTTGATTTTCACGGGAACTAGAAACTTACTTATTGAACCTCCCTCTTTACATCTAGGAGATGAACTGATACCAAGATGCAACAGTCATAAGCACTTGGGGCTAATTCTGGATCAACATTTGAACTTTAATGACCATATTGATCAACTTATCACTAGAGTAATTTCTCTAATGAGACCTTTAAAGAAACTTAGCAAACTTCTTAAGAGTAAACACCTGGAAACAATTTACAATGCTTTCATTATGCCACATTTTGATTACTGTGATATAATTTACGGTAAAGCTTCAAATTTTAAACTTCAGTGTTTAGATAGATTGCACTACAGAGCAGCATGTTTGGTTTCTGGTGTTATACATGGGTCAAACACTGCTTCTGTTCTAAGTTCCTTAAACTGGAAATCCCTATCAACTAGAAGAGATGAGCATTATAAAATGTTTATGTTTAAATGTAGGTACAATTCTTATCCACCTTTCATTTGTGAATTACTTCAAACCTATGAAAATACTCAGGCTAGGCAACTGAGAGATACAAGACATTACTTAATTCCTACAAAAGCTAGCAACTCATTCCGGAGGTCAACTATTTTGAATGGAATAAGAATATGGGACAATTTACACCTTGACACGAGAAGAGGTCAACCAATATCTCGCTTCAAAAGATTAGTAAGAGATTACAGGAGCCCTGTCTCCATGCTACCCACTACCAAAATGGTAAACGAAATGCCTAGATATGTTGAATCTGCTTTTAACAAACTCAGATTGGGTCTCCTTTTAAAATCACAGCTATATGCTCATAATTTCACCAGTGTTAGTGATCCCTTTTGTAAATGTGGATTACCACAAACACCTTCTCATTTTATCTTAAAATGTCCTCTGCTTGTAAACTAGCGTGAAACTTTATTTGCAGGACTGCAAACTTCAGATCTTCATCTTTTGGTTCAGAATTTGAACACAGTTGACAAAATTCAGTTTCTTTTGTATGGTGATGAAGATTTAGATAATTCATTAAATGAAAAATTAATAGAACTTATGAGTCATTTTGTTAATCAAAGTCTGAGCCAAATTGATCGGTTTGGCTAATTTTTGCATGCATGTGTTAACACATCCCTGGCCCATGGGATTATAGTTTCTTATATGTGTGAAAAAGCTAATGTTTTTTTTTATAAAACTTTGGCAATCAATTGCATGTCTTATATTGTTTACTAAAGGAATAAATTTATGTATAAAAAAAATAAAAAAAAATAAAAAAATATGACAAAAAATGATTAAACATGATGTGGTTTCAGGTGATGGAGTGTTTATGTATGATGCACCCCCTCCATATCCAGGCATTGATTCAGCAGCTTCTGCCCCACCTCCACAGACTGCAGCAGGTAAGCTCATACTGCCACTGCCCCCTCCAATATCCTCTATATGTATTCAGTTTTCATACAAAGTGTCAATATGAGAAAGCAATGTAAAATTGCAGTTTGATTAGAGTTTTTATGTTCAGCTAAGAGAGACTAAGGTGTGAAATTCTCTCAAGTAGTGTTTAAAACTCCTAATTCTGGACATCCATCCCAGTAAATTAATGGTCCCAAAATGGTTGGATTATTCACTGGTCGGTATCAAGCGAAGGTTAAGGCCCTCACACACTATATATGAACATATGATCATACTCTGGAGTTTCCCTGTCATATAAGTCTGATTTATTTCTGATTTAGTTCAAATATCAAAGCATTACATCAATATAAACTTGACTATTTGATGAAAACTAAAAATACCAAAATCGACATTTCCCGTCCTAAATGCGAAGGTGATGGCCGTAACCGTCGCTTGATACTGATCAGTGATTAATATCCCATCGAACAAAGTTTGGAGGGATATAGGGAACGCCTCCGTCCGTCCTACGTACGTACGTTCTCCTGTCTGTCCAGGTGATAACTCATATACCGTAAGCCCGATTTTGTTAATATTTTGTACACATATGCCCTATGGGGATAGAAGTTCTGCTCAAAACCAAATTTTCAGCATGGCCTCTCATTTAAAAATGGTGGCTATTTTAGTGCAGATTTTAGAGTAATTTAGGTACATTATATAAAACTGTAATAGCAATATGTTTTAAATATAAAAAAATTATATAGGACATTAATAAAGCTAGAAATGTAGATATTTAAGAAGCACATGGCAGCAATCTTGAAAAATGGCAGCCTTTACACGCTATTTTTTATGATTTTTGCTGTAACCCCACAAGTAGTGGAGCGATTTTGTTCATATTTGATATGTGAATACTATATGCATGGCACACTGTCTAATGGCAGTTTTGGTAGAAGGCTGCCATTTTGAAAAATGACTGCCATTTTTATGTGTGTTATTTTACGTTTTTTACTATAACTCGTAAAGTAGTTGAGCGATTTTGTTCATATTTGATATGGGAATACTCATAAGCATGTCACACTGTCCAATGACACTTTGGGGAGTAGGCAGCCATTTTTTAAATGGCCCCAATTTTCTGGGTGTTATTTTACTTTTTTTACTATAGTTCAAATGGCCACCATTTACATTGCGATTCTGTAGAAATTTAATACATGCCTACTTAGAAGCATATTACACTTTCTGATGACAATTTGGCTAGTGACCAACCATTTTGAAAATGGTGGCCATTTTTGTGTGTTATTTTATGATTTTGATGTCACCACCAAAATTGGTGACATATTGTTATGGTCTCCGTTTTTTTATGTCACCACCAAAAGTGGTGACATATTGTTATGGTCTCCGTTTTTTTGCGACGGCGGTTGGTGGTTGGCGTCCGGCGGTTGGCGTCCGGCGTCTGTAACAATTTCTTACAACTTCCTATAACTTAACAAATACTGTTTAGACTGACTTCAATTTTTTTCTAAATCATCTACATGTTCTCAGAAGTTCAAATCTGACTTTAGATTTGACATTTGACCTTCAATGACCTTCTCATGGTCAAAAAGGTCTTTTTTCAACTTGCTTCACATTGACTAAATTTTTTTTCAAAATCATCTACATGTTCTCAGAAATTCAAATCTGACTTTAGATTTGACATTTGACCTTCAAATCTGACTTTAGATTTGACATTTGACCTTCAATGACCTTCTCAAGGTCAAAAAAGGTCAAAAAGGTCTGTTTTCAACTTGCTTCAAATTGACTAAATTTTTTTTTCAAAATCATCTACGTGTTCTCAGAAATTCAAATCTGACTTAAGATTTGACTTAAGATTTGACATTTGACCTTCTCAAGGTCAAAAAAGGTCAAAAAGGTCTGTTTTCAACTTGCTTCAAATTGACTAAAAAAAATTTTCAAAATCATCTACGTGTTCTCAGAAATTCAAATCTGACTTTAGATTTGACTTAAGATTTGACATTTGACCTTCAATGACCTTCTCAAAGTCAAAAAAGGTCAAAAAGGTCTTTTTTCAACTTGCTTCAAATTGACTAAAAAAATTTTCATAATCATCTACATGTTCTCAGAAATTCAAATCTGACTTTAGATTTGACATTTGACCTTCTCAAGGTCAAAAAAGGTCTGTTTTCAACTTGCTTCAAATTGACTAAAAAATTTTTTCAAAATCATCTACATGTTCTCAGAAATTCAAATCTGACTTTAGATTTGACATTTGACCTTCAATGACCTTCTCAATGTCAAAAAAGGTCAAAAAGGTATTTTTTCATCTTGCTTCAAATTGACTAAATTTTTTTTCAAAATCATCTACATTCTACATGTTCTCAGAAATTCAAATATGACTTTAGATTTGACTTTAGATTTGACATTTGACCTTCTCAAGGTCAAAAAAGGTCAAAAAGGTCTTTTTTCAACTTGCTTCAAATTGACTAATTTTTTTTTTCAAAATCATCTACATGTTCTCAGAAATTCAAATCTGACTTTAGATTTGACATTTGACCTTTAATGACCTTCTCAAGGTCAAAAAAGGTCTGTTTTCAACTTGTTTCAAATTGACCAAATTTTTTTTTCAAAATCATCTACATCTTTTCAGAAGTTCAAATTTGACTTTACAAGTTCTCAGAAATTCAAATCTGACTTTAGATTTGACATTTGACCTTCTCAAGGTCAAAAAAGGTCTGTTTTCAACTTGCTTCAAATTGACTAAAATTTTTTTTCAAAATCATCTACATGTTCTCAGAAATTCAAATCTGACTTTAGATTTGACATTTGACCTTCAATGACCTTCTCAATGTCAAAAAAGGTCAAAAAGGTATTTTTTCATCTTGCTTCAAATTGACTAAATTTTTTTTCAAAATCATCTACATTCTACATGTTCTCAGAAATTCAAATATGACTTTAGATTTGACTTTAGATTTGACATTTGACCTTCTCAAGGTCAAAAAAGGTCAAAAAGGTCTTTTTTCAACTTGCTTCAAATTGACTAATTTTTTTTTCAAAATCATCTACATGTTCTCAGAAATTCAAATCTGACTTTAGATTTGACATTTGACCTTTAATGACCTTCTCAAGGTCAAAAAAGGTCAAAAAGGTCTGTTTTCAACTTGTTTCAAATTGACCAAATTTTTTTTTCAAAATCATCTACATCTTTTCAGAAGTTCAAATTTGACTTTACAAGTTCTCAGAAATTCAAATCTGACTTACAGTGTATATTAAGTTTGAACTCATAATATTGTGAGCAACTAGGTGGTGACATTTTGTCATGTTAATGCCTTGTTTGCTATATACTTTGTTTGTAAAAATGCCAGCCATGGCTGTTCGATGGGATTTGCTACGCTTTGGTGTTGCTGTTGTCTAGTTAAAGTGTGTCAGATCTCATATTATTCTTGATGTTTCGCATTATATTTGAGGCTTCACAGTTACAAAATATTCTTACATTGTTTTAAAATATTGGAGAAATTATTCTTGATGTCTGTGTTTCAAATTGTTTTTGATTAATTAAATCATTTTAATTTTTTTACAATAACAAATTGATTTTTTACATTACATTACATCTCACATTATTCTTTATGCCTCAAATTGCACATAATTCAAAATATGAAATTAATTTTGTTGTTTCATACAGTTCATATTTTAACAGTATTCCTTATGTTTCAGAGTCCAAGGCACAAGAGGCAGCGTCCAGTGCTTATTATAACCCAACCAATCCACACAATGTCTACGTACCCCAGGATGCCCCACCCCCATACTCTGCAGTCAGTAAAAAGAATGATTAACTAATATGCTGGCGGGAATAATGATAATGCTTAGAAAATTGTGTCATCTCTTCATTTGCCATCTTAAAGGGTACAAATATCAAATAGGACTTTTTAGTCTTGTATCATATCTCTCTGCCTTTACTCCAACCAGATCCTGTGGCTGTGTTGGAAGGGGAGGGAATCGATGCAATACTGTACTGTAATACCTAAAGATAACGTATTGAATCCACATACAATGAAGTAGCTTGATTTACACATATAAAAGGAGAGAAAAATATGTAATTTTAATTTGTTAGTTTATCTAAAGATGGCATACTAAGTTTATGATTTGTGCAGTTGTGTATTGAGGACTCAATGTCTGGCTGAGCCAGTGTGATTGAGATATTGATGTCTAGTGATTGCCAGAATTTCATCTTAAAATATCAGTGTATGTCAGATTGCTTCAAGATATGAACATAACACTACATATGAACTGAGTTGCTGCGAGAGAACGGAATATATGAATGAAGAAATTACAATATCTTTTGTATTTAACACAAGACACATTACGTTTTGTCGCATGATAAATGTTACTTCGTATTTTATGTTCAGATTTTACTAATCGTATAGTTTTTTGTTAAACTTATCATCATATACCATTCTTGAGGAATGTCCAACACAGTGTTTAATTTTGAATTTGGCTGAGGTCGATCAACTTAACACCCCTCACCTGCTTCCTTTATGAAATCAAAATGAAGGCCATACTCCATTTTTTAGAATAAAACTCATTATTCAAACTTTTTTCAGACACTGTATGTTGATAGTTGATACATGTACTCTGATTGTTGAATCTTCAAAAATGCATTCAAGCATGTGGCTATGATTGTATATGAACTATATTGTAAATTATGTGTTATTGTAGAAATAATTGTACATATGGGTTTAATACCTAATAAATTATGAGCTATCAAGAAAAAAAATGATGTCAGTTTTCTCCAGAACTTGAATTTTATTTATGAATATATTGTACAATTTACAAAAATGACAAAGTGAGAGGACAGATTTTACTTCAAAAGGTGAATCTTATTGTATTATCCTCTGATCACTTTAAATATGAGATAAATCATATATTAGTGTCAATGCTTGAGGAAATAATGTAATTCATTTCAATATTTAAATGTTGATCGAATCCTGGCACACAATTTAATTTTCAATTAGACCTGTTGGGGTGAAATTGATATCATATCTTTTGATTTAAACACTATATATTATATTATTTGTACTGTATGTCATAACAGACTGTTATCAATGTAACAATGCTCTACCACCTAGAGATTTATGAGTTAAGCCCTCACAATTTTTTTGTCTCATTTAAGATTTTGTCATGATTTTCTTGAATTTTTACACATGGAAATTTTTTGTTAGAGTAAAAATGCAATGATAGATCTGGTATGTCTGGTCATCTTTTCATTTTTCCAAAAAATCATCCTAACAGACAATTATAGTTTAAAAGGTTCAAAAGATTTTGTGAAATGATATGCATTGTCCAATACAGGTCACACCATAGGGATTATTGATCACTGATTAGTATTTAGTGTCTACTGCGTTTTCTCAAGTTCATATATTCTGATCACTGTCTCACCTATTAATCCAACTCCTATGAGCAAATCATACTGTTGATGTAACATATAAGCCAATGGATGACTTTCATGGTTAAATAGATGGCAGAGGTGGACATGTATATGACAGAATGTAGAAAAACTTAAACTAGAATCAGATCTCAAAAGCTGGCACTGAAGTAAAGTAGTCATCCATTGACAAGAATTTTAGAATATTTTGGGCTTGTATCATTCCTTGTCATGTATATGTATTAACCAAAGTGTATACTGTATTTGAGGAAAACTAGAGACTTCTGCAATAATCCATTGATTTGTCTATAAATATGGTTACCACTTTTATCATTTGGGAGAATTTAAACATGTTCCCCTATTTTTGCACTTTGAAACTTAAACAACTTGACTAATTGATAACCTATTGTGGATCTTTTGGGATATACTACATTACTACTGTATATTTGAGATAGTAAGGAATATATCTGGAGGAGAGATTCTGCTTGAATTTCCAAATGGATTAATATCAAACTCCATTGACATTCAGCTTGTTTATCTTGTCAACTTGGGAATTGTGATTCCACCTTAACATTCTTATCAATGTGTCAGTTGGAATTGAGCCTTTCCCGGAAAACTTATTAATTCTTAATTTGAATTCAAGAAAATGTGGATATATCCTGAGACTAATATAATTATGTTAGTCTCAGATATATCCTAGTAGAATTGCGTACATATTTTAAAAATCTCATCTAACAAAAGAAGAAAGTCGTTAATTGTGTAATATTTTCAAAATGTATTTCTACAATCTAAATGCATGTACAGTGTGCATAATGTGTATACAATAATATATACAATTTTACAAAGTTAACATAAACACAAATACTGTATGAACATAATATGCTTGGAAAATATTTTCTTAGACATTAAAACAATATGTACAATCTTGAATAATTTATAGCTCCATTGTTTTAGTTATTTCAAAGTCTTGAAATCACTGGCGTCTGCTCCTTTGTCGGTTTCTCTGTCGGCTCTGTCTTCGCATTTCCCTCTGTCGCTGCCTTTCCATGTCTCTTTGTTGTTGTTGTCTTTGAGATTGGGGAGAGTCTGTTACAATTATTCGAGCATTAGTGTCTTCCTGAGATTCTTCCGTATTGTCAATACCTTCAGTGTTTGTACTGTTTGTATCTGTGTTCCATCTGTAAATCTGCCATCTTTCTCGCTCTGTGCGCTCTGTGGCAGCTGCGTAGCAACATTTGTTGAACTCACCCCTATGACGGTGATCTACACACCTTGAGAAGGTCAACATGAGTTCTTTACCATAGTTTGGGATTTCCCAACGTCCATTAAAGTGCATCTTTGCATTGTGGGCGCGGTTGCGGTTTCTCATTGAAATTCTTGCAGCGTAAAATTGGGCATGACAGTGAAAGCCTTTGTCACCAGCCAGCTTACCCAACATGCAACATGACCAATGACGTCTTGGGACATCTGAAAATTAAATGATAAACTGAAATAGATTATCAACTCTCGTCTATTTTGAATGAGATTTAATTTTGTACAATTCAGTGATTTCCTTGTTCATGAATATACTGGTCTTTGTTGCCAAAGTAACCAAAATTTTCTTTAGAATGTGACTGTTTCTAATTGGTCAGTCTGTCAAATGAAAAGATGGTATTCCTCAACCACTTCAATACAAGAGATGTACTTTTTTAATCTTTAATAGTAATATTGTTATGGTAGCTTAATATGGAGATATCTGGAATAATTCTTATTGTAATATTATTAGGAGACAATATTCCACAAATGGTATATCCATTTCTTCAACTTTCTCAACATTCTGTTTTGATAGAACAATTAGCACTGATAATGATGTTTTGTTCTCCAAATAAGGTACTGTTCTCCAAATAAGGTATCATGATAAGGTATTATTTATATTGTCAGATTAGTAGCAAAAGTGGTCTGATTTTTGTTTACACTTTGTTAATCTCTAAATACTCTGAGATTCCTTCACTAATTGAAGTAACTCATGACCCCCTGTCAACACAGCTATCATGGCTGTATGATAATTGAAAGTTGATAACCAATTATTAAGCAGTTAGCTGGTCTTCGTTAAAGGTAGAAACAACGACTGACTAGCTGTGAGCAAAAAAGCAAGTTATTGTAAAGCTAGTACATTCTCTAACCTCCCTAGAATTTGTATACCCATATAATATCAATTATATAGAACAAACACATTGGTTGGCTCATTGTTTTGCACAATTTTTTGCATCTCTTTCCTCTGTTTTTTAAGATACGGTGTAGAAATTGCTTTAAATTTCATTGAAAGTCGTACAGTAATATCACTTTAATTGTCAGGAAACTTTGAAATGATTTTTTTAACGAACACAAAGTCAAGAAAATATGGTAAGTTAAATTCCTTCTGTGTATGATTGTCCCTTTATAAGATGAATGAAATACTGACATGATATAGTCCTTGATACGTAACACAACTTACATTCTATATTAAGTACTACTGATATAAGGCGGTATTAAGAGATAACTATTTATTAAATTGTCATAATTGTTCTATTCTAAATGGTGAGTCAAGGTTTCAGTCTCGTTGATCTTGAAAACATGATTAATTGACCCGGACATGAAATTGTTATATTATTAATACGTGATCAAAATAGACTGAGGTACCTCATTTGAAAACAGAATGTTCCAATGCTTTGTCAAAACTACATAAAAAGAGGGTACGGAAGATGCGTGCGTTCAGTGAAATGTGAATACTAGTATATATTTCGATTTTGCACTTTTTGCATTTCATACTTATTAATAGGGACATGTGATTTTTAATGTTAATACGATTTTCGCTAATGTCAAAACAAACCTTTAAAGTATCCCAAGATGTCTAATCTGTTGGTCGCCTCCTCCACTAACTCTGTACTTGGCGTGGTTGTTGCATTTGAGACGTGTTGTCTGGTGTTAGATCTGTTGGGACCTCTTGTCCTCTCGCGTTCTATCTGGGCTGGATCTAGGTTAGCGATCAGGTAATCTACAAGAAGAAAACTTTCTTGGTGAGAGTTTTGATCAATAATTGTTGACCATCCAGGTTGACACTTTACTATTAGGAACACTCTCCGGTCGATTAATGAAATCTAATATCTCAAAAAGTGACACAAAATGTATTCAAGGTGTAACATTGCTTCTTAAATTTAAAAAAAAAATGGCTCAAACAAAGTCCTTAAATCTGTATATTGATATCCATTTGAGATTATTGTTTTTCAGAGCTCTATCATTAACAATACGGTATGTAAAATAGTTGATTTGAATATTTAATTGTGTTACCATGGAGCTAAGAATAACAACGTGTTTCTTAATATAAAGTTAGAATAAAGCCCTTGAAAATGAACAATAAATCAGTCGATGTTCAAGGATGTCCTTGGCAGACATCATTCTTTTTCTAATTTGACAGGATATTGTAAGTAATAACAAACAGCAGCTGGAAAAGTAGCTGGTTTGTTTTGGTATCTGTGATGATAAGTCCCGGGTGTTAAGTTTACCCCGAAATTCCTCAATGTAGTGACGTATACATGGCGTGATGCCTTCAATGTTTTCAATTTGTCAGAGATTTGTGATTGATTACGGTTCTAAATCAACATTTACTCTAGCGTATGTTTTTGTTTACGTTCAAACACGTGGTCTTAGTTATAGTATGGAAGACATCCGGTAATTTCTTTTAGAAAATCAGGCCATAGAAAAATCAGGCGATCTCGGGATGTATACTTTCATTGCTGGAGGCATTAGCATTCCTACTTGTGGTTTTAACAATAAAATTATGCTAATCTTTTTAAAACGTCTAAGGTTTTTTACAACCCTTAATTCATATTTGTTTGTATAAATTCTTACCAGACTTACTATTCAATCGGAATTTCAATAGGCCAATTCTAAGTCAAAAGTTATTTTATTAGGGCCGTTCATTGAAACGCCTTTACGTTTCATTCATCGTCTGTACCCCGTGACTTCTTTGTGTGCCTCATAATATTACTGAGAGAAAACTATAGAGTACTACCGCACCTTGAGTTCTTGACACTAACAAATCACCATATTCATTCACTAACTTAATATTTGTAAATACTACATGTAGTCATAGGCTCATGATGTTGTGCATTACAACGAGTAAAATATTTAAAGGGATTTGGAATTAGAGGAATTAATTTGATTCAGAGAAAACAAGATCGATGATATGAAAATGTGTTGATCTCTAATAGACTGATATAAGATCCCTGTAACACCCCCTCCAATTATAGGTGTAACTTCCTCCTCCTACCATCCGTATTTTTCTTGCTTTGAATTTACTGCCATCATTCACTTAATATTCCCCTTTAATTAAATGTTCGGATACGAATTACCACATCCAACAATTCATTCACCCTTTTCTTGCTTTGTTATTGTTTACTTGGCTATTGTTGTTTTGTTGACGCGTCGTCGAGGCCATAAAAATTCACACGGATTATTCCTAGAGGGAGCAGCCTCCCAGCCAGTGACCCCCATGTCATTTTATAATATTCCTCGTGGTTTAAGCAAGGCGTGCCTTATATTTCAACACTGTCACCTTTACCCCCTACCCATATTCAACTATTTACACTCCCTCGTTTTAATTCATTTCTGTTTTTCCATATCGGTATACATTCTTCCATCACATCTCATCCCACTTGTTCTCTCCCACCTTGTTTTCATATTATCTTTGCTATTCTAAAGCATCTACAATGTTAACCAATGAGTTTCATTGAATTTATCCTTGGACTATTTTGGTGTTCTACTGACATATTGTCTTTGGTAATGAATTACTGTTTTTATCTTTGTTTTCAAGTTTTTAAATGGATAGTAGTATGTATTGCTTACCTTCAAAGTGCTCGTATTGTACTGGTCTGCTTCCAGCCTGTTCTACTCTGGGTTGGCCCCAAACGGCCCGAGGAATGTTGCTCTGACCCTCAGGCACAGCCCCCCACGCAACTCCAATAAATAGGAAAAAGTATAAAAAGCTCCGTTCCATGATATTGCCCTTTGAGTTTGTTGTTTCTTCTAACTTTGCCGCTTATTTGCTTTTCTGACTTGTATACTGGATTCTATGGTACTCTATTTGTTTATTTCATTAAATTTGGATTCTTCAACGCTCTCTTTACTGCCTAGGTAGATATGATTTGAAATCAGCTGATTTTACTTCTTATCGTCTGTCATTTAATGGTCATTTGTTTCACTCCTCTTTATTAACTGCGCGACGGTCTTGAAATCTCTCGGGTCTAGTAAACGTTTACTTTTATATTCATTGAATACACCATTGGCGGAAAGTGTTTACCTTTTTGAGTCAATATAAACAAAGCCTTTTAGGCCCCTCTATCCCAACCTTAATCCGAAATTATCGTGTGTTTGAGAGATAAATGGAGATGAAAAGTCATAGAAGTTATAAAATAAAGACAGATTTTAAATAATAAAATTATACTAGGACCAATTTCTTAACACGGTAATATTCGGTCTAGTAATTTTGTCAGTGAGTGTATTTTTAAGCCCCGCCTATATCCTTACTTAAGATCAGACCACTCCATCCTGGCCATCCTAGATGAGGTGCGCCAGTGAACATACTACCCGGTGATGGCCTCATTGATCGGAATTCCTGACATCTCCACTTTTTATATACCTAATTATTGTTTCAGTTTGAGTTTTTTTCTTCAAAGAGAGACAATGAGACTGACATGCGTGAGAAAAAGATTTAAAACATGATAACGTAGCCATAGTGGTAGTCCTTGGTGAAACTAAACCATTGCAACTTAGTTTAGGCAATGTTGGTTACCATGGTTACGAATTAGAAGACTTAGATGAATCCTAGTTTTCACTTTGTAATACTGTTTGTGGCCAGGTTTAATTTGAAACAAAACAATGACCCATTTATTGTATCAGGGACTTACTGCGCCCTCACTGCCTTTCGTTGTGGAGACATTGAGATAGCCCTTTCAAGCAATTTTTCTGGCAAATCATCTTTTGAAATACCTAGAGTCAAGTTGTAACCAGTTTTGGAAGACGGGCATTCTCCTTACGGACGGACGGACGAATTAAACAAGTCAAAAATATCAGAAACAGACCGTCTCACTTTTTATTTTAAAAATGAGAAGTACATCTAAGTGTCCATATGAGTTAAAAAAGTTTATAAATAAGGGTGGGCCAAAAAACGCCACTTTTTTCAAGAAACTACGACTTTTTTATTTTCCAACCTACAAACTCCAAATTTTGCAGTTATATAGTGCCAGAGGTTCTTAGTAATAATACAATGTAACAAGTCCTTCAACTTGGATTATATCTGGTTTAAAAGAGGAGTTCAATTGGTCCGCCACCCTATTTGATGATATATTTTAGTTGCTGATATACCTTGCTGATATAGCAGTATCAATGAAATGTTAGCTAAGTTTTTTCAACCTGTCGTAATTGTCAGCTTTAGTTGAGCAATTTTTTAGATTGGGTGCCTTCATACAATCTCCTGGAGACCTTCCCATACCCTATACTCACTGGGATTTGCATCAGGGCTATAAGCTTGGCGATCATCAGGCCATATAAGTTCAGGAACATTTTGCAAATTATCCTTATTATGAAAAAAAAGTGGCGTTCTTTTTGGCCCATCCTGTATCCGCAGTGTTTTCAGGCGAAACTCTGGGAAAATGGGCCACACTCTAGGAGCCTTCAGCTTAGAAAAAATACTATAGTGACATGGTTTTTGAGTTTTGATATTGATTGTTGATTGCTTAGAACACAAAAAATTTCATTTTGTAAAAAGGTTAAATGCTATTAAAAATACCACTAAAAACTACTCTTTTGCTCATCATGGAACTTCATGTTTATGTTAAAATTAAATTGGAAGGTTATTAGCTGTGAATGTCTTATCTATTGCAATCGAGTAAAAATCAATTTCTGTCTCAGACGATGATATCATTATACTGTACCATTTCCCCTTCAGATATACTACTTCACACGTCGCAACAAAAACACCCTGTCCCTTCTAAAACACTTTTAAAACCTTTATTTGGGGAATCTTTAGAGACTCTAAGAATTGAAAAATGATCCCGAATTAAATCCTTAAATCCTTCGTCCGTGGATGCCATATTGGATCAATCATTCACAAGCTACTTGTAACAAGCGTAACTTTTGAGATGTCCAATAAAACCAAGGCGTTTTAGCTCACATGGTGAGCTATTGCAATCACTCACTTGTCCGTCTGTATGACCGTCTGTCTGTCCGTCCGTCTGTCTGTCTGTCCGTCTGTAAACAATTGGCTAGTTTTTAAATCACACCTACCTCTCTCTTGATCGAAAATGGAGGTCTGCGTCCAGTATTTCCAGTTGTACCAAACGAAAATACTGGATGCGTTATTACTACCCCTGACCATGTGAGCCCAGTACCCATGGTACTCTTTAGCAGCACCGAACCCCGATCGTGAAAAATATCACTGTTAGGCAATATGTTTAAGGTACAGGGTGTTCAAAAAAACGCAACCCAAAGAAATCGATCGCTATATCTTGGAAAATACTGATGCAATTATGTTCATTTTTTCAGAAAGGAAAGAAGAGATTGTGTATGTAGAGCTCCTGTAGTTGGTTAGTTATAAAACATGATGCTTTAGACACTATGGTTAGAAAATTATTTAGTTTTATTGCTGTGACAGTCACCTTTGACTGCGTTTTTCATATCTTTTTAATACTAATGTCTCTTGAGCAGGTGTCCAAGGCTTCATGTTTTACAATTAAATAACTACAGGAGCTCTACATGCACAGTCTCTTCTTTCTTTCCTGAAAAAATGAACATAATTGCAAGTGTTTTCCAAGATATAGCGATTTCTTTGGGTTGCGTGTTTTTTGAACACCCTGTATATAGAGAAAAAGGATCAGGGTATTACATCGACAAATGTTCCGAGTCAAATCTTATCAAGTACATGTACAGTGTAAATAAAAAGTACGTTGCAAATTGTATATTGGATGTACGTTTGGCCCTAAAAGGGCATCAGTACTAATAAAATCCTATTATTACAAACAAGATGGAATAGGTATCACTCAGAATGGATACTGTTTGTAATATGACATTCTGGTATGCCAGATCCCCTCTTACCTGCCGTAACCCCCCCTATCACACCAAACTAGTTCTTACCCGTTCTTGTCAGTCCTACGAAAACGTCGTAAAACGGGCTCGATCTGGCTGTGGTCGGGAAATATGTCTGAAATAATTAGCTTCTTCGTTCTTAAACAGTCTTCAATACGTCCATCTCGTTCGCAGTTCGTTCAGGTCGCACCACGTCGGTGTGCAACGTAGTAGAACGCGTCCCTTAGTGTAGAAGGTCAACATGACCTGATTAGAGAACGGTATGGTCGCCATCGAATTTTGAATCGATTCAAAGTTCTAAAATCACATTCCCGTCTGAGAACGATCATAAAGTTCGTAAATAGACCTTAGAAAGTTGCAGCTACGTTCATTCCGTTCGCACACAGTTTAAAACCAGTTTTGAAGAACGCAGTGGCAACTTGTTTGGTGTGATAGCTATATTTTTGCTAACTCGTTCATAAGCAGTGTTAAATACGTTCTTAATCAGTTTAAACCCGTTTGCAATTAGTTCTACCTCGTTCTCAACACGTCCTCGGACAGTTTAACTCGTTGTTAAAACGTCCCTAGAAGGATTGAAGTACGACGGTTCCGTTCGTAGTACGTCCAGCTCGTCGTTAGTACGTTGTCACTCGTTCTAATTGTAGTAGGTCCAGTCCGTTCGTACACAGTTGAAGCCCATTTTCGAGAACGTAGTGAGAACTAGTTTGGTGTGATAGTAGGGTTAGCGAGAGAATACTTTGGAAGGATAAAGACAAAAGGGGCGCGGTAAACGCGATGGTAATATGACTACAAGAAGTTATTAGGCATACCCCATTGTTGACTGGATTGTACACCGCCATCTATACAAATTGTATTTAATATTTTTATTTCTAGTACCCGGATTTTCTCCTCTTCAGAATTTGGTTGTGGAAATCAACTTGACCATGATCATGATCATGTTCTTTTATCACAGACCTTTTTATTACAGAACTTCAGTAACCGTTTACACACCCGGGTGACTTCTAAGAATTCTCTCCAGTTATTACGTTATGGAGAAACCACCAACGCAACCGGAACAACCCAGAGTTTGGGTCCCTAGTTGTAAGAAGCGATTCTCACAGCTAGCGCCTAAACGCCGCTAAAAGGAGGGATTCTGCACAACAGAATAACGTACTAGTTAACAGAAAGGCATTTTTCTTTTGCTTTGTATGGGTATGGAACAAGTTTTAAGAAAAACGGTGCAGTATGACACTCAAAATCTTGATTTTCAAATATCTGGTGGGTCTAACATTCAAATTAAAATGCGTACCCTTTGCATTCGTTCAACTTCACTTCTTAAAAGCTAAGAGAGATTCGTTTATAACTTTGTAGACTCTGCGCTAAGGGTAATGCATAAGACGTCGCAGACAAAATTGTAGGATTCCTTAAAATTTACCCAAACATGCCTAATATTTTATAAGGTCTAGCTTTACATTTAAAGAAACATCCATGAACATATGAAATCAGTCCTTCAAACAGTACGCCTGGGAACGTGTATACAAGATAATTCGGGACACCCGCCTGTCCACCCACCCCTCTCTCGGCAAACTGATCGCAAATAGCACCCAAGGGTGAGATACTAAAAATTTAATTTTTGTCATCAGACTAACGGTGCCCATCAGTAGGCTATTCACAATGGTTATTCCCATCACGAAAACAGTTAAAAGCATTCATTAAATACTAGATATAGTATTGCTGATCAATCACCGAAATCTCACATGAGTATAAAATGTACACCATATCTGTCAATTGTGATTTATGAAGCCAGTAAGATTTAGAAACAGAATTTAAGGTAAAATGAGTCGCTCATGAAAGTTACTTTTCATAATTAAAAATGTTTGTATTACTTATTTCTTATTATTTCACAATGTTTTGGCTCAAACTGTTAAAAATGTGTGCCCTCTTGTGGAAAAAACAGAAATTCAATAGTCAAAACCACGCACTCACTAGACTTAACGAATGGTTACATTGCGTTCTGGTTGAACAAATGTGCCAATAGGGATGTTAAGTAACATGTTTTTAAGAGCTTGTACGTGAACGTGTAGAAGTATGGTCCTCTAGGGATTGGTTCTCACCTTCTTTTCCCGACGGAGTATAAAGGTATAAGGGACTCTCGAGACTTTACGGTCAAGCCAAGTAACTTAGTCAACATTCGATATTCGTATGTCCATCAATATTAACTAAGAATGGTGCCACAATTGAAGTAAACCTCTGTTTAATTATTTTCAATAAACCTATCAGCAAACGTGTAAATGATAAATTTGATGTTCTGTTTCATATTGGTGAAGCAGTCTTTGGGATATGGTCTAAATTTCTGAATTTCCACTATGTCCCTGTATACCCCTACTTAAAAACATGTATGTTATTTGTCATTTTCCATTATGAATCAACCATAAATGTATTTTTTCTTGTTGACATACAGAATGAACTTTTTGTTTTCAAATATTGAAAGATGGTACTGCATTTATTTTTTCATGATATGGAGGAAACAAATGCGTGTCAATTTACACTGTAATATCCCACACACTTATATTTCAAGGGTAGTTTTGAAGAATAATCAAGAAAATCCATGTTTTCAAATGAATTCGTCCTTGTCAAAGAACGTAAATGAGAACATGCGGTTTAAAAAACTAACAACATGTTATAAGTTCTTACAATTCTTGTTTAAAACAAACATTTCGAAAGTTGTGATTTCGAATGTAATATCCAACTCAATGAAATTTGTTGATATTTGTGAATTTTTTCTTTCGGAATGCACATTGCTGGATCACAGAACCTTGCCTTGTTCGAGATGCACAAAAAGGGTATTGTTAATACTTGACGTCGTTCGGATATTCGGATGTGATTGACGTTTCCGTTAATCTCCAACCACTGTAACTTCCAACTTAATTTTTGAAAGCCAAATATGATAGTCATGAATCGATATTTAAGTCACACGTGGATGCATACATCATGTGTCTACATTAACTGTCGAATACATGCCGACTTTCATTTATTTAAATATACACAGTTAACTCAAATCATCAATTCTCGAAACGGTTTATCATATAACCTGACCTGAGTTTAATGTTTCATTTTAATTTATAATTATGGTATCGGATTTGAGTATGATTTTAGTCGAGGCTTAAACAAAGCAATAAAACTGCGTGAAACCTTTTGTGAAAATTCGAACGATTTTTCAAGAATCCTCCTTCAAAGTGTTACCACAGTGCTCCCCGGGAGTGGAAATTTCGTCTTGTGTAATCAAAATAATAGCGGGTGGTTTGAATTTTTGTTTGAGTTTAGAGCTCAGCATCTATAAATTTAAAAATGTGTCGCCTCATTGAGAGGTACATGCAGATTTTGGCGATCTATCTTTATAAAAGGCTAAATTCTGTGCAAAAACAGGAGCTGACACGCTTACATTTGGAATTGAAATTTCCTACATAATTGTCGACTCATGTTTAAAAGTCATGAAAACAAGGTTAAACACAAAATAATAACCTAGTTACTGTTTATTTAGCATGGGATCACTGAGGGAAATATTATTAATGACTCAAATCGTTAACAGTTAAAGTTGTATTCCAAGAAACTTATCAATTTAGAAATGCAAAATGTTCAATTTTGTTTTTCAATCGTAAAAATGGCACCTGTAGAGAACAACGTTTTACAAAATTATTTAAAACGGAGATATTAACTGATGTAACATTCGTTGGCATGTGTCAGGGAGTAAATACGAAGAATATGCATTTGATTATATATCTCTTTCCCAAAGGAGTTTGTTAAGGAGCGGTATATCTTAACGTACTTTTATCATCCCGAACTCAAATATTTCGAATCCCTATTTCGACAACGCTTTGTTGAGAATGGATTCAAGATGTACTCAAAATTAATACGTTAAAAGATGTATTATCATCTTAATAACCACCTCACAAATTATTTTGGAAATCAAAGATGTACGATTTTTGAGATTTTTATTTTCGAATGTTGACTTAGTTACTTGGCTTGACTGTTTAACGAGATTTCAAAGCCATATGGAAAAGGGACCATTAGTTGGAATTGGGTCCCTGGAAAAAAACACTTGAGAGGGGAATAGTAATATTACACATTGACGTACTCGTTCTCTTAAAAACGTGTAACTTTACCTTACTAATGCCATCCCTTATTAACGTAAATTATTGTCACGAATGAACATAAGTACACATTAATGTACATCAGTCTAGTTTATTGGCCAAAGCGATACATGATGCTCCGTAAGTCAATAGGCATATTGTTAACTTGGACAATTATACTTGTTCAAGACATAATGCAACTCCTACAAATTATGATGGTGAATGTTGCTATTTAAACGGCACGGAATGGCACAGGAGGAAATCTACTCCACCCACCTCTTAAACTTCCTTTACTATAAAATGATCACATCGACACAGAGAGTCGCATTTGAAGGAGTGGAGACATAGATACTTTAACACTGGTAAAATAAGGTAAGATTGTTGGAGTAATTTTAATCTAAGTGCTTTGTGTACGTTTTTCAGCATCATTTCAATACTTTAATTTAAAGGGAGAATCAGATCTAGCGAGCAAGCGAAACAAAAAAATGTTTCAATTTTAGAATATTTTTAAATAAAGCTTATGTCATTCCTTGTCAAGTCGATTTTCCAAAAATCGCAAACGTGCATTTTTATTTTAGGAAAACATAAGAACTTTACAATAATGTATTCTTCTATTTTTGTGGTTACCATTTTTATTATTTGGGAGAATTTAAACACTTTTTACCATTTTTGCACTTCGAATCCTTATAACTTCACCAATTTATTATGGCGGTTCAAAATGAATAGATTATAAGGCCAATTGTACATGTTTCTTGTAATTTTGTCATCCCCTATAGATCTGATTCTGCCTTACTATTTTGAAAAAATGCATGGTGTTGAAAAGAGTGTACTTGGCACACCAAGCATATATCGCATATCATATCGCGAATTTTTATTATTTCATATTATAATGCAACACAAAATGGGAAATGCATTTGTATTTGAGAGGCTGGTTTTCTACTAACCTATATTATCGATTGGACACTGGGATTGTGTTACATGTACGGATTGCATCACTGGCCTCAGTCCAAATTGTCTGGAATTCAACCTATAATGAAATATGTTCGATATTAAACGTTGGAATTTGCATAACGCACATGGCATTTTCACGATGATAGATATATTTCATTTCCGATGTTCTATCAAAATAAATACAGCCCAACGGGTAATCATTATCACTAGGTTAATTTTTGAAATACTGCTTTTTCTTGAAAACAGCATTAAAGATGGATTTTTGACAAAAAACAGTTCGGGACTAATATAAACAAAGAATTAACAACTGGTCATCATGATATTTTCTAGCTTGTTTGGGACTGGGTTCTCTTAGCGCGGTGTTTCGATCACATTCCTTACTTAAACGATAAAATACGTTTTACTTCCTGTACGATTTGTCAAAAAATTGTATCCTCCAATACCATTGTCGAATTAAAATGCATCGTATGTTAATGCGTTTTTTCCAAAAGCGCGCCAGAACGGCCCTTAACTTGTATTTGGCGATGCGAGTAACCTTTATATTTCCATTCCAAAGGCATGCGTTCCTTTATTTTCAAATATTCTCCATAGTTAAACTATATATCAAAATACATATTCTAAACTTAAAACAGTTATAGTTGGATTGAAACATGTTTTTTATTGAAGTTCTTTACGAGTTGAACGTACTGTGGAAAATATACTGCTCTTCATCTAAAAACCTCCATTTCCCTTAAACTATTCCTCAATTCCTATAGTTTCGAAATTGATGAATATTTTCATGAATTTTTCGGACTTTTTCGTAAACCATCATGTAAATATTTTTAAGAAAAATTGGGAGATATTGCAGTGGAGAAAGTGATTTTTCAACTAGTTTTCTTGAGATTTTGCAGATAGTAATTCAAACATAGACGTAGTTTCCAAACTTATGGCGGGTAGTGTACATCTTTTCTATAGCCTATAAGCATATTTTAGGGGAATACTAAGAACAACAAAAAACAAAAATAGAATTCCATGAAATATCTCGAACATGTTTACCCGTAAGCCACTCGTATAATATCGGCTATAATAATGTATTTTCGTCATTTTCAGAAAGATGTTACAAGATATAAGAACGTATACTGCTATTTTACTGGGCATATTATGTCCATGTTTGATGAGCAATGCTGAAACAGATAGCAGACGTGGTAGAAGTTTGCTGAATGCAGGTACTTGATTGTTGTCAGTTTACCACAAAGTCACAAGAAATTCCATATTTTATTGGGGTATGTGCTCACTGGCGGATCCAGAAGCTAACGGGGGGGGGGGGGCACACTACAAGCCCGGGAAAATATTTTGGATCATAAATTGAGCCCAAATTTTGAAATTGAACGCCCATTTTTGGATTATTTGGCCTAAAAAAGGACCAAAAAGGCCAAGTTATGCCCAAAAAGGCCCATTTTGGGGGGCCTACGAAATTTTTGTTTTGGGCCCTAAATTTTTTTTCTGGGCCCACCCTAGGGCCGCCAGTGTTGCTTTTGCGTGTATGTCTTGCACTGGATATTTCATTATTATCCAGACATTATGAACCAGACATTGTCAAATATGCAGAACATGGGCAAGAGAAAGCTCATAACGTGATGCGCGCGTAGAGAGAGTCCTAGCATATAACTTTTTTTGTTTCTTCAGACTTATTTTGTTTTTCAAGTGTAGTTGTCTTGTTAAAGCAACAGTTAACTGCCCTCTAAACAAGAACCTCTACACGCCAATTGTCAATTTAGTGCTCATCTAATGCTAGAGGGACACTTGTACGCGAACGTAATAATATAGGTATATGAGTTTCACGTTGAGCGTGAATCTTAATGTCTCTATTGTTTTTTACAAAGTTCTCACATCACGTTTGATTAGGTTTTTCGTTAAAATATGTAATATTCAAAATATTAAAGGGACAGTCACATTTGGTACGGCGACCGTGCGATCCATCATTTTTGCGATAAACATTTCTACAGTCACCTTAAAATTTCTTTGGTTAGATAATTTAGCAGTCACATTTGCTACGTTAATTTGATTTTGAGAAAACTTCAAAACTATAGTTGCCACACTGCTAATAAATTATGACGCACGGAGGGCGTAGGGTCGCCCTTCGGCGGCGTAGTTTTTCTTGACAAAAAACAAGGTAGACGTAAGGCAGCCGCAGGGGGCCTTGCGGCGATCCTGTGCTTCGCAAAGGTCAATTGTAAAGCCTCGGTCACATTTGCTTTACGACGGGCGTACGGGGCCGTAGCTTTACAAAATTGATGTAGAAAATCTATATCGTAGACCTACTGCTTATCCCTAATATTTATGCTGCATATTTCTCTCGATTTCGGGAAGCTATGGCCGCCGAATGATTGCTGTTGATAAATGTGACTAGGGCATAACCCATTAACCCTACGGCAGACGCAAGTCGACCGTGCGGCGTGCAACCGACGTGCGGTCACACTGGAACCTTTCTGCGGTCTGGCGTACGACCTGTTAATTTCTACGGTGACCGCGAAAATGATAAAATATATCCATAGCTAGATGGAATGTGACCGAAGTATTACTCTCTTGTTTTGTGCTTTGTAAAAAATATTTGAATTTTATTTTCATTTTTGAAAGTCTAAATGATAAAGAAAGATCCTCTGCGCTAGGTCCTGCGCTTTTCTTTCATTTTTAACTAAACTAAATGATGGTGTATTTTCAGATTTGAATGGCGTGCAAAGAATTACGTGCCTGATCGATCCAAACATAAAAGGATGTTTTAAAAGAAATTCGAATGACATATTACAACAAATCAACGATTTACTAGACCGCCAAGACTCCTTCCAAGATGATTTAAATGGATTGGAAAATAGCAAAACAGACTCAAACGATTTAGGGATTGCTGATGCACTTAAAAATGACGACCAAGAATTCAGCCAATCAAGTGTTGACAATGCCTTCATCTCTATTTCGAAGTATCTGCTAAATAACGCTATGAACAAAAGGGATAATATGGCATTCAAACCATATAAAATATGTCGCTCCTCCTGGACACGGTCGCAGTGCCATGCCTACCTACATATAATGCTCCATAGGCGACCAACGATGGTTTAACTTCACAATCCAGAGAACTGTCCAATTGAACCAATTCTTTGATGTGCAATGTATGGCACGATTAAGATGCAATTCAAGGAATTTCAAATTTTGGTTTCACTTCTAGCCACACATATTTTGATTTTGGTTATGAAATAGTCTCATTTTATTATAAAAAGATTTTCGGCATTTTTTGATCATTTGAGGGTAGGTTTATAGGCTAACGTTTAAGCGATTGTACAAATATTGTCACAACCACGAGTGGTGACATATTGTTTTGTGGATGGTGTTCGGTAGGCGGCGTTCGGCGGTGGGCGATCTGCGTATGTAATAAATGGTGGTGACATTTTTGCATGTTAATGCCTTGTTTATATTTACTTCTACTGTTAAAAAGATATCTCTGGGAATACAATATAAGCGATCATCTTAGACTTCAAGTTCTAGTATTAAATATCTATATACGTAGTGAAGTTACATGTATTCAACCTGAAAGGGTGTTCATTGCCTAAATTGATGAAATTAAGATGGTATTCAAAGACTCGTATTAAACGTTTCTAAGTACTTCCCATTTGCTAAACTATTCCTTTCTACGATATGATAAATACGGTAGCGACCCTACGTCTAGCTACAAGTTCTACTCTTCCCAGCTCACCCCTATGTAAAGAGCTGTGTAGTCAAGTAGAGGGGGGGGGGGGTCACATGGGCTTGTAGCTAGACTAATAGGCTTTATACCAAGTTGCTACTACAGCACAATCCGGGTGCACATCTACACGATTTCAAGCTTTGGTATTTTTGAGAGAAAAATATTTTTTAAAGGAAAATTCAACTTTTTTTCAAATATTTAATGTTCCGGCAATTTCCAAACAAAAGTTGAATTTTTTTAAACATAAAATATTCCACTTTAGAGTGTAAAACACAATATTTTTTATCACCATTGCAAAGATTAAACAAAGAAAGCACAATTTCAATAATAGAATATAAAACAATGGAGTCCCAGGTAAGATTTCATAATCCCCGGGGATTCTATTGACAATTTCGAGAAGATTAATTATTTTCGTGATTTTACTACAATCACGAAAAGCGCGAAACTAAATTGTACGGGAAAAGTACCGGAAGTACAGTATTTTTCTTTGAACCGTTATGGATGGATAAGTTCATTTCTCGCTTATTTATGAACCAATTTTCTTAATTTTTTCGGCAAAAAACACTCGAGGATGAATGCTTTGCTTATTAAAAGACATGTGTGACCTCTAAAAGTTATTTTTGAAAAAAAAATTCACATATCAGATTTTGGTAACAATAAAGTAAGACTACGACATAAGCCAACGTGATTTTAAACATTATATGGGGGGGGGCTTTAAATTGTTAACATACATAATACCTGTGAAAAAAAGAAATATATTAATTTTCTGTAAAGGTCATCTTGAAAAAAAATGTTTTACTTCTTCAGACTCATTTTATGGACATTTTAGCTAAACCTTTTTTTCAAATCCGATTTTCGGCCAATCAAACATTTTGAACTAAAACCGTTAAAATCCCCACTTGAAAATTTATTTAATTTATTATTGCAGACCTCTTTATATTATCATATCCTTGTTTCTAACACTTTCTTCTTTATAATCAGTTAATTGTAAAACCGTGTAACAGGGTATGCATTTCTGCTGTATAATATCTTTACGAGGCACTCAAAAGCTCATTCGACAACATTCAACACTGTTATAATGAGAAAATTCAATATAAATATTGGCTTATTAAATCAAATTTGTAAAAGTATACTTGATTTGTGTCGAATAGCTTGTTTGTGACAACGCCTTGATGTAAATGTATTCTAATTGACAGGGATATAGTGTTTATCCCATTATTGTATAGCTGTGAAGGATAACAAACTGTGATATTTCAGGCTATTGAGAGAGATCTTGTGATATTTTCCTAAAATCGTTTGTCAGACGTATATGCGTATAATATCAACAAAATACCGTTTATCAGATACATATGCGTATAAAAATTGAATTTGAATTTCGCGCCAAGATATTTTTGAAAAGTAGGTTAGATCATTTAATCAAACGTCCGATTGAAATCATGGGATAAACCTTGAAATCATGGGATAAACCTTGTATCAGATAATTTCTCGAGGTATCGTTCTCAAAATGATTTGATATTGTATTTCTACATTGGACAATCGTAGAAGACAATTGAATTCACGAATCGTAATTGACTCATCGCGATAGCCGCGCCCCCTTTGTCTTTTTCCTTCTCTCGCAAACGGCAGATAAGAGGGGCTCTGGCATACCAGAATGTAATTGACTATGTTTTCGAGAAACGGGCTCAAGAGCAGAGACAACTGAACTGTTCTCTGGTCAATACTGCATTAGTGAGTAATGGCTACATTAATTACCTTAAGGTTCTAATGTATCATAATCTTAGGAAAGGGCCTTCGGACACTGCTTTTATTGGTAATACCTATTTAGACAACCCACCACTATGATTAATAAGCTGACTAATTTATTATGAGGTCAGTACATGGGTGTCCGAAGGGAGTGCGTTGGGTGCGATCGCACTTACCTCCCCCATTTGAGCCAATTTTTCGAGCTTTCCAAGGGGATTTCGAATGGTGTTGAAAAGATGGAAACTCAAAGGAAATATGTGCTATGCTGAAAGAGATGGAGAAGCTAGCCTCCAAATTCTAGCTATGCTGATGGAGACTCTACTAATCTGCTGTTTTTAGATGAAGTTACACTTCCCTTTGCCCTTTGCATTCGTTAAAAGAGAGCTTTGTCTTAGTTTATAACTTGACTCTGCGCGCAGGGTAACTCTCCTTGGGAAATCCTGGGGACGCGTCATCTCATCCCGCAACTGTTTTACCATACTGGTGGGATCTATATCAAAATGCCCGGGCTGCCTCCCGAAAGGGAAAACCACGATCAAAGGGCAAATGTTTTATGATATGCTCGATTATATCATTATTCATCATTTGTAATTGTAGTAAAAGCATTGGAATCGATGGGAATATACACTTTCTAAAAGTGTCACCTACTCAATTCATTTTGTGCGATTTTGAAAAAAATCCAAATCATGATCAGCTACACTTAAATAGATCACGATTTGACCTTGGCCCAAATTATGATCTATTTTGGCAAGCCCAAAATCATAATTACATACTGATTTGTTTGAATTCGTTTACGTAACAAATGCCGAGTATTGAAGATTCTGGCGTCTCACAAACTCACCAGCTTAGATATTCTGAAACATAGAATGCTTGCACACGTTAGTGCCAAAAAGTTTGCGAAGATTCTGCCTATATCCTGTGAAACATGCAAAAGGAAAAATCTTAACAAATTTTCCACTCCAGGGCTGCGCCATTTTGTTACCGAAACTGATCAATTACGTGCTTGTCGAATTCCTCCAGCGTGTAATTAGTAAAAACGGCAAGCGATTTAGAGTATACAAAGTCTATTACCCGGTCTATTAAAGTTATTCCGTTTGGTTTAATCAGGTTTCAATCAAATCAGTCTCATGTTCATTACCAAAGTTTTATTAGATGTTATGTAGGAAATTGGAGTCTAAACCTTTTTTGCTTTTGATTATTCCAAAGTGCACAATGTACCTACATTTTCTCGCATTGAAAAGATAACATCCCCCCGGAATTGTGCTTCATACCTACGTCTACGTGTACATCCTTGCGGGATGTTGTGTATCGGAATGGATATATCTCCGACACTTAATATTCAACTAAAAAGTCATTAACTTGTTAGTTTTAATGTTTAATCATATATCAATATCAAACGTTCGAATGCGAAATGATTTTCTCTATGTAATTAAATTACTTTTTCGCTATCATGTTATATTTCATAAAAATAGCCTATTTAGGGCAAACGAATCCAACATTTTATACGGTTTAACAATCTAAAATCCATACATTGGATAACATAGATGCAGAATGAGAGCCATAATAGGGGCCACGTAACAAAATTGAAAGTAACACGTGTACATTTGGCCCAGCAATATATTCTTTACCATTTGTAATTGAATATCTCACAAAAGATCAGCAGTATGTTATCAATTGGTGAAGTTATTCAGGATTAAAAGTTTTTAATTTGTCACAATTGCGTGGGATGCTCTTCAATTAATAAATGGGGATCAGGCCCGTAGCCAGGATTTGCCAAGGGGATTCACTTTTTGAAATATTCCAGGGGGTCACTTAAAAATGCTCAGAATGGTGAAAAACTGCATGATTTTGAAAGATTCTTGGCCAGGGGGGGGGGGATCGCTCAAGCGAACCCATCGAACCCCCCCCCTTGGCTACGGGCCTGGGGATTTTTCAAAAACAAGCACGACCAAGAATGATATGTGCCGAAATATTTTTTGTTCTCCCTTTAATCTTGTTTTTCACATCGCTGAACTTAAACTGGCTTCACCGTATCCTCAAAAAGGAATCTCTGGTTACTTAACTTTTGTTAGTGACTATACGAAATCTGTAAAGCTGTAAAATACAAACGACTTGGTTTTATGGTATAAGATATTGACTTGAAGATATTTACGTCACTTTAAGACATTTATTTAATTAGAAGATAAGTACACACACTCGTCTAGTCTAATACGCCTTAGTACTAAGTCTCAGATAACAAAAGAAAACTCAACAAGTCGCATCATGTGATGTAAATATACATGTTAACATTGCCATGATACACACAATATTGATATAAAATAAACACTACACTACACCACTTTGAAAATTGACTGAAAACACTGTTTTCCAAAATGATCTTGTTTCTTTCATTAATACTGTGTACATCGATGGTTCACACATTTCCATCAACTAACCGGACTGAAGAGTGGGAAGTATGGAAGAACAAATTCATGAAAACGTATAAGACGCAGGAGATCGAGCAGATGAAGAAAGTAAAATGGATTGAGAATTTGTTGTTTGTGCAGACACATCGTCAGCAGAGCAGTGGTTTTGATGTTGAGATGAATATGTTTGCAGATTTGGTGAGTATTTCCTATATCAATTGGATTTTTATGATGAGGAATAGTCTGGATCAGTCCTCCATGACCATGTCTTTGACACTTACACGGTGCCCATGTCAATCTGCGCGCCTACTAAGCACACAGTTTTAAACTCTGACAAACTGCGAGCATATTTCAAAATCTTCTGTGTTAAGAATTTACAGTGTAAAGTTATATCTTTGTCTTTTTATCGTCATTTGCCGTTTATTCAGGCATTGCGTCTGTGTATAGTAGAATATATAGGATCACGTCATCTGATTAAAGCAGCATCACGGGGGATAAGCAAAACGAGGGCGAAGCCACGGACTGCGACTCGCGTTATTCAAAACGAGGTTACAACGCATTATAGCTGAACAATGGCGGTAAGTCCAAACTTAATTTGGAAGGCATGTTAGGATTTGGGGTAGATTATTGGTTTGGATATTCTACAGAATAGCTAGTATGTTCCAGTCGGTGATCAACATATTCATACTCCATCTGCAATGGCATTCTTGGTGCTCGGCTGTCCAATAGTTTAGCATGAACACAAATGAATTCGAAATCTGCCACAAAAAATGTAATTTTGTCAATATTTGTCCCTAATATACCGATTTAAACAAAGGAATCAGAAATGACATCGAATTAATATAATTATTCATGTTCTGTTGTTACAATTACATCTTCGTGTGGTATTTGGTAAGCGGAAAACGTACAATTACATAGAAAATAGGAATTTATAATAGTCACAGTCCATCCATCTGCCCAACGCAGTCCGCGACTCAGTGTTGCTTTATATCTGAAGCTGAACGCAATCACAGCCAAAGGTAGATAGCACAATGTGTGTACAGGTGTGGCCGAAATGGAGCAACTTTGGACAAAATTGAATATAAAGGGCTATTTTAATAGACCTACATCGTGTCTCAATCCATTCTGCAAATATATACAAGCTGTCAAATACAGCTGAAATCATGAATTTATGGTAGCTAGCAATATTGATGGACTGTTGGAAAGATCATCCAAAATTACATTAACTCACCAACTCTCCAATTATTTGATATTTTCCTGATATCTTAAATACTAGTTAATGTACCCTTCCCCAACAGCTTTTATTGCATCATCAAAAAGTTAATTGTTTCGCATTTCTACTTCTTATAAAAAGTCTCACCACTATCCAATTATCTATATATTTAACCCTATCCACAAATTGGTTTGTAATAAACATATTACGCTGTCATCTTGCGCTCGACTGTTCTGCCAAATACGCTATTGAATTGCCATATTTCTAGGTCTTAAACGATACAATATAGCAATTTGGGACATTGATTCAGGTAATAGATATATGTTAATCAACGTAACTTTGAATGATAATCTGGATGCTGACTTTCTTTTCCTGAAACAATAATAGCGTAGGAATATAGTTTACACTATCTTATTTATTTCGTGTTCGCGGCTGGACTGCGTTACTTAGAATATCAATGGAGGCTGTGTTGCGTTGTTGAAATAGCTTTGCTTACTGGACTGCGTCCACTATGAATGCGCAGTTTGAATCTAATTTTCTCCTCATGAACACATTCTATTATCAAATCATTTTCACGAATTATACTCAGAGCCTCAACTAACCTTTAGATATCAGAAACGTGTTAAAACTCCTTTCAAATGTATAGTAAATTAAATAATATGCACATATTTTACAGGTAAAATCAGAACTTTGCTACTGTTTTAGCTTGATCTGGACAACTGCTTATTTTCTTATCTACAGACCAACAGTAGATACAGAGTAATATCTTGGTCACCGATTAGACACTACGATAGCATTTAAAATACATGGATTTCTCTATTTTGTCGGAAGAAGCAGAAGGCACTGCCGGATGTCCCTCCATTTTGGCGCTGGGCTGCGGTGTTGAGTTACGCGAGTCGCAGTCCGTGGCTTCGCCCTCGTTTTGCTTATCCCCCGTGAGCATAGTTTGTGTTCAAAACGATAATACGCCATAAACGTGATTTAAACATTTTTCTTGTCAAACTGCGCGCCTGTTATTCACATGTATTTCCCAAACGGCGTGCCTAATATTTCCTAACTGCTTGTTTTATATTATTAGAAAACGTAAGCGCCATATGTAAGGCACATATGTATCTAATAGTAGAACCCCATAATTGAAATATTTTGTGAGTCCATCCACCAAGATGATGATCTGGAAATAAAAGTTTTTTCGTTCCCAACTCAATTGTTACTTCTATTATACATTTTGACTTTCAATATGAAAATCTCATAAAATCTGACGATAAAACAAAATTTCCACAGCTATATGAAAGACACCTACACCTGCCTCTGTAGAAATTTCAATGATAAGATGTAGTTTTGATAGTGTATGCGCGCAGTTTGTAATTTCCTGGCAAAAATAGGCGCGCAGTTTGCGCTTTATTTCCTTTTAATCTCCTGATTATCTGTTTTAGCTCGAAATATTTTGAATTATACATGATAAATGCGTAAGGAATTCAATATAAAACGAGTCTGAAGTATTTGTCATTTATGTTTAAAGTGCTATATCACCCGTTAAATCGGTGACGAAAATGCCATTAATCTGCTTATGTTTTAACCTAAATTCATTTGTACATAGTTTTTGCTAGTATTTACAAGATTCGTATATATTCGCCACAGAATGAACGCATTAAACAAGAAAACAATGCAGGATAAATGTTTTAAAATTACGTTTCAAAATCCAACTTGAATGATGCAATGTTGTTAGGCCAAGGGCGAACGTAATACCCGGATCGTTCGCAAATTGACGTTCGGTTTTTTACCGCATCCGATTTGAATTAGCCAATAAATCAAGGAGGATTGGAAGCCAGGGTTCCAACTCGATATTCTTTAATCTCCACGCATGCGTCATTTGCTATTCGTGTCTGTATAATTTGTACGACTGCATGGAGAATGACCCGATACTCTCCAACAAAGCTATCGCTAGGTGATTGTTTTGCAGAATATCGGTGTTGCATTCTGGGAGCCAATCCTCCTTGCCAATAAATGATATACACCATTGTCTAATGAAGACCAAACAAAGCCCCGGATGTCGTGTCGTTTCTCGTTTCGTTTGGTACACAACTATGCACCGGGTATTAAATAAGCCCTTGGTTAGGCCAGATTGTGATCGAAACAAACTGCGCGCCTAAGTAGGCAAGCAGATTGACATGGGCACCGTGTCTTACACCCACGTAAAAATTGGAACTTATGTACTATGCTAGAGCATGGGCTTTCAACTCTAATGGAAAGCCCATAGCTAGAGGTATCTACTGCTGAATATACTGTACCAAACCGTATACTGTAAAGCATTGTAACGACCCTTGGGCACGCTCGTCGGGGAGCTGTAGTGTACCGAGCCAGATACTAGACTCGAAAGAGAATGTGCTACATTCAATGCCCCGTACAGGAATCGAACCCAGGACCTCCCGCTCTCGAGTCAGACGCTCTACCCCTGAGCCATAAGTGCTAGCCACTACAGCTGAGACTGTAGTAGCGACTTGCTATCGAAGGTCATTACAGCATCATACTTTACTGTACTGTACTGTATTGAACTGTACTGTAATCTGTACTGTGCTGTACCATGGGCTTTCAAGAGTACTGTACTGTGCTTTACTGCACTGTAATGTACTGCACTGCATTGCACTGCACTGTTATCTATACTGTGCTGTACCATGGGCTTTCAAGAGTACTGTACTGTACTATATCACAATACAATCTATTTCTTTTAAATATCTAATTCGAATGTTGCAGAGTAACGTATGCCTGAAGGCGACACCTGTTTCAGTTGTCCATGACTATCTCCGGGTATCAATAATTTCCTGATGTGTATTGTTTTACACTTTAAAGGAAAGTCAATCTAATATCTATTCGGTTCATTGTTCTACCCTTGCGTAGATATACTTATTTCCTTATTAATTTATCCACTGCTTTTTAACGAAGATACATGTTATAAAGATGTAGATATGCTATTTTATTGTTGAGTTGTCAATGTCTCATCATAAAAGTACAGGCAATATATATTAGCTTTGAAGCAAGTAAAAGTACTTTTATAGTACTACTATATAATTCGATCCAGTGCTGCTTAACATCCAAGATATCAAATCCTATTCATATCTTTGAAATTATGAGTATTAAGATCTGTTAAATAAACCATTTTCTTTGAATTCTTTATGTTTTAAAACACCAGGCAATGAATTTGTGTTACCTTTCGGTTGTAATATTTGCAGATTTCACATGTTGACTCAAGCAAAATACAAAATAATTATCATAGCGATGTAACCGTATTCTATATGGGTTGTCTCTCTGGGGAGGGGGGGGGGGCTTTCTGTGAAAGAAAACACAAGATCCTAATTGTACGTTATCATGTAATTTTGTTTATTTCCAAAAGAGCGTCCATGATCTACTAGCCACCAATTTGGAAACTGTCAATGCTCATCAACATCAACCCAATTATGTGAGTGAAGTAGATGGACAGACGAACATACCAAAATCTTGGGATTGGCGAAAACACGGTGTCGTTGGACCCGTCCATAACCAAGGAGAAATTAACGATGCCCTTTCAATCGCAGCAACGGGTACTGGACGATTTATTTAATTGTGTAAAATTAAACTGTATTTTCATATATTCATTCAACAGTAGTTCTAAGCCTCTTATTTCCAGATGGAAAATACAATATGTCACCTTTATCAAATTTGGCAAAAATACCAATAAAATGCGATTTCCATCTGGGCCAATGCATCACCACACCGTCAAAACTACTTTGAATGTCTTGACGGTCGTTTGAACAGGGGCGTATATAAGAAAATATGGATGGCGCGTGGTCGAAGGCCGCGCATTATGGGGTCCGGGTTATTTGTTGCAATCTGAGCGTTTTCAATGACTATAAATAGTTCTTTTCGATTAAAACTAAATCGGTGTTTATACGATTTATTAGGTTAATATTGATACTACACAGAAAATTTCTAAAATTGAACATCATTCGGTGCATTCTGAGCAATTTCAGAGCACAATATCCTGCACATAAAATCATTCCCACCACTTATTATTAACCTGTGAATGTTAATGGATACTTACCTAAAAACATTCAATCCCTCTGTTGTTGGGTGCAACATTTTCTGCGTTGCTACATGCAACTTTTTTGTTTTAAGCGATGTATTCATTTTTAAAATGTTAAGTACGACAGAACTACATTACAATTTAAAAGTAGGCTTAGATTTCTCGGAACATATTTCTTTCAAATGATTTATGGAAAAATTGGATAAAAGGCTCCACATGATGAGTGTATTGCCAGGAAATACGAAAAAACGTTCACAGACTACCAAATTAAATTACACCTCCCTATTTTTGAACAAGAATACTCGTTTACAAAAATCACAAAAAAACGTTTACGTTAACTGATTTTATCGTTCATTGTGAAATGATATACACAGCGGCAGCCAGTTTTCAACTCCAGTGGAGTGGAATATTTACATCTTGAACTTCCGGAATTATCTCACATTCTTATATTCACGAAATAATTAAAACATTATCGCTCATTATCGGATGTAAAAACGAACAGGGTGAAAGACGGACATTGAAAAAAGTAAACACATCAAGTGCGTCAATCCTTTCAAAAAATTATTTTAATATATCCACGCCCTGTGATCGGAAAATGAACGGCGAGAGGATGGGGAGAAAATTCAACAAAACTGCAATATATGTTTTTACGAGAAAGTATATCAGGTGCACGGTATGGTGAAACCTGGTACTTTTTCTTAACGGATACACGACTATAAGGCGTGAGATCTATTAAAAAGCCACAACGTCACCAACGTACAAAAGTTCATATGCATGATATCTAAAACTGTGATATCTGAAACCTAAAACCTACACAAAGACTAGGCCTACAGAGAACACAAGTGCCCACCGTATTTGAAAAAAGGGGGTAGCTTCTTCCAGAAAATATAGATGGCTAGGCAAGTGACGGTGTGGAAGAAGGCTGCGCATCTGGGCCCCGGGGGCACAATCCCCGTGAAAATTTTTGTCATTGAAGACGTTATTTGGTGCAATCTAAGGACCATAAATAGTTGTTTTCTGATATAGAATAGAAGAAATTTCACCGAGGAATCTTATTCAAAATCTTTCAAAACAGCTGAGATGTACACATGTTTACATGGGAATGACGATTTTCCAAAATTCATCAAATATATCATCAACTTTCGACCTATTGTAATCGAGGAAAAAATTGAAACGTAAATAGGCTTAACACGTAGTTCAATGGGGGAGCTAAGGTTGCCAAACTTATGGAGGGGAGTTGTATAATTGCAAGGTGTCCATAAAGTATTTTTACAATTCCGAAACAAACTCTATGTGCATATTTCTATAGCATGATTTACACCTTTCTCTATCACTGCTATCATGTACCCATTCACTGTCATATTGGCGTTAACTAGACATCACCGTGATAATAGCAAAGTAGACTTACTTGGATCCGCCATAAACACAATTTATGTGTTTTTACAATACATTTACAATTGTAGATATTGTAATAAAATACTGAAATAAGGAGTTAGCCTAACACAATTGTTACAAGTCACACAATATTGACACATTGTCCTCAAAACATAAAAAATAAAAGAACAATAGAAATGGCTTTAAGATAACCTCCGTTAATGTCGCAGTCTCTTTAACCATGCTTTTAACTATGCTACAAATGATTTTTTAATTCATTGAATTAGATTGTGTTGAGAGCCTCGGTGCTGTGACAAGAGGGTCCCTGTCAAGGTTGAGTCAACAAGAAACGTATGAATGCTGCACGATACACCAGCCTGTACCTGATGTATTCCAATGTATCCACAGTCTAGGAGGATTATGTTCAGAGTCGGACTATCCAAAGCATATCGGCAATGGGACATGTCATTCAAAAATGTGTCAGCCTAAAGTTAAGGTTATGCTCTTTAATACGCTTTTATACTGATTGATGTTTTCCAAAGGTCAATTACATTAACATTTTAGATTTTTCTATATTTATAGATTCTCAATCGGTTATGGATGTTACTAAACGTTAAGAATATTACTAATCCACCTATATTTGCGGCCCTCTTATTAACGTTCTCATTTTGTCGAATAAATGATTTCTAATAGAACCTAATAGAGTAGGTAATATTTTTTCTTTTCATAACACTGAGAATGCAATTGACATTTTTTCGAAAAGCTAAATGTATTTTGAAGGATTGTTACAGTCGTCTTGCGATCTCCGTACGGTGTATCCAGTTTTTACATCGTAGAAACCGTAGAAATTATAACTTGGAATCGCAGAAAGGCTCCATGGTGGTCGTATGTCGGGTGTTCGGTCAATTTGCGACTGCCCTTGGATTTTATGGGTTACAATTGACCTTTGCGAACTATAGGATCGCCGTTAAGGCTTCCCTGTGACTGCCTTGCGTATACCTTGTTTTTTGTCAAGAAAAACTACGTCCGCCGTAGGACCGCCCTACGCTGACCGTGCGTCATCACTTATCAGGCGTACGGCAACCATAGTTAATCTCATAAAAATCGAAATACGCCATACAGCTGTCGTATCGAATGCGACCGCTAACTTGCTAACTTATCTGACCGCAGAAATTCCAACGTAGAAATGTTAACGATCGAGAAATGATAGATCCTACGGTCGCCGTAGCAAATGCGACTGAGGCTTTAATGAAATGTTTATTTGATTTTCCAAACTTTGTTCTTAGTTCATGTTAGACTCAAATAAAATATTACACAATCTGATTTTGATCAGATTAATGGAAATATTCACGTGCTGTTTTCATTTGATTTCATTTTCTTACGTATTCGTTTGTATGAGTATGACGCAAAGATAACATGCCACCGTGATAACAAAGCATGCCATGGGCTAAAATCATGGGTACGTCCATGCTATATTAAAATGAATGATATAATCGATATCATTATTCAAGCATTATGGTTGTGTATGATTGGATTTTGGTAGAACAATACTTAAAAGTGTACCTCACCTCAACATCCGGGTTCACTTAAAGTTTACTAGAGACGTAGGCTATTATTACAGCTAGTCCATATTACGCAATTACACCCGTGGGCTGACGTAGCCGGGAACGTGTACGTAAGAACTTAGCAAACTTTGATAAACAAGCCTCGATAATTTGAAACTCCGATGAGTGAAGCATGAACCGGTAGCTTATCTCGTGTAGCTTTCTATTTTAATACAAAGATGGTGTCATCCCTATGATTCCGTTGGTCCGAATTCCGTTTGGTGGAAATACAGTAAAGAGTGACGAGTCTATCGAATTCGCCAATCGATTTTTGTTAAATGCTGTTATTTACGAATGACATGTTCGGGTTGGATATTTGCTCTCATTCAAATGGGGGGGGGGGGGGGAGGAGGATTGACCCGTACCTGTGATTACAGAGTCGCTAGTTCCTGTGCCCTGCAGTTTTCCACATTATTCATGCAGGTATATAAAAACAGTGGACAAATTTGAATTAAACATCACAGAATTTAATAGTATTTTCCATAAATTATTTTCCTCAAATCCATTTTTATCCGTTCAAAACTTATAAATGGAGAAGTGACGCTTGGACGACGTAGGGGGTTCGCTAATATTTTTTATGAAAAATTAGAAATAACCATCATTAAAACTAAAGTATACTCAAGAGGACATTTAAATCTACAATACGTGAAAATATGAAATCTTTGGCGACATTCATAACGGCGAAATATGCAGATGAATTTGGTTCTCCAAACCGAAAATCGTCCTTTGTTTGAAATGTCACGTTGGTGTCAACGGGAATCATTAACTATTTTGATACCGGTGCACAGTATAATTCTTCCTGAAGAAGATGGTATGTTTTCTGGCGGTCAATTTAGAATTTTTTTGATAAATCTTGAATATTTCAACTTATTCATTTATCGTCAAATTGTTCATATTGGAATAAGGACGAAGTTGTTTCGAACCATTGAGATTCTACGATATCGAACAATTGTGATTCGGGCAATTTGACATTTATACGATTGAGTTTAGAGATCTAGAGACTTGACGAAATACTTATTTTCAACTTTATTTTTTCAGGTGAATGGATCGAAGCATGTAATCAAAGCCAACGAGACAGATCTTCAACTAGCTGTATTGAAAACACCAGTGCTGGTGTACTTTGATGCCAGTCACGCATCCTTCATGTTGTATAAAAGTGGCATATATAGCGAACCAGCCTGTAAATCAACCGTTCTGGACCATGTTTTGGTTCTGGTGGGGTATGGAACCATGGGGCAAGGTCGTGACTTCTGGATCTGCAAAAATAGTTGGGGTTAGTTGATTGCAACATACAAGCACAAGAGTTGTGCACAAAACTAGAAAAACGACAACTCCAAGGAATAGCAAATTCAAACTAACAAAATGAATGAATTGTAATCATTTTGGGCAATATTTCAAGCATTATAATATCTTGGGGGTGACCATCCTAAAATTATGCAATTCTCAGATTTGGACAGCTTTTTGTGATTTTTAAACACCAATTATTTTAAAATACATACATGACCTATGCATAGAATATAATAAAGATTATATGGTCTGCCTCGTTCGATTTTACCATATTAAAGCTAAAAAGCTATATTTTGGAGGGATATCGGAGCCCTTTGCTCAATCGTCCCAACTTGGAATAAGCTCTTTTAGTGTAACGTTTTAACGTGTTTTCTTTCAGGAATTAACTGGGGCATGGAAGGTTATGTTTTGGTGCAGAGAAACCATGACAACATGTGCGGTATAGCCTCAAAAGCTTCATATCCTGTATAAACATCTTCATCACACAAAATACTTTATAACATTGTTTTAGTTCCATAGATTCTCGAAAACGAATGTTTAAAGAACACCAAAAACAAGGCATGAACTATAAACAGTGAAAGAGAAATATGTTTAGCCGGATAAAAGTAAGAGGGTGTGTGGATTTTGGTGTGAATAGCCGAACGTCACGGTTTATATTTTTAATCCCATCTCTTCCGGCTAATTCTGTAACATTTTCATCGTGTCAATATATTCATTCATTCATGTCATTCGATATGTCTTTCTTTTACCTCATAATTTAACAGACATATATATTTGAACAAGACGCTCTGAAGGCGATATACACCATTTTAATGAAAAGGCTGACGGTGCCAATCTTCTAAAGATTGTGGGCAAAAAAACATTTTGACATTGAGCAAAGTAGGTTATCCGCAAAAGATTGCAAGGTTAATCATAAAATCAAGGTCTTTATCCCTTAAGAAAAAAGAAGCATATTCGTAGGATCATCATTATCTGAAAGAAATGTGTGGCAATACTGTTTAGACTGATTTCAAATTTTCACTGTAAACAACGCATTTTTGCCAATATCTGTTACAATGACTGGATATATTCATCAAAAATCAAATGATTTGTTCTTTTATATTTATTATATATATTTTATATATTCATTTTTCTTTATTCAATTTATATAATTGAGGTTCATAAATTACATGTGTTTCAATATGATAAATACTTAGGCTAACAATTGTTTTATAGATGAGGACAACTTTAATAGAATGTTTAAAGTAACTCAGCTATTATTGCCATTTCTTATGGAAACCAATATGATACATACATTATACATAATCTCACCATTTTCAACAATCTTGATGATTTAATCAAAAATTTGAAAGAAAATTAACTAAAAATCTCAGCTTCACAGTTTTCAAAGGAAAACCAGTTGTCATTTTTATCAGGAAGGGTTACACCAATGTCTATATCAATCACGATACGTTTTTAATGCTGAGATATGAAAGGCATTCTAAAGGTAATGTAATTTTTAATCCAATCCTAGATACTTCAATTATAATGGGGATGTATGACACCAAAATAGAACAAACTAATAACAGTTTGTTCCTATATCATGAAAGATTTGTTGTGGAGCCCACATTCACATGCCCATCAGCAAAATACAATATAGCACTTAAAAGTGCAATGATAAATAGTGTACTTGCAGACTTACACATTTATTGTGTACAATATTTTGACATCATATACCTCCTTTCAATTTTTATCTTTTCAATACAGCATTGTTTATTTTTACTGAATCATTCGAGCCTCCTGCTTTCAGTTTCCCGAACTTTTAACTTTTCCCTTTTTCTGAAAATTCAATATTACCTAATATTCAATTTTTCAGAAATGTTAAATTTTTCCAAAATGTTTGTTTTTCTTTCCCTCCAATTTCTCCAATACAGTAGGGTGGTATAATGAGTTCATATAATGGTTCATTCAATGTGTCTATACATCATTGTATTTTTCATGCTATCATAAGTATATCATATATCATATCAACTAGTTTGTTGCATTCACATTCCATATCAAAACCTCCCATTTTACAAGCCTCTAAAATATCCTGATATAAAGTACATTATACAATAAAGAATTATACATGAGAGTCACATTATAACCTGTTATGTGATTGTCTACATACAAATATATGTCATCTTATTTTTACAATGTACAGTAAAACGAGTCAGATGGAACACATGCCTGTTTTGTTCTATGTTCTATGGCCAAAGGTTTATAGACTGTACTATAACTCTAAGATTACATTTAAATACCAATATGTATAGAGAGTATTTGCACTCGTATATTAGCAATGGAACTGAGTGAGCGGCCAGTTTCCCAACAATAGGTATAAAATAAACAGGGTCGTAATGAAGTTCAGTTCAGTAGTTAATAAATTACTAAATATATCTTCATCAGGTATAGACTAATAGAATAACCAATCAAAGCATACACCTGTCATCAGTGTTGTAAGAAATTAAGAAGGTATTTTTAGAACAGTGCATTTCACCCCAGGCTGCACGAAAATATCAACTGATAATTAATTTGGTTGAGCTTCCAATCGTTATATAAGAACTTTATTCTGATGTAAAATTGGAATCAGTGCCGTAAGAAATCAAGATTGTATTTTAACTATTTTAGTTGAACAGTTTACATCACCTCAGGCTGCAAGAAAATACAACTGATACTTAATTCATAATAAGATTGAGCTTCCTATTATTATATAAGACCTTTATTCTGACGCAAAATTGGTATCATAGATTTATATAATTGCTCATTGAGCAAATGGTTATAATTATACATTCATTGATTGCTCTTGTGTTCCTCAAATAACACAACCATTAAAATTACATAACTGTTTCATCCTTTCAGACTTGAAATTTTTAAAATGTCTCAACTGAGTTCATTCTGCAAATGAAATGTTTCAAATCATTCATTTTTATTTAGATCTGCCATGAATTATTTAGTGGTAAAAATAGAAAATAAAATGAAGATTTCCTGCAAAATTTATCGAAGGGCAGAACATGGTTTTGGACATTCATAATGAAGAATAAATACCAAAATGGTAAATTGTCATATTCTCTGTGTTTCAGAATTGAACCTTGATGTATATTTTTCACCCAACCTTTATGTATGTAATGTATATTACTAACATGTGATAAGGACTTCCTACACAAAGGATTTGAACATGGAGATTACATGCTATTTCATAGTCATAACAGCAAATAATTGTTCATTCATTCATATCTGTGCAATCTCACAGAAAATTATTGCTGTTGGATTACATTGCAATAATGGTTTCATTCAACGTATATTATACTAATGCATAATGATCAACTTGGGAAACATCCACACTTATTTTGAAAAGGAAATAGTGGTTAGTTAATTAATTATAGTTGTCATATTTCAAAATCAAGTCGTCATAACCCACACCTATTTTTACAGAATAGGTTTGCACCCATTTAAAATTCATGAGGAAAATCATGAAACTAGACATATTTTGACCAATATGGCCAGAATTGTAAAAATGAAATCTGGATCACATCTGAGAGAAAATCCTTGTGGGAACAATGTAACCATATAAGGACTTTTAACATTTTGGCTGCAACAGAGCATCTGATAACTTGGAGTGAACCATTTTGCAAGCAAAATGCAAGGTATAATTCTAAAATAACAGCTATGCAGGTATTACATATATCATTGCAGCATTTCATTTGCTTCCTTTCGCATTTAACTTCACTTTCTTTTCGCCACTCTAATTTCCAGATTCCATGTATAATGGAAAAATGGAAGAGTTTTCGTTAAAATGACCGTTATGATTTTAAAATGAAAGTGTCATGATCTGCTCATAATACTTTGTCTATAATGGCTGCTCCTGCATAACTCCTCCCTGTAGTCATAGATGTATTGAGCATGATCCAGTTATCTGACTTGGGGTTATACACCTCTACAGAGCCCAAGTTAGAGGAACCATCGTCACCTCCTATCACATACAATAGTCCATTATTTGAAACAACACCTGCAAAAGTAAAATTCATTGAAACTAATTAAGTTATTACAATGGTCAAGAAAGCAATTGTTCGAGATGTTGAATGCTAAAAGCCAGTCAACAAATGATGGATATAATAATATAATATATCACCACTTTCTGGTGGCCACAAAAAATGTAGATATTGTTTACAAAAGTTATCTATTTGTTGTTATTGTTAGCATCTTTTCTTAAGTTATGAGAAATGAAGTTGAATATTTTGGAAAATGCTCGTAACCAGATGGGAATTATTTTGTCTCTAGCGATACATTAACCCTAAATGTATGATAATTTAAGTTCACCTTAACTCCACGATCCATCGTGACATATGTCTTGTACGTAGGCTTATTAAGTTAGACAGCTTTATGTAGGCTTACATAACAAGGTAATGCCTACAATACAAAGATTGTATTGCACAAGGTCCCTTTTAAATGAAACGAGAATTCTATACCTGCATTTCTCCTACACCTGTGCATATCAGTTACTGGTTTCCAAGTGTTTGTCTCAGGGCAGTAAGCTTCTACACTTTTCCTGACTAGCGGTCCATCGTGACCCCCTACTGCATATAATAATCCATCTACCACACCAACACCTACAACATATAATTAATTCATGAATCATCTGGGTATTTAAAGGAACAGGATGGAGGCAGAAAGGTCTATAATTTACAGATAATAGTTTCTTAGATAATAGCCATATATCAGCAAATGCTTGTTTCCTCATGATGTAATACCACGATTTAATAAATTGCTGTCACTTATATAACTTCCTACTTGGCCTCGTAGGTCCGATCAAATCATGATTATCTTATCACAACTGATTTAATGCAAAAAATCATTCAAGTCAAGAATTGAAAAACTGCATAATTCTAAAATTAAGAGTCAAAAAGTGGCAGAAGTAAATCTGAAATGAGCTTACCTGCCCCACTTCGCCTGCATGACATATCAGCTAAAGGTGTCCAGCTGTTGGTCTCAGGACAGAAACACTCTACAGAACTGAGGCAGTGTCTGGATGCGCCATCATAGCCCCCAACAGCAAACAGAAGACCTGAAAACAGCAATATACCAGAGGTGAACAGAAAAACTACAAAAACGGTGGGGGGGGGGGGTATCAATAGACCTAAACACTTCTATATTTTCAATTACATTCACAGTATACACAGATACATTAACATACATTTTAAAATTCCTGACCGAAACCTGATTTATTCCTATCCATTAACAACTACATTTGATGAGAAATAATGCACCAAGTTTAAGTGTATGCAATTTCAAACATGAGCATCAGGGCAAGTACTTTGGTTAAGATCACACTTAAACTCGATGCACTATCTTTCATCTCATAGATACATTCTTGAATCCATTTCACATATGGGAAAACAGGAAGAAATATGCTTCTTCTTCTAGGAAGAAATATGAATTATCTAGCAATTACATGGGCAAAATTGCTTGATACTGACACCAGAACATAATAAAATCATGCATTAACATTTCAGATGAGACATGGCTATGCTGCATATTGATTGAACAGAAACTGATAATATAGCACTGCATAATTTTCAGTTTTAGGGCAATGTATTGCAATAATAGTAAGCTAATAGCTTGTTCCTATCCTTACCATCAATGACACCCACGCCGACACTACTTCGTCGCGTGCTCATAGGTGAAACAAGTGTCCATTCATTGGTTCTGACATCATAGCACTCAGCTGTGTTCAACCCTGATGACCCATCAAACCCCCCTACTGCATATATCTTTCCATTTAATAGAGCTGCCCCAAGTGTACTTCTCCGGGCCTCCATAGAGGCAGCACTGGTCCATGTGTCGGTTAAAGGGTCATAGACATCAACTGTTCTTACTCTTAAGGACCCATTGAAACCGCCTATGGCATAGACTAGTCCATTTACTACAGCAACTCCTGAAAAGAAAAATAGAATAGATTAGAAAATACCTGAAAAGAAAAATAGAACATCAGTATCTTATAGGGGTTACATGTATGGGTTGAAAATT